AAAAATTACGATGACCCTTAAATGGAGCATAAATTTAAGCTCAAAGTATCAAATCACTTTCATAAAAGTTTCCTTGCCATTCTTTCTGAAACATTATCGCGTAAAGCTTCATGGCTCAAAATTCGGCATTTCTCATTTCTATGTTTCTTATTATTTTTGGTTTTTGGCGAATTTTTAGTTAGCTGATCTCCCCCCCAAAAAGGTCAATAAGTTGCGTAGCCACCGTAATGCTTCCCCACGCCAAATTATGGAAATTATTTTTGGGGGTCCCCAGGCGCTGCAAAAACCCCGTAAAGTGCAAAGTAGTATACGGTGCTCCAAAACAACGTAGTGAGACCAAAAATTGCAGGGGGTAAAAATGCACGTTTTCAGGCAGTGACGGTAAAACCAAGACCAAAAATCGGTGTTTCAAACATTTATAAAAAAGATAGTTCACTTGAGCCACAAATTCCTCTTCAGCGGCAGTCGAAAATGAGCTCTGGAAGCTCATGCATGCTACCTGGTGTGGATTTTAAATCTTCACTTTCTCTTTTTGAGACCAAAAATTGAGGGTAAAAAAAAGGCATGTTTCTCAGGAGAACGTGTGCTGTCAAATCCCATCTAAAAATGGCCTCCTAAAAATCACGATTCAAAATTAATGTTTCAAACATGCTTAAAAATCCGAGTTATCTCGGATAAATAATTTGCGGATACGCACGGGTGGTTGTCCTTATTTTTCATAACAATCCACACCGCAACGGCTTATAGCAGAAGTGCCATTAAATAGCGTTTTTTAAAACCCATTTTCGACAACTCTGAAATAGCGCCTAAAATTACCGCGAAAAATAAGAGGTATCGAAAATTTTAGGGAGCCAGGTTTGCCGTAGATTGTTAATAGGAGCCATTCAATGCTGTAAAATGAGAGTTGGAAGGGCTAAGGTTTTCATAGTATACTTTTAACTTTAGTTTACCATATAATATTAAGCTTACACCTGGATGGGAGAAATCGGGAAAACTTAGATGGATGGAACAGTAGCCAGTAGAAAAAACATTTCCAAAAAATTTCTTTGACAGCATGTTTCAAGGAAGTGACAAGGGTAAAGGTCTTTGCAGCTGTTAATTGGTTCATCTAGCAAACGCATCTTTGGTAAAATAGGGCAAAGACGGAGATGAAATGAAAAATAGTAAATTAGGTGGATAAAAACAAAGTCTAAAGCCAAAAAAACACTGTAAAAATTCCACGTTGTTTTCAGGTAGATCGTTACGGTAAAATGGCCATTTCACCAAGGGCTTCACCAAAACTCGCGGTTAAAAACCAGTGTTTCGAAAATTTTTACAATGTCGATTTTTCTGGTGGTGTTTAATTAAAAGGCGGTATTGTCAAAAAATCAAAACTGCAAAGCCAACCGCGAATGATGAATATTACATAAAAAATACAATAGAAAAATAAAAAGCTTCTAAAAAGTGAAAATCGTATTTTTCGAAAATCAAGAAAAGACGCGGCGGGAAAGGTCATAGAGTGCAAAATTAGTAGTCAAAACAGCGTAACGTACGAGACCAAAAACCGACGGCAAAAATTGCACGTTTTTAGGTGAGGGGCTACGGTACTCCCCGTATCTAGGGTATCATTACGGAAACTACCATTTATACGTATAGTTTAGAAATTGGCAATTAAATGTTTTTCTAAGGAAAATTATATAGTAAAATTTAGGCGCGTACCGTAGCGTAACGGAAGTGATTTTTGATGCCAGAATTATGTTAGAATTTTTTGATAATTACAAAGAAAAATTGCCGCTTGGAAAAAATATGTTTTTTAGTTACAATGTGCCAACAGGACCCAGTTGGCAATCAATCGGCCATTCTTTCACACTTTTCTGTGAAACTTATTTTTATTAACTTAAACCCTAAATGAACTAGATTTTTTAGCGCCGTTAATTAAATCTAGGGATGAACGTTGAAAAATTATAAAAATCATTAGAAAACCTCAAAAATCCGATGTTTTAAGCTGTGAACCACGTGGTTTGGTAGGGCCTCCTAGTTCGTGATAGGAAAGATCTAGAAAGGTGAAGGGCCGGGTTGCCGAGTTGAGTGGCTGCCCTCATTCAGTGAGGAGGAGAAGCCGCCAGAGGGCATCCCGAAGGGAACTTTACGAATGTTGATCAGCACAACGAGCAGCCGTGTGCCAGAGAGAGAAAGAGAGAGAGAGAGAGAGAGAGAGAGAGGGAGAGAAACTCTAGATCACAGGCTAACTGACTCAAGATCAGTCTGTTCTTCCTGGCAAATGAGCATTAAAGGGACGGGCAAGGCTGCTTGTCGATTTTTGGCTATGGATTTCCGAAAAATTCCATTGCGTTATGGATTAAAATGATATACCTACTAACAGTCGCAAGAATTTTTCGGTTTGGAAAAATGTTTTGCATCAGCATCGCCATCTCGTGAAAACTTTCCCGGTGATTGACGGATTTTGGACCCTCCTTCCACAAATTCGGTTCTTCTTTAATAAAGAGTAAATCTTTACTTCATAAAACTTAAATTATACTTTTTAACTCCTGCTCTCAAAAAAATGTTTCATAACATATCAAAAACCAGAAAATCATTTCGGTCTAATGAGTTCCTGTCTAGCGGTCCAATTTCGGTTCTTGTAGTCAAACATTTTTCTAAAGTTAACCATAACTACTCTGGCCTAACAGCAGGCAAGCAAAGACCATTGTGGAAAATGGCTTGAAGCTGTCGAGAAAGCAACAAAAATCAGGGCGAACTTGCAGAGTTTTTTGGTGACTTATTGATTGTCGCAGAAATAGCTTCTCTTTCTGCTCTTTCACCCTACCGTAACGTGTAACACGTATCCTATTTTCGCCACAAAGCCCTCGGGGGAGCCGTTATAGTGTTTTTCCGCTCTCGGCTACGCGACTGCACTATAGTGTTTACGCGCTTTCGAGGCTATCACCTTTCAAAAATACTCCAAGCATTTTAAAGGGACCTAGCAGGGAAAAGTTCATTATTATTAGCTTTTTAGGTCAAAAAATTAAGGTCACACCGGACTTTTCAAGCCCAAGAAAAACTAAAATTTGAAAACCTAAAATCTAAATTTATCTCGAACCGAAAATTTACGGTAAAATTAGCTTGTTTTGACTTGCCTATCCCTTTAAGACCCCCCATAAAACCCAGATTTTTGAAATCTGCCTGTTTTCCGATTGCTACGGGGGGCGTCCGCTTTTTTCGAAACGGCCAAATTTAGAGAGCAAGCCGACCAATTAATTTGTGCGCGGAGGCCAGCCAAATTTGGGCGCCCGCATGGACCTTTCGCGTGGGTCGTTAACGGAATGGGGGGCCAGGCGGAATGGCAACATTTTTCCGGGGGGACGCCGTTTAGGAAACCCCCGCAAACAGCTGACGTCGTCGTAAACAGCAGTGGGAAATCGTGAAAGGGGGTATGTAAAATTCGCAAAAAAATAGGTTTGAACAAAGGTTATTTAGCATTAACGGGGGGGGGGGTGTATATGTCCGGAAATGCCCCGTAACTTGAAAGAAAGCACAGTGATTTTACTGAAACAAAACCATATTTCACCCAGAAAAACTATCTATAAACTTTCAAAAAAGAGTTTTGAGTCAGAAATTCTGAGCGAAATCGGCCATTGTAGGTCGAAAAAATTTATTTTTTAAGGCTTATCAAAGTTTTTGAAGGTTTTTTCGGTGAGGAATAGTAAAAAAAAACGTTTACAAGCATTTCCGCTTTTATATTTGAAAAACTAGATCTCAAAAAATTGTTGTCCCCTCCCCCCGCGATAATGCGAAAGAACCCCAAATGAATGAAGATTTTCAAACAAGAGGAGACGAATAGTCGTCCACTTGCGTCACACGATTAGAAAAAAAGAACCTCGGCAATAGGCACCGATCGTCACAAAAATAGTTTAGTAAAAATGGAACTTAGTACCAGAACAAAATTAAACAAAAACACAATAGACTTGATTTAAGCCTCATCTCCTCAATACAATGCGGCCAGGAAAAAGTCTTTGCTACCCCGCTGTTTGCGAAACGCATGTTTGCAAATGCACAGGCCATGCGTTGGGCAAATGGAACGCTGTGATGCCAATCACTAGGTCTCAATAATAAGACGAGAGAGAGAGAGAGAGAGAGAGAGAGAGAGCCAAGAGCATCATGCAAACAGACAAAGAACAACACCACTGTACTCATGGCGGCGTACGTTTTTCGGGTTTTTGATCGGCAAATTGCAACGATTCGCTGCAGCCAAGAAAAGATCCAACGAATTTTCGAACATTCGAAAAAATGTTTCAAAAAATTCAGGGATTATTTCGCCCAGTTCCCATCCAATGCAGGTTGAGTTGCGAGTTGCTTCGGTTTAAAAAATCGAAGAAATTAAGTAGGTCAGCGAGCGAATATTTCTAACCAGGATTTATAACCCGAAAACGGTTGGCTACGATCCAAGGCATTTAGGATCGAGATTTCAAAACTGACAACTTCCCGGTACGGCTAAACGACCTTGACGTTGCATGCAAGTACTCCCTTGCGAAGGTAGTGTTCACTGATCCGGGAACTCGTTTGCAACGCTGGCTCGCCAAACGGCTGAATCATAGTACACCACAGGACCAAGGAGTACGCTGACAGCACGTCAGCGCGCAAACACGCTACAGGGTCAACAGCCCATAAATCATGTTTGAGAAGGGCGCTGAAAATTTCCTACGGGACTTTAAAAAAATCAAATCTAGTTCTCGGCGTAAATCTGCTTGCATTAAAGATGTCCAAGCCAAAAGACTGATCCCAGATTGAAAAATTAGTTTCCGAACCTTAGCGATGTTCCAAATCGATCCATCCTCTGCTTCGAATCGTTTATCCACAACAACACGTAAAATTTTACAAGATTACCAGCGTCCACAGAATGTATGTATAGTACGGGGAATAAAAACGGGGCCAACCAACAATCTACAACTTAGGTACGAGAATCAACAATAGTGGTGGCCGCATATAAAATAAAAATAAAAACGATATAAAAGGGTGGCTTATTTTGGTCTGCAGACGACTGGATAACGATGATTGGTGTCTCGCAGATCACGCAGCATATCTTCGTACTTTTCATAGTGCTGTCCCAAGTAACACATTTCGAAATTCTAAACGAAACTATAATAGCTTAGACAGATATACCACCTGAATCATGAGGAAGGCTTTGTAGCCGTAGGTGCTGCGCGATAGAATGTAGATGTACAACTTCTCATCTTGCAAATAGATTGGGCCGTCCGCGATATCAAGTTGCGAGATGATCTTGAATTGGCCTTCTATGTTGCAATCTTCCAAGTCGATGGCCACCATTCGGGGTTCTAGCACGTTGAGATGTTCTGGCGCGGCGCGATCCTAGAAAAAACGTTAAAAATTGTCAAAGAATTCACCAGGATCATCTGTCGAATACTATCCTCCGTCGGCTTCCAAAGCGGAAGCGCATGCTGGGGAGGATCATCGACCGGTGGGGCGTCGAATAACTCCACGCGCGAACGCAGGTAAATTTTTCGGCATTTTGGCAGCTAAAAAGCAAATGAGGGCCCGGGTACGTTAGCTTACAAATTCCAGCAACGCCTCGTAGCCGTTAGCGCACGCTTGACACGGATGCAAGTAGAAGCACGAACGATTGTCGCGAATCCAGACAAAGTTCAACTAAAAGGTAGTCTAATGAGTTTGCCGACAATACCTACTATTTCTTTATTCTCGAAGCCCCGTCGACGCATACGCTCAAGCAGCCTTGCCATGCAGATAAACCGTAGTGACACGCAGATGGACTGTCTCGCGATATCCAGGCCATCCAAACTCTCAGGTGACTAGAAATTGAAGGTCAGCTTCAGAATCGGTACCAATACCATATCATCCACGTATCTCGTGTAGTAGACGAATCGCGGCCGAACGTGCTTGAGAAGATTGTTGACAGTCTCGTCACTGGGTAACGTCGTCCATTCCTTCGGATTTTCACGCCTAGATTGCGCTTGGAAAAATATCTAGGAAAGACCTTACCCGAACTTAAAGCCCAGCCCATTTTCGTCGACGGTGACAGTGTAATGCTCATGATACTCATCGCAGAGCACGACGCGCAACTGAAGAAAAAATTGCGCAAATCGCAACTCCCAACCTTGCCAGGCTGACCATCAATGTGGACGCGCAACATCTTTTCTGGAAGTGGTCCATGCAGCTCGACAAAGTTCTTGAGGTCCTGCAACGCGAAAATTAACCAGTGGCTAATCAAAGAGGGCACCTTGCATACTTGCCGGAGCCGTGCCCGCTCCAGTAGTCCACAATTCGCCAGAATCTCTTCTTGCGGGATCAACGGCAAACGCAGGAACTCAAAGGGCTCGTCGACGACTTCGGATGCGTTCGTTTCGACAACTTCCATCGCCTCCATGAGCCTGATGAACAGGAAAATTGTTCAAAGCGAAAGCAATTGGGGCACTTGCAATCCGTAGGAAATAAGGATAGTTTCCAACTATCGAACCATTGAGATCACGGTAACTTTAAAAAATTTATTACATTCAAACAGTTGTAGACTATAACATAGTACATAGATAAAAAGTATTACAGTGCTTTTATTTTGTTACGGCGTCGAGACGGCGGATCGTTGACGTTCGGCACGGACAGTCTAAAAGCTGTTAGCTGATTATAAAAAAACGATAAACCTTCATGATCGTGCTGGCCAGCTGAACGATGTGCTGCTCATCTATCCTCGTTATATCGCCCAATACAATGGCTTTCTAAAGAAATATTGAGAAAAATACAGGGAAACGGACCTGATCGGCCACTTCCATCCCGTGCACACAGCCGAGTCCGCAGACGATGCATGCGCTGCCGACCAGCATCCAATCGCCCATCACTTGTCTAAATTTGGCGAGCTAACAACACCGTACAACCCAGGCTTACACTGCCTTCCGTTCCTTGTTCGGTGGAGCGTCCTCGTTTAATTGGCAGTTGAACTCGTTGGTGATCTGGAAGAAAAGTATTATGCAAACATGTCGATATTAATACCTGTCGTTGATAGGCGAAGGTCATGTCGAGGAACAGCAAAGCGTGGTCCCACACCTCGTTGCAGTGCTTCAACGCCTTGTCCGAGTTGGCTGAATCAGATTTTTTACTAGTATAAAAAAAACTTACCGAGCACCTTCAAAATGTTCTCCATATATGGGGCTGGCGATTGCGGTATCGTGTAGTCGATGGTGCTCAAGACGCGTAGCTCAGACCTCAAAAAAACGGTAAAAGGCAAGTGGCAGAAAACAAACTTGAGGATGGCCTGAGGATGATAGGGAGAGCCGATGGCGACGAGCATCTTCGTGACAGCCTCGTTCGAAAGGCTCTAAAACCAGATAATGAAACTTGGATTATATGGTCTAAACACCGCCAATGCTAAAAGAATCCAAACTATACGGCAAACAAAATCGCAAAATCTTCCCACATCATCGAACTTGTTCTCCTTTGAAGCGATTTGTATGCAGGAAGCGAGGCGGAGGACGAGTTGCCGGATGATGTTACACTGCGTCTTGTCCCATTGCTGATCCTTCTGCTCCTGCGTCAGCTCCAGTGTGTCGATGAAGTGATGAGCTTGGGCTGTTTGCCGGGACATGTACCTGAAAAATGCGAATTAGTAAATCGATTTCAAAGAAAAGATATTTCCAAAATCGACTCCATATTTTCTTTCGAAAAAAAACAACCCGAGGCAGTGTTGTGATATTCAGACCACCAATCCCCCGAAAGACGGTTTGGCTTTGCACACACGTGTGCTAGCCGATCCGACAAGGATATTTTTCTGGATAAATTTCAAGTATTCCAGCACGTACTTATCGAAGATCAGCGCAGCCGTAAAGCGCACATCCGGGGGCAGACGTAGACGCGTACACATCGTGAAAATGTAGTCGAGCACCTTTTTGTTCAAGTAGTTGAGCGGCTGATGACGATGGAAGTACTTGCTCACTGAAATTCAAAGATTTGCCGCTGTGTAAATAGCTATACCTCGGTTTTCCCGGCGCATTTCCTCGAACATATCCTCCACGTACGTCTCATTCAGCTCGAAGGTCGGATCCGTGAAGTCGACGGGGCCCTTGGGCTAAAAAGGATGTTTAGCCATAAAAAAAAATCCCCACTTGCTGCTTTTCCGCAACCTCGACATGCTCGGCCTCGCTCATTTGCGCAGCACGATCGCAGATCAATGGCGCGTAGAGACGGCTGGAAAAACGATTGTAAAAATAATAAAAAAGATATTATGAACGGTTGCGAGCCATGAAAAATGTCATAAAGGCGCAGCAAAGAGAATCGATGATGAAGAACGCAAACGTTTACTCGGGTGGAGTAGCTTTTAAGCCTCCACATCCTAAAATTTTTTGCAAAACTTTCTCACCAATCGACAAAACGAGAAGGGAGGTAAACAGATTTTGTAAAGAATGCTACGAGCTAGGCATTTTGCAAAGCAATAATTCTGAGTATTTGTGGGCACCTAGGCTGTAAAGTCTTACACAAGCGAGTACAACACAACACAAGATAAGCACTGGAAAAACAGCCTGGATAAATCAAAAAAATAAATAGCTAAACTAAAAGTAAAAAGTAAAGGAAGTAAAGCCGAAAATCAACTCGCGAGCAAACCCGGTAAAAAACGAAATCATAAACTAAAATTTCGTACGAAAACAACTGAACGCGATGCTCCAAAAACTCAAATCCGTAATTGTCTTGCTTCGTCTACCGTAGTTTTCTTTTCAGGACCTCGTGGTTTTGTCTTTTCCATTTTTTCTCCATTACTCATCTTTTCATTTCCCCTCGCTCACTCTTTTACGTTGACAATTTTTGCTTTTTATCAAAATTATAAAACTCCTCCACCGATCCTCGGACCTTTCGAACAACTTTATAATCCGTTTCCGAATAGCTTTCCACTCTTGAACTCCCCTTGATCTTTTCTTATTATTTCCTTTGGTGTTTTGCTTTCATTATTAACTAATCTTTTTTTATTTAGTACGAACGAAATCATGGACCAAGCTAAAGCGATTCCGGACACAATTGGCGTCGAGTTGCAGCGGCCCCTCAAGAACGGAAACTACCTTACCGTGTTCCCCAAGACAATCCCAGTGAAGCGCTCCGTGGATCGGCTTGACGAAAAGCTCGCGAAGCAGGAGAAGGATGCCGGGGTCGTATATGCCAAGGAGTTCGAACAGTTCATCCCGAAGGCGCCAGTCAATGACAGCGCTGAACCGACTTTCTACCAGAAGCTTCGCAAAAACGTGTCGATCAAGATGGATGATGTGCTGAAGGCCACCGACAAGGAGAGTGATGAGGGAATGCAGCGCTATCTGGATCTTCTCCTCGCCTCCGGCAATTTGAAGAAGGCTCGCTTCCACGCCAGCAAGAAAGAATTCAAGCACGACCTCCTCGACGTTGCGCAATGGGCTGGTGAATCCTATTCTTGAGATAACCATTTGATTTTCAGAAGAAAAGGAAGAAGACGTGCCCTCGGCTCTGGTTAACTGGAGCATCCGGAGCAAATCGCCGGCTGTACGCGCTCTCGTTCAGCTCTATCTCGCTGCTGACACGCACCTTCACCCTCTCCAAGTCGCCGCCTATGCTGACTTTCACTCCGTCCAGTAAGCCCATTTTGTGAGTTTTTGTATGAAGTTTAGGGATGCTTTTGTGCTCTCTTCCGCCGTCTTCGGTAATGATGAGCCACTAACCAGGCGACTGCACCAACGATGGATGGAGGGCGAACCGGGGGAAGAAGATACTAAGGAGAAGCCGGCCGACGACCCCGAAGAAGAAGACGTCGATTTGCACAACCAGCTTGAAAAACTGGCGACGAGCTCGACGATCAGCCGCGTTGACTTGGTGCGATTAATGGGCAATCCCGTACTGTTAATTTTAGGTCAAAATGTATCGTTGTGCCGTGGCATTGCTGGAAAAGAAGAGCAGCCCATTCAGAGCCCCGGAACTGCTCGTTCTCCGCGAAATGTTCGTGTTTGCAGATTTTGATTTATCATTAATTTAGTTTCGCGAAGTCGCTAGTGCTCAAGGATTGGAAACTGGCGCAAGCCGTGGCTATGGACCTATCGGAACGATGCAATGAGCAGTATCTAAAGGTATTTGCTGATTTTTCCTTTAGAGTTGATTCATAGGATACTCTCTCCTACGTCGTTTCGCTGAGCCAAGCCTTGGAAGTCGTTGAGGGTGCCGCGGTCGGCGACGAAGAAAAGAAGCTGCCTTTGAAGCACAACGATTTTGCCGAGTTTTTCAAGCATCTGTGTCTCGCCGATAGCGTCTTTGGCCAAGCTCCCGACCTGGATGCGGACTTGGGAGAGGTGACGCTTGTATTCAAACGTCCACGTGGTTTTGCAGGAGGACAAATTGATCAAGATCGACTCTTACTTCCGGTCGCTGCGCATTCTGATTTCTCGCCTAAAATTCGACGAAGAAATCGTCGAGCACTATAAGAAGGTTTTCAACACGGTGGAATCGATTTACAAGGTAGTCCCTCACATGTGCAAGATTTTTGGTTTAGGTCCTAATCGACGCTAGTTCGAACCTCGCCAATTTCCATGTGGAATCTCCCAACATCATCGCCTTCATAAAAACTGGTGTCGGCTTGTTCCCGAGCGCGCTGCAGAATGATCGGCTGAGAGAGGCCGTTGCACTGAATCAAGCAAGACTTTCTCCTTCGCCGGGCCTTATCGGAACATGCATTCCTCGTGGTATTTTTGTTAATACTTGTGTAAAATATTTTCAAGGTGCTGCCTCAAGCCCAGGCGAAAGCGTCGAAAATGTAGAGGACGTTGCAATTGGTCTGATATCGCAAAAGAAGCAAGACACTACAAACGGAAGCTCGGAGATCAAGGATGATGAGGTAAAACCCTTCAACCACTCACTCATGCCCTTAGGTTGTGGCCTTGAGCCCAAGCCAGCAGTCGTCGCTTTCCCAGGTTGATGTGCCGGTTATCGAAGTTCGCTTGACGCCGAGAGAGGGATCGCCTGTTCTGGAGACGGACGCTGCGCCGAAGCTACGTAAGACATTGCCGTTTTTCTGGTACATGCGTTTTTAGTTGATGGTGGCGCTGATTTTGAGGCCGGATTTGGTGGCAAAGAAGTCTTCTCCGGCGTTGCTTCGGCCCAGGACGTCAACTCCAACAGTTTCACCAAGGGCTTTGCTGCCGCTGGCCCCGCCGGCGATAACTCTACTCGGGGTAGCAGCTTCTTCCCTCGAGGATCGTACCGTGCTGCTTCGCAAGAACAAGTTCGTCCAGCGCGGTTCGAAGGTGGCATGCAGCGCCGAGGCGGTACGCGAGGCGGAAGGGGCATGATGGGTGGCCGCGGAAGCTTCGTTCGGGTGCGTTTATTGTTCATATTTATTATTTATTAGGAATCAGCTTAATCTGTGCCAATCAGACTCATTTTGCAAAGGGCTGACGGGTGATCTAAAAAGTTTTCGGGCGATCGGCATGGTTCTGAATGTTTCTTCACAGACTCGTTTTTTTCAGCAATAAGCAGCTCAACGCGACTGACATCGGACCGGTCTCTCGAAGCACGATTTTCCATTGATTTTTATTGCATTTGCTTTCGTTTGCATTTAGTAAATTATGTCCTGGTCTGTGTTGAAATACGTGAATGAAGTGTTGTAAATTTGTCTTGAACAGCGATTGTTTTGGCTTGGTCGAATGGGATCGACGGCTTCATACGATTCGCCCATCTGTTGTGACCGCGTTTTGCATATCGAAATTGATACGCATCCCTCTGTCGGAATTCGGGAAATACCATGTTTTGGTTACGACTTTGTGGGTTGAAAAGCGCGGATTTCAGCCATGTTGCCCACTTTTTCTACTCATCCCTCCCGTAGCCCGCCAGTGAAGCCTCTCTTCCTGGGTTCCCGCGGGCCAAATTCTTCATCTACTCGTTTTCCAAAAATTTTCGTTCGACGATGATTGCGCAGGCAGTTCCAGGTGGGAACCCTGCCGGGCTGGGTACGCGAATTTGACAACTTTATCTAGGCTCGTCACTCGTCTAAGAAGTTTCCCCTTTGCTCTAAAAGCGCGTCCTTGTTGCAGGTAAGCAAGTGGAGTCGAACGTGCTGAAGCTGCTCTACCGGCAGCATCTGCAGAACCCGAAAGCAGCCACCGGGTCGCCGGCTCAGCCGCCAGCACCCCCAAAGGCCGGCCAGCCGCCCCAGAAGATCAAGAAGAAGACGCTGTAGGGGGGCTGGAGAATCTTTTTTAGAGAATGCTAATTAACTACCCATTTTTTTTTCAGCGAAGAATGGCGTGACGAGCAGCGGAAGAAAATGAAAGAGCGCGGCATCCCGTGCATCTCCGAGGATCCCGAGATGCTCAAGGTAGTTTTAACGCCAGATTTTGGAAATTATTACTATTTCAGTCGGAATTCGAGTTACCATCGGCCCCGATCCGGCCCGCCGTCGTCAAAGAGCGGACCCGGGAGTTGCAGTGGAAGAAGCCGAGCACCGTCACCACCGACACGGCTACCAGTCCGTTTTCAGCGGTTTTTTAAATCGTGAAAAGCGATAGTTTTTAACTTTTTAATTCGGTAATTTATTAGTTATCGGATAAAGATTAGACCGTTTTGAAAATTGCGGCAGCCGAGAATCGATCTTTATGTGATATTGAGTCAGGTTTTCATAATTTTTCAGCCGGGACGACGCGCAGCCCTACGGGAATCTCGCCCGGATTGATGGCCGGCGGCCCTCGAACACCGCATGCATTTACGGTATAGTTTTTCAATGACATCGATTTACTGCTCTTTTTAGCCACCACCAGTAAAAGCATTGCCGGTGGTCCCTGCGGCAGCGATCGTCGAAAAGCACGAGAAACATGAGAAGCACGAGAAGCCGGAAAAGGAGCGCAAATCCGACCCGTCTGCCGATAAATCGATGTATTTCCGAAGTTCTTAACTGATTCTATCATTTTCCAGCTCGACATCCCCGGATCCGCAGGGTGAACGGCGGAAGAAGAAAAAGAAGAAAGAAAAGCTGGTGGTGGATGAAGCCGGGAAAGCACCACCACAGCACCATCCAGAACCAGTCGTCACCGTGGTTGCCGCACAGGTAAATTGGCTCATTCTGATAACATTGTGTACTTTAGCTAAGGGTTGAGATTCTAGAGAAAATATACCTTTTCCAGGCCCTCCCCCGAGTCCCGTCCACCCATACGGCCCCAGTTCAGCCAGCGGCTGCCGTCGACGCGAGCGTGAAGAGCTACAAGTCGGAGAGGCGCGAGAAGAAGGAAAAGGAGAAAGAGAGGGAGAAGGAGAAAGAGAAGGAAAAAGAAAAAGAGGTCGAGAAGCTCCCATCCACCATCACGCCGCCCATCATGCCGCTGATAGTGGTCGAGGTGGGTGCTAGACGAGCAGAAATAATGCGAAACGACTAATTTATAAAAACTATATTTATAGGAAAAGAAAGCTGAAGAGAAGAAAGAGGAAGGTCCCGCCGCCGACGCCTCCCAATCGCTCAGGGTACGGTGGTTTCGGGCAGATTATAATTTTTAAAGCAATCAATCTGGACGAAACATCTTGGAGACATTTTTTAAAATCGTTTTTGCAGCGCGACAAGAAGAAAAAGAAGAAGGTGGCCGTGCAGGACCCGTCGGAGAAAGCGGAAAAGGAACGGATGCTGGAGGCTATGCCGGATGTGGGTGTTTTTGCAGGCGATAGGCAACCTTTCAAAATCAATCGATTTATTGGAGGACCCTTGAAGCGGCGCTGAATTGAAATCATTTTCAGGAGCCAGTGCAAGCCGCACCGATCCTTTCGCCGGCGGAGATGCTCAAGGACAAAGACAAGCTCGCCCAGGCCGAACAGGCGTTCGAGAATGATGTCACTGTAAGGCTCTGGGCCTGCAAATTCAGAGTTTTCTATCTTTGCAGCCCGGAGCCGCCGCCACCGCCCTCGAGGTGCTCAAGGAGGCCAAGGAGCGAAAGGTAGCTTTCAAGCCGTCTGAGCAATACCTTCAACCTTATAATTTCTAGTCCCTGGAGCGCCTGATGAACCCGCACGAGAACGACCTGCTCGCCAAGTTTTTCGCCGGCATGCTCGCCTACAATGAAAAAGTAAAATTTGCTCAATCATAATTCTCGCAAAAAGCTGTGTGGTAGGATGCTCTGATTTAGATCATGGCACTGCTGGGGAAAGCGCTAGACGGCATCTTTGAAGACACCCACCGAGCCTACAAGACGAAACCCCGCGACCTGCCAGACGCATGCTTCTTCCTCAACAAGGAAATGGTTCGTGTTTGCCGTGATTTTTTTAAATAAAACTTCTCCAGGCTAAAAAAGCCATCTTCGACGCGCTGTTCGCCCACCCGGAGTACTTGCCGGACTCGTGGAAGACGAAGTTTCAGCGTGAGTTTGCCACTGACTTTTGAGCTATCTAAAGGGGACGGCTAGCAGCAGTGATTTTTGAAAACGCATAAACATAAGAAAAGATTCTAAGAAAAAAGTTGTTCCCCCGATAATGGAAAAGAACCAGCGGAAATTTCTCGAAAACTCGTCACCATCGATTCTTACGGCGCCAATATCTATCTTCCAGTGTGGCGCGAGGAGGCAAACCGCGAGCACTACGGCATCCACTGGTGGCAGGTGCTGTTCTGCTACCCCAAGCAACGCTCCTTCGACGACTCGGCCGTCCGCGAAGATGGCACGTTCACGCCGGCCGCCCGCAACCTGCTCATTGCCCTCTTCATCGGGCCCAGCGACCAGAAGACGTTCGAGGAGACGTCGCGTGAACATGCCGCCCGTGGCATCTACTTTACCCCCGCCCTCGCCAACGCCGCTCTCTGCACCAAGGACGGCTGCAAGGTGGGAAGAAACGAGCCGGAAATTGAAGAGCATTTCAGGATTCGAAAGACGGCTGCAAGTGCAAGGCCAAATAGAGCAGCCGAAGCCTAACTTATAAGGTGTGCCTGGCTTACGGTTACTTATGATATTTTATATTTTCGCGCTACCTAGTACTGTTTTTCAGGAGCCACCGCAGCTCTTGAAGATGGACGTTATTCTCCGAGCAACCAACACGCCTTCAGCTAAACAAAAACCATTATCACCCCACCCCGCTCATCGCCCCGAACGATTTTACCCGACCCTCCCCCTACCCCTTACTCGCCCCAAATTGTGTGCCAACAAATGTTAATAATTGTATAAATGACGTTAGACCCGTTATTCATAGAGCCGAAAACAAATGACGACAACGTATCACAACAAATAACAATACAAACAACAACAATTCATGCAGAATCAATAACGGTGATTATTATTATTATGTTTTGAGGCGTATGTAGCAAATCGTCTCGTCCGGCGACGTCAACATCACCAAAATCATCGAGTACTTGGCGGCCGTCCGGATCAGTTGTTCTATCTGGAAACCGAAGAATAGAAGAAAATTTTGCCAGTTTTTACGTTTAGGAATAGCATAAAACGTTTGGAAGCAATTTCGTGATTTGTATTTGAAAAATAGGTCTTAAGAAAAAAGCTAGTTCCCCCCCCCCCCAATAATACAAAAGAACCGCATTCCGATTTTAAGAAACCCCAAACCTGCGCATTGATGGCCCGCTTCATCTTCGCGGAAGTATCGGGCAGCTGGCCGTCTTCCAATTCCTCCTGCTCTTCGTCGTTTGGATCATCGGGCAACACGACGTCCCCATTAAAATTCAGCTCGACGACGCACAGCGCGTACTCCAGCATGTCCATGCATACCTAAAAATAACAATTTTAATAGATAAAAATAATGCGCCGTACCTCCTCGATGTAATCCTGTTGATCGGGAAACTCGGAGGGAAGTCGTCGTGTAATTCTAGAAAATGGTTCACTGGTTCAAAGAATTCCGCCGACGAAACGGCCGTGGTCTGTTAGCGGGGGCGGGGGGTGCCAATTCTTTTCCAGAACGAAATACAAAACCGTTTTTATAGCATTTTACATAGTTTTTAGATCAAAAAGTTTTAAAAAATTTATTAAAATTTTTGATTTACGGTCAACACTGCATAAAAAATGGCCCAAAAAATCACGACTTGTTTTAAATTCAAAAAATATTTTTATAAGTTTCTAAATCAGAAACTACCAAAACATTATAAATCAGAAACTACCAAAACATTATAAATCAGAAACTACCAAAACATTATAAAAATACATTAAAATTGGCCACATGAATAGGTGGAACACAAAAAGTGGTTTTCTCTCTGATAAAAATCCCACCCCACCCCCTCTAACAGTCCCGAACCGACAAAACCTACAATTCCCCCACGGGCACTTTTGCTTTCTTGATGGCCTCCATTCCAAACATCAGCTTCTTCCCCTTGGAGCCCTTCAGATATTCGTCAATTGTGCGCAGCGTCGTCGCGCTTTCAGATCGTACAGCTTTCCTAAGCCCAAATAAAAATAATAACGTTACAGCTCACTTCCAATCGAACGTCGCCCCTTCAGATGTGGACGCTGGGTGCTTGGCCAGACAGAGGATACATTCAGAAGGAGGAGACACCTGAACATCCTACCTTATATAATTTGGTCGCGTATCTTTGTGTGTGTGTGTGTGTCCGGCGCCAGGGAGGGCTACTTTGCATAATTCCAAAAAATACAAATTTCCTCATTCTTGCAAGTTGCACGCGCGGGTGTGGTCGGAGGAAGGGAGGGGTCCGAAGGACCCAAGCTATCGGAAAGTCAAATTTCTCATGCAAAGGCCGCATTCCAGCGCCCAAGGCCCGCGAAGCAGGTTTTGGGCGCTGGTTGCAAAATAATTTGTGAAAATCATAGAAAAAAAATCCAAAATCCAAATTTTGTGCGAATTACCTGGCATTGACATCCCTCAATGATACAATCCAGTCCCAGGCGTTGCCCACACGCACAATGCGCCACCCTGAAAAGGAAGTTGGGTTCTTTCGCATTATCGGGGGGGGCTACTTTTCCTTTCCAATTTTTTTCTCAGGCGTGAATCCTTCAAACTATGTTTTAGCATCCATACGCTTTATGACTTCACAAATTTTGATTAAAAGGTACAAAAAAAAAACAGAATTTTCGATCAAAATTGCGACTTTTGAAAATTTGTTGACATTTTTAGATAACTTTTCTAATTGAAGTGAAGTTTTATTTTACCAGCAACCCAATTAAAATACTTCCCGTTAAGTCACTTGGTATTTCTAGCTTTATGCAACCCCTCCCCCACGACCCCCGATAATGCGAAAGAACTGGAACTTGAAAAGTAAAAATACTAAAAATGGATAATTCCGCGACGTTCCGGGCAAATAATTTTGAACTCACCTCGTCTTGGGCATCAGTTTTATCCGCTTGTTTGCCGGCTCCGCACCACTTGCCTGCGATTCCCGCTCTTCCTCCTCTTCGGCCTCCAATTCGTCGCGCTAAATCAGAATCGTCCAAAAAATATTTTCAAAAAAATTACAATCTGCTGGCGATGCTTTTTGATGTACGCCTCGTAGTCCCAGCCAAAGAGGCAACTCCCGAAGACCAATCTAAACAGCAAAAATCTATTTCAAAATGCGGTCCAACCCCTTTTCCACCTTCAGCTTTGCCAGCTTCATCGCCGCCCAGCTGTCCTCCACGGAACAGTGACCCTTGCCGTCCTAAAAATGACTGCATTTTTTTTAAATTTTCTGGACCTGAATACTCTCATCACAAAACAAATCGGAGAGGTTCTTCAGCGATGTGCGCATCTTCGTGCTGCCCGACAGGTTGAAGCGGCGCCCAATGTCGAGAATGTAACTGAAAAAATTAATCTTTCAAAAAATCAAACGCACGGATGGCTCATTTGCAGCGCCTTCAGATCAAATTCCAAGGAATGGCCGACGAGGATGGCATCTGGAGGAAGAACGGCCGATAACGCTTTCTAAAAAAAATAAAACTAGATTTCCACCAGAAAAAAATTAGAATTCTTTTGAAGTTTAAAAAAATCGAAATCTGCGTAAAAAATCGTCCTTTTTGTCGAAAAATCGATATTTTTCGACTTTCCCGACGACTTTACCTGAACATCCTCCAAGGTTACGGTAACGCCCTCCAGCATCTCCGGCGTGACGCCGCTGAATTTCGTCAGATAATCCTAAATTAATAAATCCTCAAAATTCAGAAAACGCTTACGATAATCTCGCGCGGGGGCTTGACCAGCGTGTCGAAGACGACCGACCCGTCTTCGCGTATCTAAAAAATAGGGAGTATACAAGTGAGGCTTCCGCAACGCACCAAGGAAATCCGCGTCAACTCGTGCATTCTGCTCGTCGTGATGCACATCTCACAATCGAGGGAGAACATCGGGGATTGGTTGGTGATCGGCGCGTAGCTAAATCAGTTTAAAGAAATCTAGATAAGTTAAATTTACAGCTCTTTCGTCGGGATGATCGTATCGGATGGGAATGGGTACTCGAAATCGATCAATTCCGTCGAAGAGAGGACCAACTCTGATTTCAGGCAAAATTCTCTTGGGTCCAGGTTGACGGCGTCCATTTTCTGAGAAACAACAGTAATCAACAAAAGTAAAAATTCCTTACCGCCAATTTCTCCTTGATCTGTTCTTGTAATGACACGGGGACATGTAGTAGATTATTGAAGAAATCTTCGCGATCGTAAAGCTAGAAAAATATAATAGTAACGAAAAAACCCCGCATTACCTCCTCGTGCGCCTTGATATGCTGCCGTTCAAAGAATTTATCGAGAAACTCGTAGGAGGCCTTCTAAATAGGCATTTAGCGATTTGTATAGCACGTACCACAAACTCCCCGGGGCAATCGACGCGAATCAGGACGGTCTGGGTGACGCGCTGGGGCTTCGGGGCTATGTGGCACCATCGTGGCCTCTTAACGGCCGGCCCAATCGTAAAGTACTGGATGAGATCGCTGATTTCTAAAAAAAATAAGAATGGAAAATGTCGAAAACAACGAACCAGTATGCGAAATGTACGTTCCGCCCAGCTTCTCCATCGTGAAGCGCAGTTTTGGCTGATTGAGCAGCTTCTCCATTCTCGCCTCTTTCAGCTTCTGCTTTACTTCTTTCGGGTCGGGGAAAATACCGTCCGGGGGCTCGTAGCCGGGCCTAAAGCGGGTTAATTGCAAATGCAGGGAAGATTCTACCTCCCCTCCCTCAGATAGAGCTCGGCGATGTCTTTGCGCTGCTGGTTGATGGCTCGCAGGTTGTTCAAGGACATCCGCGGCTAAAACAGATATTTTTAATTTACTTACAAACGTTTACAAGATTGTTACAAGAAAACAAAAATACAAGAAAAATTTACAAGAAAAATTTAGATTTTTACTTTTCATCGCCTAATTTCGGGCACACTACGAATGGCTTCAATTTACACGTGGACACTAAGGGTTCTTTGCAACAGCTTGAATCGGGATTTCCGAAGCCGAAAATTTTTTACTTTCTAAACTTTTCCATTCAGTTTTGTAAGAATTCGCTTTATAAAAGTGTTTTATTAGGCTTGTTTTGTATCTTACTGCTGGTGCAAAGCTCTCTAGGACAACCCTGCCGGGCAAATTTCCTTATTTTTACTACCCAAACTTCGGCAAAATATCTACTTTCAGCTCATCTACTTCTTCGACCCGATGGGGCTTCCGTGGTACAGTTGGCGTCATCACGTCGTGACGGTCGTCGGCGTCGTTTCGGTGACGGCGGTCGCGTACGGCACTTTTCGAGCCGCCCGCTTCTTGAATCGGATGATGAACGCACAACCATATGGGCAACACCAAGAAATAGAGGATTTTCTGGCGCATAAGCGGCAACAACAAGCGAATGCGGCCCGACAGCAACATTGAGGCCGCTTTTCGGCTAATGCTGACACGATACGAGTGCTGAAAAACAAATTACGCCGCCCGGCTGGGCCAATGAAAGGCATTTTGTAGCTTTCCACGCTCTCCGCTGTAATATGATATCTGTAATTGCTCCTAGTTTCATTTTTTATTGTAGTGAACAATTGTCAGTGTGTTTTTACGCTTCAAGAAAACGTGTTCTCCGTTATCCGTTCTAATTTTCCCGTTGTTTTTAGATTACGGGTGCTTTCGATATAGAGTAAATTTTAGACTTGTCTCATCTGAAGGCTTCTCAAACGACTTGCGATATGTCGAAGGGTGGCGAGGAAGAGCTGGAGAAGCAGTATCACGTCTACAAACAACAATTCGAGGAGTGGCGAGAGAAGAATAAGTAAGCTTTTATTTTGAAGACCTTGGAAATAAACGATGTTTTTGTAATGTCAAAGAATTGTATTTTTAGAAGCTCGCAGGGCACGGATGCGTATAACGCCTATGTGAAACAATTCGAGGACTGGGAACGCGATGTGGAAAAGCGACGAAAATTGCTGAGGGAGAAGGTACAGAATTTGAGTTGAATCTAAGAAAATGTTTAGGCGGAACCGAGCCCAGTGAAGCAAGAGAGCGAAGCGGAACGGAGAGACCGCGATCGGTTGCGGAGAGAAGCGGAAGAACGGGAGAGACGGATAAGAGAAGGTGAGAGGAATTTTTTGGCTTGCCGAGGTATTGGATACGATATTTTTTTCCAACATCAACATTTTCAGAACAAGTACGCGCCGAAAGAATCGCTGCCGAGCAGAAAGCGGCCGCCGAAGCAGCTGCGTATGCGCAATCTCAGCAGGTATTCGCGTTCTTTCGTATTTAATCGTTCTTAGGCATACCTAGCTCATCACCAAGCGGGGCTCGAGCAGGACCGTCTCGGCCGAGGCCAGGTGCACGTTCAGGCCTCCGCCGCCGTCCATTACAGCGCGACGGGTGAATTCTCGCCGGACGGCCTAGCATCAAAATGTCTCTCTTTTCAGCCCAAGCATCAACTATGGCCGTGGTGGACGAGGTGAACGCGCAGAAGGTATTGCAGCAAATGGCCGAAGTTGTGATGGGCGGACAGCAACCGCAAATGCAGGAGAAGACACCCGTCTATCAACAGCAGCCGCCTCAACAGCAAGCCCAAGCAACCCCGCCACAACTATGGGGCGGATCGAAACCTGTGTACGATGTTCGAGTAGGTTTTCGTTTTCTGTTTTTATGAAAGGGATATTGCTTAGGATCCAATGTTTGCGAAATGGGGTATGCGCGCGGCCCCGGCTCATCAGCCACCGCCGCTCCCTCCGGCGCCGATAATGCCGATGCCTTATTGGTTGAGCATCGAAGAGATGAAGGTATGGATTTGGTATCAGAATCTCGCATTTTCATAATTTTGCATTATCATAATCTCGCATTTTTATAATCTCGCATTTTCAGAATCTCGCATTTTCAGATACTCGCATTTACAGAATCTCGCATTTTCAGAATCTCGCAATTCCCATAGACTAGTTGCATTTCGACTAACTATAACTAACAGAGCCTCGGCATTTGAAAGTTTCTAGAACCGTTGGGGGGTTTCCAGTAACGCACGACAACCGTCTAATCGAGGCGCAGCAACAGGGCATGAAGCAGACACCCCTTGCCATCGATTACCAAGCCCAGCGTGGCCTCGACGAGGCGTACGACGCATCTGACCATCTCGAATTCCTTTAATTAGTGGCCCAGACATTCGATTAATTCGGTGTGATCCGCCTATTCTGTGATCAATCATCATTCATCGAATTCTTGGAACCCTTGGAAAGCCCTAGGAAAAGTTGCTAGACTGAAATTGCGAGATTGCGAGATCCTGAAAATGCGAGATTCTAAAAATGCGAGATTCTGAAAATGCGAGATTATGAAAATGCGAGATTATGAAAGATTCCCGAAGGTATGGATTTCAACGAACGAATCGGGTCTAAAAACTGATTGTATCCTTTTTTTATGATTGGGTGGGATTTCGGTGCGTGATTTCCTGCGCAGAATTTTTTTGCTCATTTCGAATCAGTTTTTAAACGTTGCGGAAACCCCTGGTTGCAAAGCTAAACGTAGTTACAACTACAAAATGTCAAAAATAGCGATCTGTGGTCATCTTTTAGAAATTTCGAATTACTGGTGCGTGAGGTCGAAAGACCACTTTTTTTCGGGAAATCGCATACTTTTTCCAAAGTATTTCACGGAATTTTTAGGAGAATTTGAAGTAAGGAATTATCGGGATTTTCGGTATTAAAAGCACACCAAATTTTTAACCAAAGGTTCTGGCAACTTTCGAAATCGGATTCGGATCAGCGAAATATTCTACACCATGTCTGCTAACTCACGTACCGAAATCAATTCCACTGCGATCACAAAAAGGTTACAGCGAGCCCTTCGAACACCGCAAAAAGAAGAGAGCTTGACGCTGTATATTTCATTTTACAGTCTCGAAAACTGATGATGGCACCGATGGGCCCGTCTCCGATGGTACCGCCTTTCATGTGAGGCCAAAAAAAATTCCGCGTTTCCATTTGTATTGTGATCTCATTTCTGTTCCAATTACCCAATTGTCTTTTCCGATGTTGTTGTATTTTGAAGGGCGTCTTGCCTCAAAACGCCCTAGGTTACGGGGAAAATGCCTAAATAAAGCTAACAAGCCGTCACAAAAAGTCTTTATTCACATGAACGCGGTTATAAAAGCGATTAATTTGCGGGTATTTCTTTCGTAATCACACTTTGGATACAATTGATTGACTGCGAGTGACTAGTAGTAGTAGTAGTAGTAAATGGGGAATTGTCTTTCGCTGGGCCTTCACTTCTCCGCCGTTTTGCCCAACTCCTTCGCCTCGGCGATGAACGCGTTGACGGCCGCCTCCGTGTAGCGCCCCGGGTGTTTCGCCTATAATTGGGGGATATTTTCAACCCACTGTACGCGGTATAGCACTTCAGGAAAGCTCAAGTGGTCGTGGTCGTCTCCTTTTCCAGATCAAGCTTATGCTCCTACCTGGCAATAATCCAAGACGGCGGCCGTGATGAATACGTACTGGAACTCGGTCTGGACGGCGTGGGCACGCTGGCCGCGCAACTTCTTGTACAGCTCGGGCAGCTGGAATTTATGGCTTACTTTTCATCAAAAGTCTAAATGATTTATTTAGTTTACATAAACTTTGGCTGCTTTCGCAACAAGGCAAAGCTAAATTCCTGACATCAGCCGGCTTTCTGCCCGAGTACAGCTGCGCGAGAAGCCATTCGACGAGGATGAACGTCCCCGTCCGGCCGACCCCCGACGAGCAGTGCATCAGCGTGTTGCCCTTGTTCAGCTTGTCGCCCTGAAAAGCTCTTGTTTGGGCTACTGCTTTTTCTTTTCGCTATTGTGCGACTAGCTCCCCTCGGGAAAAATGTCATCAAAAACCGACGCGATCGAGCAGTCGAATCAAGCGCAGCACGCGAGTCGTCTTCAGAGGCACCAGGGGCGCCTCTTTCTTTTGTTCCTTAGCAGCGGGATCTGGAATTGCGACAAATTCAATCTCGAGTCGGAAGGTTCAAAAACCGGTTCTTTCTGCGCTAAACTACGCGAACTTACGCGAATTTACGTTCAAAGTAAGAACTCTCACCATACTGGACGATGCGTAGCATTCGGCTATTCGAACATCCATCCGGCAACAATTCGATGGTGAGCGTGACGAAACTCTCCTCCGTCTCCACCTTCTTGTTGTTCACAAAGAAACGGCCGTGGTTTTGGAATTGGCCGGCGGCGGCTGGCCAGTAGTTGCTGCCCTAGAAGGGTGATTTCTGGGATCGAGCTGGTAGATTACCTTCACTTTGCCATCCTCCATGTTGGCCGATAGTTGGCAGACGGTGACAATCTCGTACTCCCACACCATGCGCCAGAAATCGACGATGCTCGCTTCGACGGGGGATTGTGTGGCAATGTAGACGGTCGGGTGGTTTTCCAGCTAAACAAAGTTGATAAAATGTTAGGTTCTGGGTTGCCCTGCGATTTTCTACGACCCTATAACAAAATATAGACCATTTTTATAGCATTTTACAAAATATTTTTATATAAAAAACCGCCGAAATTCGCATAACAATTTCGAAAATTAGTTTTGTTACATATTTTTTAAAAAATGACCAAACAGGTAAAAATTCGGTAAGAGACTAGAAAACCCCCCCCCCCCCCCCCCCCAGCCGGCACCAACTTTTGTATCTCGGCCCCCCTTTGTGCTAGCGAGCTCTAAAGTATACCAAAATGTTCGCCGTAGGCTAATTAGTAAGACTACATTGCAGTTCAGTCGAAAAAAGTAGCGAAAAATAAAAATAAGGAGCGTAGAAAAGTTGAAAAGTCGGCTGGGGTGGGGGGGGTTTCCTAGACTTGAGCCAAAAATTCTCGAATTTTCTAAAAATCTAAAGCGTTTTTTGTAGCTTCTCTGGAATCAAAAACTGCTAAAAACACCAAAAATACACTATTTGTTATTAACAGGGATTTATAGACGGCAAAACGGTCCAGTGCCAATTAACCTAATGACGAAAACGCCATACCCTGCACCAATTCGCGTGAATGTAGTCGCCCTCCCCGGGCACCTCGGGCGTCAACTTGACGCGCGTTTCATCCAGACACGTCAGCTCTGGGTAGCGATTCTTGGTCGGGTTGGCGGCAAAGGCGGTGGCGGCTTGGTTGGGCGACTGGTAGCCCTTCACTTCGAGGAACTGCTTCTTCAGGCCGCCCACGCCTAAAAAGGGAGAGATATTTGGATGTATGGATACAAATTACCTAGCGTCAGCGTAGCCTGCACCCATGCGTCAACACCGGCGAGGATCGGGTCACTGGTGGTGGGCGGTGGGACGATGACGATTGGGCCCTTTGTCGCCGCGTCTCCTGGCGACTCTGAAAAAGGCTATAAGTAACGGTCCTATAACAAAATAAAGCGGCTATAACGACGGGCCTTATACACAGTTTTTAAATATAAAAAAAACGCATAAAAACATAAAATTTCCCGAAAATGCGCGACTTCTTGGCCAAAAATTTACGAAAAATGACCAAACAGCAACTTTTCGAATTTGCAAAATAGGTTTCAAATATGTTTTGTAACTTTCTGCGAATCAAAAATACTGGAAAAATTAAAAACGCAGCTTTTTATATTAACCCGTAGGCGAGAAAACAAAAAGGAGCCCCCTGCTAACAGCCCAGCGCCGCCCGGCGCCCAACTGCCAACTTTTGTATCTTGGCATCACCTTGTGCTACAGAGCTGTAAAGTATACCAAAATGCGCGTCTTGACCTGGCGAGTATTTTGATATACGTTACACCCCTGCTCTGCAGGACAAAGCGGAACCGAGATCCATCAGGTGGGGTCGGCCAGGCGGGGTGAACTGCATTAAAGACCGCTAAACTCCGCAGAAGAAGCATAATCCGGATATGAAGAAAAGCATAAACACACCTGATTCCTTGGAGAGAAGCTGCGGTGCGCCATGGCTTGGGTTTTTGCCTTTGCGCTTTGCGGCGCGCTTCGTTTCGCCCTTCTTGCCAGGTGTCGCCGGGCCCTGCTCGTCGGGGTCCTCTTCCCTGGAAAAGGAGTTTGAAGCTTTTCATTTAGCGTCATTTTTCGAAACAAATGTAATTGATCCGTGATCTACAGATCAAGGGCTGCATTTTGGTACATTTTACAGCTCTGTAGGTCGGTTGGGAGCCGAGAAAATTACCTTAACCAAGTTTTTTAACTTTTAAAATATCGTTTAAAAGATTCTAGCAATTTTCGACCTAGGAAAATATGTTTCTATAGGTTATCGAGCATGGCGAACAGTTTAAGATACTCGGCGCATGAATAGAAAATGTTAAAGTGTGGGTGAGCCCCGATTGGCTTGGTTTTTCAACTTTAAAGCCTCGTTAAAAAATTTTTAGCAATTTTCGACCTAAGAAAACCAGTTTTCCATAGATTGTCGAGTAGCGAGCATTAGAGATACTAGACGCGCATTAATAGAATACCTGGTGGGGGCGTCTTGGCTGGCTTTGGCTCGGCTGGTCTTCGCTTTCTTCGGTGGCATTGTGGAAGGTGGATGGGCCCAGCTGGAAGGACGGGGTGCAGGGGCGGGTGAAGCTGTTGACCTAATGGGTAGACAGTGCCCGATCCGCTTCATATCCCTTCCTCCGCATGCTAATTACGGAATTCCGGTATTCAAAGTGTTTTTGGCTGTTGTCTATGCGAATCCGTGGCTTTCAAATAAGGTGCAATTTTATCGGTGTCCGCTTTTGAAGGGAATTCCAGCGAATTCTAGACATAATGCCGACATTCATAATATCGACGGCCTAAATACCGACACCCTTAATCCCGACAAGCCATAATCCCGACGTCGAAAATACCGACATCCAAGATCCCGAAAAGATCAGCTTGCCGGGATTTTCGACCTCGGTCTTTTGGCTTTCGGTATTTTAGCTGTCGGGATTATGGCTTTCGGTATTTTCGGGATTATCGACTGTCATTACTTGATCTGTCGCGATTTTCGATTTAAGATATTGGAGTGTCGGTATTTGGTCTATCGGGATTTTAGCTTTGGAGATTTTGGCCTGTCGGGATTTTGGCTGTCGAGATTTTGATCTAGCGGGATTTTTTTTGCGATATTGGACTGGCTGGGCAGATCTTTTTTTACGATTTTTCTCAATCTCAACCGTGCCCCTGTTTTTCCTTCACCTATTCATAAACTTCCGGTGTTTCTGCAGTGACCGGAAATGCTTAGGGGGAAAAGCCGCAGGGGGCGGGCAATGTCACGATTTTTGCGTTATTTATCACAACTTTCCGCGGTGCACCTCCGGACATGAGAGAGAGCGGGATGGGACGGGCGTATTTTAGGGCACTAAAATCGGGGTGACTTCGACGATCAGAAAGGGGGGAGGAGGGCCTGAAAATGGGCACTCGGAAAGGTGATAAGCGGAAGGGGGGAAAGACGCGTAGTCCTTCTCAAAAAAGGCTATTCGCATCACCCAGCCTTTTTGGACCCGTCGATTCCGGGAGGGTGCTTTGTGATTTCGGAGCGATTTTCGAAAGATTCTCGGGGTTAAATCGGAAGATTCCCCCATTTGGAGTACCTTATCATTTTAGCCTTTTTCTCCAAATTCAAAGCTTTTTAATTTTTGGAATAATGTTTCAGAAAATCACATTATTTTCACAACATATTTTCATTTCCCGCCTGATATCCTTTGAGAATTAGCCGGTTCTATCGATTTTTCTAGAATTTTGAAAAATCAGTATTTTCTGGCTCTGGTTCGTTAGCGGGGGGATCGGTTGAAGGCCACGCCCATTCCTTCTCTTCGCTTCCCTTTCCTATTCAAAGCCCCCCCCCGCTAATGATCCAGAGCCCATTTCCATTTTCCATTCAGAACAGCGCAAAGTCCTCCAAAATATGGGTTCTTTAGGATTCCCGGGGGGGGAAAGTATTCCCGGGGGGGGAAACCAATTTTTTTCCTGGTGGTCTCGGCTGACCTAGTAATCAAATATAAAGTGTTTTCGAATTGTTTTTAGTAAGTTTTAACTATATTTAAAGTAGAAAAACTTTCAGAAAAATTTAGAAAAATGTTTGAAAAAGTCGGAAATTTGGTCATTTTGGGTCTTTCCCCCGCGAATCCTAAAGGTTCTATAGGATCGTTCGACCCAATTTTTATTTTTTTAAATTTTTTTTTGGTTAAAATGTGTGTAGTTTTTATGCTCAGGAATAGTTAAAACAATTTAGAAACGCATCCGCAATTAATAAAAAAATCTAGGCTTGTGCCGAAAAAAATTTGGTTTCCCCCCCCGGGAATACTTTCCCCCCCGCGAATCCTAAAGAACCAAAATATGTTTTGGGTAATAACGTGAATAGGCCAAATTTCGAATTAAAGCCTGCCAATTCAACCAATTCTAGCTAAAATTTTGTAGTTTTTTAACATTAGTTGCAAATTCCAAAAAAAAATCAAAAAATTTCGGATGTCCGGGAATAACGTTTCAGAAAAACAGCTAAAGACGATATATTTTTTTAGTATAATTGGCGTTGAGTTCCATCCTATAAAATTTCTTTTTAATGCTTTGTTGACTTGTCAAAACCTCAAATTAATTCTAACACAAAATGATAATTTACAATGTATTACAATGGCAAAACTGCTCGATTTAATTTCAGTGAGCAGGGACTTCCAAAAATCGAGATAAATAGGATTCTCGGATCGTTTTAAAGTCTTTTAACGCTTGATTTTTTAACTATTCAAATTCAAAATATTAAATTAAAAATTGACCCTGATTGTTATATCGCCTCACGAAAATATATTAAAGCGGTTCACCTGTGATTTTTGGCTTCATAAAACTGCGCCGTTTTTGTAGAAATTTTATGTTTCGGAAAATTCATAACATTCCACAAATCTGTTATCAGCAATATCATTCCGTAATGAACGATAGAAAATAGTAGCATGATTTGGCAAAACTGATGTTTTGGCTGTCCGTTCCTTTGACAGTAGTTTTCCTTTTTCTACGCACCCGGTCGGCAGCGCCGAATTCCAGAAGCTGTTATCTGGAAATTAGGGGAGCCCGGAATTTTGTAGTCTATAGTTTCGTAGTTCCGGAATCTCGTGAAAATTTTATGTTTCAAGACGGCATGACTTTTTTGTAAAAATGAATCATGCAATACACGGAAATTATCGGTTGTGTCAGCTGCGTCAGAAACCAGAAGGAATCGATAGCCAGCAAACTGCCCACGCCTTGCGCGTGCCTTTAAAGGAGTGGTGCTCGATGTTGGACCTTTTTTGTTATTGGTTTCAAAACATTCCGGTACCAAGTCGCACTTTTTCACCCAGATTTTCACCCGATGCTTTAATTTTCCTTACTGTAAATGTGATTTTATGGGATTTTAAACTGGAGTTTTGTAATAGAAGCTCTGTTCCACGCTTTAATTCTTCATTTCGGGAGTTTAACACAGTTTAAGGCAATTTTATCTGTTTATAAACTTGTTGTTTCGCGCTTTTTCTTTTACCAGCCGCTAAACATCAGCGTTTCATCAAAATTAATCAGTCCGACGTTTTTTGAAGCGGTAATTTTCGTATTACGTTAAAATCCAATTAATAGAAATTAAATAATTGAACCTAAGATATTTAAATTCGGAATTTTCTATCTCTATTTTATCCGAGTTTTTTTGTTTGTTGTTAGACCCTGATTTTGGCGAACTTTTTAATCCCCGGCCTCGCCGGCCAAATTCCAAGGTTTGCCCATCGGCTTCCCGGTGCCTTTATCAGCCGCCATTTTGAGCCGCTGGTCCCGAAATTCGTCGAGTATTTATTGATCTTAATAACATCTAATTTTAGAATATACAATTTAGACATGCTCTAAAAAAAATTGGAAAAATAACGTTAAATTATAGGCAAGAGAAAATTCGAATGTTTCGAGGTTTATTTTAGTAAAACTACGTAAAATTCGACTTTTCAGGTTTTCCGTTTCTTGATTCTTTTAAAAACACCCTTTTTGGCTAATTAGAATTTTGATTTGATATTTTGCTTTTAGTTATTGATTTACTAGCTTTCTTCGCTTATTAATTAATTAATTTTGTTCTGAAATTGGGTAAAATTTTCTTTTATTAACTTCCCGACGATATTTAATAGAGGCAATTAGCTTTAATGCTATACTTTTTCTACATTTTATACGTAATTTTAGTATCTGCTTATGCATTAAACTATGTGTATTCCATAAAAATGCTACGCCTTATAAAATTTTATTTTTAATAGATAAAAACGATGACGACTTCGTTGCATCACCTCAGCTTGCCCTCCTCTTCCGGTCAGGTCAGTGGATGTTTCACCAATGTTGCAGTGCTCATTCGTCAAAATTCAATATTTTGAGGAAAATAAGGTTGTTGATTTGCACATAAAGCATAAAAGTCGGATCCTGATACAGGCAACTCTTAAAACATCGTTTTTAAAAGAGTTTCACTGATGAAACGATGAACGCGATAAAATTGATAAACCTTCATTTGGCAGGCCTCGATGTAAGGCTGAAACTTATCACTTTTTAATAGCTAAATAATTAGACGGCGACTTTTTAACTTGATACTCGCGGTTCTATCAATAATTTGCTAAAACATAACTTTCAAAGTGAGTTTAGGAATCACATGTTTTAAATTTATGCAGCTTTAGAAGCTCTTGCTCTTAATTGAAACGAGCTAAGCGGTTTTCAAAAAAGCTAAATTAATTAAAACGTTTCTACACAAACTAGTGCTCGAAACCGTTCCGCACTTGTATAGGTGACTCGTAAAACATGGTTTATGCCGAAAATAATTCGGCGTTTTTTGTAAACCAAATTTTCATAGTTTTTTAACTTAAAAATTATTGATTTAGCTTTATAATTGATTTTCATGAATTAAAAACGGTATTTCTAATTTCTACCACGGGCTGCGAGAGTTTATTGCCGTAAAAATCCGCCATTTGAAACTCGGTATAACATTAATTTTCACAGTGATTTCCGGATAACAAAATGGATAAAATTTTGCATGGTTTTGTTCTTAATTTAAAAGATCTGGGACGTTTTCGAATAAGTAAAAATAATTAAAAAATGTCAACAAAAGGGAGGCTTATTCTCTAAAGATTTTCCCAGCGCTATATCCAAGTCGTTAAAACATCATTCTGCAAACCAAAATGGCCAAGTGTATTGTAAATTAAAATCTTGGTAGACTACTAATTTACAAATTACCGATTTAGCTGTATAACTACTTTACTTGAAACGAAACTCGATAGCGAGGGGTTTTTAGGCATTTCATTCAAACACAATTTTTGTAAATCATCAATCCAGAATCGCTGTAAATCATTTTTTACCAGCCTTTAAGCTATAAATTATTGATGTTGTTTTATAATAAATTTACTTTATTAAATTAATTATTTAGGGTCCTCATAAGCCATCCGCGTCTGCTCCAAATTCGCCAACAGATTTGCGTCCCGGGGCTTCGCCGGCAGCCGCCCGACGAAAAGCCGTAAAATCCACTGATCAGGTGAGATTTTTAATGTTATTTTAAGAGATTCTGTGTTAACTATTATTTATCAACGCCTTACTCAAGATACCCAAAAAAAATAAAGTTTACTGGATTTTTTTGCTGGAAAATTATAAAAAAAACGCTTTTTAAAATGTTATGAAAATATACTCTTCGTTGTTAATGAATTTCGGTAGTATAAAATATTTTTATAATATGATTAAAATAGCCTTTTCCTTTCAAAGGTTGATTTTTATAAAGATATTGAAAACTGGATTTTCTACAAGAAAAAAGCGTTTTCGCGAAATCCAGTACCCAATGGTTTCACAGCTATGTGATTGCAGTATAGAATATGACGGTATTCTCCCTGTCAAGAATGATGATAAAACAAAAGAAAAAGAAAAAACTTTAAAAAAAAATAGTTTTGGGTAAAATTACAAAAAAATGTTTTCTCTCAAGAAATATTTGATTTTTCAGGTGCCAGATTTAAACGTTCCCCACGATACCCGACCGCCGTTACATCAAAAATTGAAGATCAACATAATTGATTTTGATGCGGCTGTGGAACAGATGAAAAACGAGGTGACAAAATTATGTTTCACTCTAAAAACAGGACAAATCGAAATTTCTGTTATTAATACTCCGTCACGTCGAAATGATAAAATTCAACTTTTCAGTAATTTTAAAATTTAATGCCCGCTGTTATTTTGATTAAGTCCATAGCACCAAATTTTAGTTTTCCCCGCTGTTCCATTGCGTGAATTCATCGCCTTTGCATGGAAAATTATAATTTTTGCAGTCAAAATTGTTCATGAAAATTTTAGTCTTTGTTTTTTGGCAGATTTAAATATGAATTTAATTAAATTGGGCTATTCTACATTTTAATTTTAGAATATGGTCTAATTTGACCTGTTGTAAAGTTTTTGTAATAATCTTTGGTGGTAGATTATTGATATATGATGATATATGATGATAACAAATTACATTTTACAGATTGTGTGAATTTCTGCAAAATTAAATCCATTTCTTTAACTTAAATTTAGTCTCTGGAATCGTCTCGAAAGATGGTATTCGACATCGAGGTGGCGAACATGGAGGGCATTCGAGCATTGTCAAAGCTTGAGGAGCAGGATGGTATGTTTTAAAGGGAGCGTGACGCCAAAGATATGGTCAAATTGGCTTAGATTAAAATACCATACCTAAATGGGCTGCTCACTAGTCTGGGCGAAATAAAAATATGGTTTTAGCGTTCTTCGAAAAATATGTTTCAAAAAATTCAAGTTTAACCGGGGGTCAGAAGAGACGCAATGTATGCTCGCATGCTCTTCCTGTTTTTCGAAACTATGTAAAGGTTAATGCAATGAATTTTGGGATACAAAAATTAGCTAAAACGAGCTTTTGCGTTAGAAATGGTCTGCTTACTATGAAAACTAAATTCTCACCAAAAACTGTGTTTCAAAAATTTTGAATTCGCAAGGTTTCAGAAAAGTTGTATTCTGAAAAAGCGTTCGATTATTTGACCACCGTTTTTAATTTTCTGAATTTTATAAAAAAAAATTGGCTAAACTCGCCCCTTTGTTTCCCAAATGATCCCTGCTAGTTGCCACTAGTAGTATTGCGATGAAATTCTTACCAAAAATGTTTTGCAAAAATGTTCAGTTTAGCAAGATTATGAAATGATGCAATATAACCACAAGCAACGGGTTTACTGTAGTTTTTCGTTGTTCGGTGTTTGATAACGTAAAAATTAGCTAAAAACCGGAGGGTAGCAATTGATTTCTGCCAGTATGCCAACGAAATATCTACAAAAAATGTGTTTCAAAAACGCCAGTTTAACCGGGTTCAGAAAAGTTGTAGTATCGGCCTCTGCTTGTATGCCGATGAAATTCTTACAAAAAAACGTTTCAAAAGATGGTCAAAATCCATCCAAATTTTCCATAATTTTTTTAGAGCAACTCGACCGGGTACAGGCAGATCTTGAAACAATACACAACCACATGACGGAAGTCAGAAGAGATATCGGGAAGATGAATCGGTTGCTAGGCTGTTTATTTCCGAAAAAATTGCTTTCATGGTGGGTTCAGGATTTTCTTCGATTTTCGATTTTTTATCTCACGCTTTGACTCGCTCTCTCTCTCTCTCTCTCTCTCTCTCTCTCTCTCTCTCCCTCTCTCACTCTTTTTTTAAATACTTCATACAACATCTTGACATTATCACCCTAGTTGCCAACGAAATTACCTAATTTTTCGAAACATATTTTTTAAAACCGATAATTTTAAGTTTCCCGATCTCAAAATGCTCAACCTCCAACACGATCGATGCTGATTTTGAGGTTTATAGAAGGTGAGTTCCATTTCCTTAAATCTAAAAGCACCGAATCCATTCCGCAAAGAATCTCTGCTAGCTTGCCATTACTAGATCCGTGCTGGTTTTTAAAGAATCTCTGCTGGCTTGCCCTCCACTGATCATGCTAATTTCTCAAAGAATCGCTGCTAGCTTACCAAAAAAAAAACCCTAAAAAACTGCACCAGCCGGCTTTTCCCAAAGAACCTCTGCTAGCTTGCCCGTCATCCCAAATAATCTCCGCTAGCTTGCCGTTATCTCAAAGGATCTCTGCTAGAAGGCCATTTTTGAGCCGCTAATAACCTCTGCTAGCTTGCCCCGATCACAAAACCATTGTAATTTCCCATCCTAAAGAATCTTTGCTAGCATGCTCTCTTGCGATCAATAATCACCGCCAGCTTGCCTCCCCGGCCCATAAAAGTTGTTGATATTTATCACGGTCGCCCAGTTCGCCTAATTTCGAGCCCCCAAAAATATTTATTAGCCTTTAAAGGTATTTTAATAGGGGTTTTAATAGGTTTATTTGTGGGGGGCATCACATTCCTTGAATTACGACCCCAAAATGGGCTCTGTCACGTTATCAGTTCGACCCACAAAAAAGTGATTTCACCGACCATTCTGACGCAATTCAACGAAATACGGCACCCCGGGTGCATTTTCGGGAAATTTTTTGGATTTTTGGAGTAAGCCTGAGCCTAAGTTTTAGCCTAGGCCTAAGCCTAAGCTTGAGCCTGAGCCTGAGCCTGAGCCTAAGCCTAACCTAGCCTAAGCCTAACAAGGAGTCGCTTTTAAGTGCTTTTGGAGTTTCGGGACGGGACCTAGCTAGTTCGATAGAGAAAAAAAATTCTGAGCAGCATCCCGTTTTCAAAAAGTGCTGATCGATAAAGGTGTTTTAGAAAATTTAATTTAAAGTTCGCGCTTTTTTCCAGATTCCGGGTCCATTTGCTCGCTGCACGTCGTGTTGGGGGCTTGGCAGGGCGCCATTCGTAACCCTCCGCCAATGCCTCCATCACAGGTTGCATTGGCGTATTGGTAGCGCGCTTGCCTACCAACTTTTAACATTTTTTTTGCCTCGGGTTCGAATCTTCGCGCTCGCTAACCCTTTGCTTTTTGGTTCTTGAGCCCGTTCTCGGTGCATAAAATTTTAATTAGCAAAAAAGCAAAGAGTTAACGATAAATAAAAATCGAACTTGTGGCAAAAGGTCAAAAAAAAAATTCGTAGGTCATCGCACTAGCCACTTGACCATGCCTAGGACGGGATCCAAGGCGCGTGGAGTCCTCATGTGGCGGGGGCGGTCGACCGCCGCAAATAACCTCAAATCACCACAAGGGTCCGGACACCGGGAACAGTTTTAATTCAATTAAATTTTCTAAAACAGCTTTATCGATCAGCACTTTTTGAAAACGGGATGTTGCTCAAAATTTTTTCTCTATCGAACTAGCTAGGTCCCGTCCCGAAACTCCAAAAGCACCTAAAAGCGACTCCCTGTAAGCCTAACCCTAAGCCAAGCCTAAGCTTAAGCCCCTAACAAGGAAAGGGCGAATGCGCGATCTCGAAATTCGAAAAACGCTCGCGGCTACCCCCAGGTTATCGACTACGGGGAACACGATGGTGTTGGCAGAATTTTCCACCGAGCCCTGTAGAGCGAGATACGGTACTTCCGGAAAAAGGATCATTTGCATGCGAGAAATTAGAACGATCCCTGAGGTTTATTAGGAGCTTCCAAGTATCTACCACAGTCGGTGAGTTAGTCGAGTGCAAACGGTCTCGCTTTTTTAAATACCAACGAGGGTTCGCTTCCACTCGTAATTTTTTTGGCTTATTGGAGCGCTGTTTTTGCCTGGCATTGACAGTAATTTCCCAACGCTTCAAATAATATTGTTTGCAAGCCCCGAGCTCCAAAGCAAAAAAAACAAAATCTGCACACTGAAAGCTGGCGACCGGTAATCGCATGTTGCAAATTGCCCCCAAAAAAGCAAAAACAAAAATTTACGGGTGGATCCGAACTCTTGTTGATATTTCAAAAAGCGAGACCGTTAGCACTCGTAGTAGAAAGTAGATACTTGGAAGCTCCTAATAAACCTCAGAAATCATTCTAATTTCTCGCATGCAAATATGCTTTTTCCAGAAGTATCGTATCTCGCTCTACAGGGCTCGGTGGAAAATTCTGCCAACACCATCGTGTTCCCCGTAGTCGTAGCCGCGAGCGTAGCGAGCGAGGTAGCCGCGAGCGTTTTTCGAATTTCGAGATCGCGCATTCGCCCTTCCCTTGTAAGCATCAGCCGCTTTTGAGCTGAAATTTGGTACTGGTCTCTTAGTGGGGGGAGCCGATTTTTTTATTTTCTTCCGGATCCATCTATCTACCTGTTAATAATATTGAATGTATTTTTATACTATCTTTAACCGTCTTTGATTGCTAGAAATTCCAAGCACGTCAAGATCAGAAAATTAAAAATTTAACTTTTCAGAATCCTTTCCGAAACATTTTTTACCCGAAACAAAAAATTTGGGAATTTTTATGTAGTCATGGTTTCTAAAAATCTGTAAAATACAATCAATTATAAATATGCAAAAATAAGAAAAACAATAGAATTTGCAGAGCCTCCCAGCCGGCCATTCAAGTGTCGCTGAAAAAGAAGCAGCACTCGGTGCATCGAGATGACAGCCTCTCCCATCGGTATGTTTCAACGAGAATTAAAGACAACGAAACAGCAGATTTTTTAATAGATAACCAAGCTATCGGTAATTTTTTGTACGGGTTTCGAGGGTTTTTTGTGTTTCTGACGTTTAAATCCATTAAAACTATGGAATTAGTTGGTTTTTTTGACGGTTAAAAATTAAAAAAATTTATATTAATCTTAAATAAATTTTGAATTTTGCTCCATTGATACTTTATAAACCTAAAAGGTATGGTTTTAGCCTTAATTTTCCAGGCTAACCGCGGATTCTGCGGCCGAGGATGAGCTGGAGGCCAATATGCGACAGGTAATATTGTGAGATTCACGATTTTCAATGTTATTTTACCTAGATGTAGTTCTAACAAAATTATTCTGTGAACACGATAAGCCTCAACATTTTTTGAAAAATGTGCGTTTCTTTTTCTATAGAAAAAATGTTTCAAATTACTTCAACATTTTCAAACTTTTAATTGCCATTAATCGGGGGAGCGTTCGTAATACTACATAATTCTATTTAAAATATATTTAAAGAGCGCTTTTTTCAGATCTACGAGGGGGTGGATAATCTGCGGCATCTCTCCATCGACATCCACTCCCAGCTGATGATCCAGGAGCCAAAGCTCAACATGCTCGTCCAAATGGTTCGTTTTTCGTTCAAGGAATTTGCTGTTTGTGCCGCACCCATTAAATGGCTTTTAATATTGTAACGAATAAACCTTTCAAAAATCATGTAAAAAAAGAATGTTTCTAAAAAGTTGAACCTAAAAATTTTACACATTTTGGACCAAAAATGACCGATTTTGCCCAAAATTTCATTTCAAATTTTTTTAGCTTGTTGTTCTAGTTTAAATACAGCTAAATTTGGCTAAGACCACGATTAAAAAATTCCCTTTAAGTTTCTAGACATTGGTTTCTGGCAAATTGACGGGTTTTTAAAAAATGTTTCTAAAAACGGCCATTTCCCCCAGCCCGAAACCAGGCCTATTTCAGGCGGAGGACAGCTCTTCGGCGATGGGCGGCGCGCACAAGGAGGTCAAGAAGCTCATCGGCGATTGATTGCCACAAACTACAGGCTACAAACTATAAAATCCAACCCCATTTTCGGGACCATGACATTTCCGCCAGCGACATTTCCGCCAATTTGAGGCCAAAAACACACAAAACTTTCCAAATTAAAGATTTTCTTTGTGTTTTTGGCATTAATAAATTCAATCAACGTAAGTACATGCTAGTAGAGAAGAAATTACGATGCGGGAGGGTTGTTTTGGGCATCATATCGCGTGTTTTACCTTTTCAGGCGCAAAATCCGATTTTGAAGAAAAAGCCATCATACGTTTGTTATTTCTTCTGTAATAGCTAGATCCAGGCGAGAAAAAATAGTTAGGATTGTTACACGCATGAAACAGCGCATTTTACAAGCATTTTGGCCGTTGGCGGAATTGTCGTTGGCGGAAATGTCATGGTCCCCCATTTTCACGAAACCCTTTTCCGCTACAATACGGGCCCCGGGCGTTCTGGTTGCAAAACGGAACGCGTTCTCTCTCTGTGATTCGCTTGTGTACAAATGAATAAAATATAAAAATAGAGGAACCCGTTCAATGCAATAAAAAGCAAATCACATGTAGCAACCACAATTTATTAGAAACCCGCTATTCACAGAAAAATTAATTAGTCTTCATGTTGGCTTTTTTGTTGGTTCGTCTCGGGCTGCGCTGTCGGCTCGATTAACACTTCTTGGCGGGGCGGCCGCGCTTCTGAAATTTTCGATATTTTTGCTTTTTTTTCTAGACGCCAATCGATAGGCGTCGACAAGATACAACCAATTTTAATCACAGCTGAAAATTTTGGAAAATGCAAGAGTTAGAGCAAAAAAAACACTTTGAAAATGGCGTTAAAAAGCTAGTTTTCCGGTATTTAGAAGTTTTATATTGTCAGTATTTTTTGATATGCCGTTCGATAGAGCATCGAAAACTGTACGAAGGGTTTTAATTACGGTTCAGAATAACCCAAGATCAAAGAATTATAGCAAAATTACATGAGAAATTACAGCAATTATAAAACGTTATAGAAAGTGGATAGTTTTTCATTAAAATAACCTCTTTAAACAAGACACACTAAAAACCTTCAAGAAAACTTTTGCAATCCAGAAGTTTGGTAACAAAATGGCAATTTTTGGTCGAAAAATCCAATTTTTGTATTTTTTACAATTTTTTGAAAGTTTTGACGTTTAGTAATATTGAAAAAACAACTTAAAACCATTTATATTTTATTTATATTTGAAAAATTGGATCCTTAGCAAAAAGGCTTCGGTTCTCCCGCCCGATATTGCTTCCACCCACCGCCACAGTCTTCTTGACGGCGCGGGACGAACGAGACGAGCGCGAGGAGGAGCGGCGCGTTGAGCGCGAGCGCGACCTGGCCGCCGGGCCCTTCTTCGTGGCGGCACGACGCCGAGCAGGGGCTTTCTGAAATAGTGGTTGAATTTAAACATGGACTTGGCAGATTTGAGTGTGACTTGGACAACTCGCCTGCACGGGCGGCGTGTGAGCAGAGAGCGAGCGGGCCGACGTGCGCGTCTTCTTCGCGCCGCGCCCACGGCGAGCAGGGGCTTTCTGAAAGTGGAAAGTATGAGCATGACAGGTGGTGCTCGCCTGCACGGGTGGCGTGTGAGCAGAGAGCGAGCGGACAGAGACCGTGCGGACCGACGGCGAGCGGACAGAGGCTGTGCGAAAGGAGATCGAGCGCGAACGGCTCCTCACGGGTGGCGTGTGAGCAGAGAGCGAGCGGGACGGTGCGCGCGTCTTCTTTGCGGCTGCACGACCGCGAGCGGGGGCGCGCTTCTGAAAACGATCTTCGGTTAATAAGCCAAATTGTTCTTTCGCATTGTCGGGGGGAACAACCTATTTTTCTTAGGATCTAACCAGGGTTGAAAAGCCGCTTCGTGACTTTTCAACCCTGGCCCCCGTCTTACCCCCATACTTCGTCACTTTGCATAAGCACCTGAATTCTGTGCAGAAAAATGAAAAGCGCGTCCTCTCCGCCGTTATATAGGTTTTCCCCACTTCCGGTGCCTGCTAATTGATTCCTAACAAAGAGGTCGAGCGAGATTTTCACAAAAACTTAATTTTAATATGGAAAACCGCTGATTTTTAAAAATCTCATATGTGTGCAGTCGTGTCATGACCATTACGCACCTAATGACGTATCATACATACCCTAAACTTTCTCCCCTATTGAGACACGACTGGAACATACGGACGGAAGTTGCATGCAAATGCACACACACACACACACACAAACACTATTTTTTTATATATAGTAGGATTTTTCAAATATAAATAGTGGAAAAATGAAAGAAAAGAAAAAGAAGAGTTTTCTTGCTGAATCGTGCTAATTTTTACTCAAAAATGAAAAACAAATCAAACTAAAAAGTGCATAAACATTGAAAAATAAATAAGAACCAGCGCTGACCCCCCGCTCCGCGGGGGTTCAGCGCTGGCCCTCCCGGGGGGAAAGGGAAAAAGGCGAAACGCTTAGAGCTCCGGTGAAAATTTTCAGCCCCCGACTACGGTATTCAGGGGGTTCGCGGCGAGATTGAATTCCCGGTCGCGGTCGTCGGGCGTACGGACATTAGAAATTTATATATAGTAGATATATAGTAGATAGAAGATAAAAAAGTACCCCAAATTCCCCACGCCGATAACCTTATCAATACCTTGGGCGCGGAGACGCTGCGGGAGCGAGAACGGGAACGGGAGCGCGAGTTGGAGCGGCGGCGGCTGGGCGTGGTGCTGCGAGCAGTGGTGGCCTTCCGGGAACGCGACAATGAGCGCTTCGGTTTGGCGGCGGCGCGCTTTCCGGGCTATAAAAGTTTGAAGGTTATTTCTAATTTCCAACTTCCGGTAATACCTTGCGGCCACGAGCGGCTGGCTTGCCGGGGCTGATCGAGTGGGCCGTCGACACGCCGCTCGTCGGGCTGTCGTTGCGGGGCGTGGAGGCGCGCTTCTTGGCGCGACGAGTAGTAGCGGCTGCGCGAGGCATCGCTTGACGAGTGGAAAGAAATGGATTTTTGGGGAATTTTAGAGTTTGTTTTATAGCTGGAAAACGGCATGCAAAACGCGCGCTACCGGTTATGCTGAATTCAGAACTGGCGGATGCAATCTACTTTTGATCGCTGACAGTCTGTGTTTTGGTCAGGATGGAAATTCGAGATGAGACCAAGCCTATCTTGTGCAGAATTTTTGGTACACATAGGATAGCGGGGGGGGGGGATAACGGGGCGGCACTCAGTTTTTTTTAACGATAAAAGTATTTTTAAATATGCTTTTTTCGGGCTATAAAAAGGGCTTCGCGACTGTAATCGACTGGCCTTCGGGCTACCCTACATATTCTACACCACCACATACCTACATGATCAATACATATGCTGATGGTTTCAAATACCCCTCGTAGCCGAACTTAAATACCTTCCAGAGGGCTTTAGGTACTCCCCCCAGCCGAAATCCCTTAAAAAACCACCTCGATACCTTCCTGAGGGCTTTAGGTACTCCCCTAGCCGAAATCCCCTTAAAAAACGAAAATAACGACCGATCGGATGGAATGAGAGAAAAAAAGAAATGAAATCCCCCGTGAAAATTTTCATCCACGAAACGCGCGCCACCTGGCTCACTACGTCCAAAATCAGCCCAACCTCCGTCCCCCAACCCTTTTACTAAGGAAAAAACTTTAAAGTTAATTTTAATAGTTTAAACTAAAAGTTTTTCATAATTTTTTTTTATCAGTTTGGGGGTTTCTGACCACGCTCTATCCGAATCCGAAGAGAGCTAAGCTCTAGCTCCTTTCCCCTTCGAGTTGAATTCGGCTTCACACACACGGACGGACACCACAGCAAAATTATTATAGTAGACCAGCGGGGGAGGAGCCGCTTCGCGACTCTCCCCCGCTGGACCCCGTCTAGGCCCTATAAATCGAGCGCCCTTCCACATAAAGTTACCCTGAAGAAAGAATAACGCATCTCCCATGCAAACCTCTTGGTATTGACATGCGGCGCAAGCTTAAATTGCTAGTGTCCTTATTAGGCTTGCGGCGCATGCTCGATCGGTTTGTTTCGAGATAAAGCCTGCGGCGCAAGTTTGAGCGGTTACCTCCTTCTTTAGCCTGCGGCGCTAGCTTCAATGGTTGGCTTTATTCGTTAGCCTGCGGCGCTAGCTTCAATGGTTGGCTTTATTCGTTAGCCTGCGGCGCTAGCTTGAGCGGCTTGCTTCGTTCTAAAGACTGCGGCGCTGCTTGAGCGGCTGGCTTCGTTCTAAAGCCTGCGGCGCTAGCTTGAGCGGCTTGCTTCGTTCTAAAGCCTGCGGCGCTGCTTGAGCGGCTTGCTTCGTTCTAAAGCCTGCGGCGCTGCTTGAGCGGCTGGCTTCGTTCTAAAGCCTGCGGCGCTAGCTTGAGCGGCTTGCTTCGTTCTAAAGCCTGCGGCGCTAGCTTGAGCGGCTTGCTTCGTTCTAAAGCCTGCGGCGCCAGCTTGAGCGGCTGGCTTCGTTCTAAAGCCTGCGGCGCTGAGCCGAGCGGCTGGCTTCGTTCTAAAGCCTGCGGCGCCAGCTTGAGCGGCTGGCTTCGTTCTAAAGCCTGCGGCGCTAGCTTGTGAGGTTAGCTTCATACTTAAGCCTGCGGCGCTAGCTTGAGCGGCTAGCTTCGTTCTAAAGCCTGCGGCGCCAGCTTGAGCGGCTGGCTTCGTTCTAAAGCCTGCGGCGCTAGCTTGAGCGGCTAGCTTCGTTCTAAAGCCTGCGGCGCTAGCTTGTGAGGTTAGCTTCATACTTAAGCCTGCGGCGCTAGCTTGAGCGGCTAGCTTCGTTCTAAAGCCTGCGGCGCTAGCTTGAGCGGCTAGCTTCGTTCTAAAGCCTGCGGCGCTAGCTTGAGCGGCCAGCTTCGTTCTAAAGCCTGCGGCGCTAGCTTGAGCGGCTAGCTTCGTTCTAAAGCCTGCGGCGCTAGCTTGAGCGGCTAGCTTCGTTCTAAAGCCTGCGGCGCTAGCTTGAGCGGCTGGCTTCGTTCTAAAAGCCTGCGGCGATAGCTTGTGAGGTTAGCTTCATACTTAAGCCTGCGGCGCTGCTTGAGCGGCTGGCTTCGTTCTAAAGCCTGCGGCGCTAGCTTGAGCGGCTTGCTTCGTTCTAAAGCCTGCGGCGCCAGCTTGAGCGGCTGGCTTCGTTCTAAAGCCTGCGGCGCTAGCTTGAGCGGCTGGCTTCGTTCTAAAGCCTGCGGCGCCAGCTTGAGCGGCTGGCTTCGTTCTAAAAGCCTGCGGCGCTAGCTTGAGCGGCTTGCTTCGTTCTAAAGCCTGCGGCGCTAGCTTGAGCGATTTGCTTCGTTCTAAAGCCTGCGGCGCCAGCTTGAGCGGCTGGCTTCGTTCTAAAGCCTGCGGCGCTATCTTGAGCGGCTGGCTTCCTTCTAAAGCCTGCGGCGCTAGCTTGAGCGGCTGGCTTCGTTCTAAAGCCTGCGACGCTAGCTTGAGCGGCTGGCTTCGTTCTAAAGCCTGCGGCGCTAGCTTGAGCGGTTTGCTTCGTTCTAAAGCCTGCGGCGCCAGCTTGAGCGGCTGGCTTCCTTCTAAAGCCTGCGGCGCTAGCTTGTGAGGTTAGCTTCGTACTTAAGCCTGCGGCGCTAGCTTGAGCGGCTAGCTTCGTTCTAAAGCCTGCGGCGCTAGCTTGAGCGGCTAGCTTCGTTCTAAAGCCTGCGGCGCTAGCTTGAGCGGCTAGCTTCGTTCTAAAGCCTGCGGCGCTAGCTTGAGCGGCTAGCTTCGTTCTAAAGCCTGCGGCGCTAGCTTGAGCGGCTAGCTTCGTTCTAAAGCCTGCGGCGCTAGCTTGAGCGGCTAGCTTCGTTCTAAAGCCTGCGGCGCTAGCTTGAGCGGCTAGCTTCGTTCTAAAGCCTGCGGCGCTAGCTTGAGCGGCTAGCTTCGTTCTAAAGCCTGCGGCGCTAGCTTGAGCGGCTGGCTTCGTTCTAAAAGCCTGCGGCGCTAGCTTGTGATATTAGCTTCATGCTTAAGCCTGCGGAGCAAGCTTGAGCCTCCTTATCCCGCGGCGCAATTTTGAAAGGCTAGCTCTGACCTTGGGCCCGCGGCGCTAGCTTGCCCGGGCAACTTCCTTCCGAAGCCTACGGCGCTAGTTTCAGGGGGCGGCCTGAACCTTTATCGTGCGGCGCTAGTTTCGGCGGCTAGCGTCGTTCCAAAGTCTGCGGCGCTAGCTTGAGCAGTTAGCTTGATTCCTTGGCCTGCGGCGCATGCTTGAGCGGGTAGCTTCATTCTATAGGCCGCGGCTTGAGTGACTAACTTCATAATAACGTCCCTACACGGAAATCTACTCCGAAACGCACTTTCCGAGCAAAAAGCAAAACAACTACGATATCCGAGGATCGAACCTCCGAAGGTCGGATTAACACGGCGAAGCGCCTACCACTACGCCATGCGATGCTTGGCAGCACGCGTCAAACACCCGTTTTATGCCTCAAGTGGACCGCCCGGGGCAGGGGAAGGAAACGCATCGAGAGGCAGATCCAAAGAGACGACCAAACTCGCGAGTGCAACTGACAAGAATGAGGAAATTTGTATTTTTTCACATTATGCAAATTAGCCCTCCCGGACCCCCAAAAAACAATAAAACCGGCTTTAACTTTGTAAACTTGTATTTTATCGGGATTCTGAAAGCGCCATCGGAAAGAGGAGGGTCGATTCCCCCGGGTGACGGAGAATCAGGGCATTTTGGACACGGGAAGGCCCTCAAATCGGGCCTCGAACCTGACATCCACACACACACACACACACACACACACACACACACACAGAGATACACTCCAAAATTATATAAGGTAGGATAAATAGGGGATGCGTTTCAAAATGGTTTTTAACTATTCGTGTCTAAAAACTACAGAAAATTTAATGAAAAAAATTTGATTTTAAGTAGAAAATCCTAAAGAACCAAGTTGGAAAATCAACGAGGAATTCTGGGCTTATTTCTTCGCGTAGGCGGTCTCGCACATTTTCCCGATCTGCGTTTGTTGTGTGCAATTGTTCGAACGTTCTATTTGTATCACTCAAAATTGTTGATTTTCTTTCACACGCATTCTTCTTGTCGATATGTTCTCAAAATAGCATTGTTTTCCAGCGAAATCTATGTATCCCGATGAGTTAGCGCGTTTTTAGTTGTAAAACTAATGGGAAACCCTTCCGAAAACATTAGGAAATTTTCTTGTAATTATATATAGTTTGGTTTTGCTTTTTACGTATTTTCTTTTATTCATTTTTCGTTTTGTCTGTTATTATTTAGTTCTATTCTCACGCTAACGTTCTTAATTTAGTTGTTGCAGAACCGCTTACGCCTCCCCTTTCTCGCGCGCCCGACCCGCCATTTTGATTTTCCAGCCGGCCCTCAAGCTTTTCCAGCTTCCCAGTCGATTTCCCGGTTCTGAAACTTGTTTTTTTTCAAGCAATGATTCGCCTTTTTTCAGATGAACGATGGGGCCGACCCAGGGACGAGCATACTTTTCCGGCCCGGCGCGCTGGACGCGAACAATGATCGCGCGATCAGCCGAAGATTGGCCCAACGCGAGGTGCGGTTCTGGTGTTCTTTTTGGGCGTAATAACGAAAAAGTCCTTTTTTTGGCATGAAAAGTTGTTCTCACCAAGCTACACAGCTCTCGGTTACGAAAATGGCCTTTTTATGAAGGAGAAAAAGGGTTGGGAGGGACCAGAGTACTCGCCATTTTCAAAATCTTATCTGTGTACTTTTACTAGCGTTTCCCAATCTTTTTCTTGTTGCTTCAAATGAAACCGGCGTGACTCTTATTATAAAACCTTTTGATAATGATGAAAAATCATTGTGAAACTTTGTATGGCAGCGTTTTGCCATCGTGATATCAACTAAAAACCCGCTAACTCGAGGAGATTCATAAATTCCAGTTAAAACTACCATTTTAGGCATAATTTCCGTAATTTTCTTCTTTTTACAGCTCGGCATCGGCGTCCGATCCTTCCAACGACGCTACGTGGCCCAATGCGGCATCGAGAAGTTTGTCGTCTGCATCCACGGCCGCGGCAAGCGCGCATCTACCAGGACGATAAGGTATCTTTTTTAAACAAGAATAACACTGTCTGATTTCCAGTGAAATATTCCGGAAGCGAGGCGGGCTACTCGGGATGAGCTACAACGAGCGCTGGTTACTCGGCATTAATATTATAAGGTTTGTGAGCTTTTCCTTATTTTTAGCCCCTTTTTTTAGAGAGGTCAGCGCGTACTACGCTGACTTGTACATCATGCAACTTTTCCCGGGGTATCTCGTCCTGGTAGGGGTTTGATTTTCGGAGATGAGCCTTTTTAGGATCGAATGTTGCGAATCGAGAATTTCCCCTACCACGGCTTGGTGCAGGTCTTTTTCCCCTGCGATGCCGATCACTGCGTGGCGAAAGTTGTCGAATAGTTGGTTTTATTATGATGGCTTTTTATGGGTTCTATGGCATTATCGGGGGACCGAACTTTTTTGTAAAAAACCATAGTTCAACTAGAAAACCGAGCGAAATTTTAGGCGAACAACCGACATTTTCCGAAAATTTTTGTCGCGTTTTCACGTTTAGGAACAGCAAAAAAAAACATTTAGAACGCTGCCACTATGTTTGTTTTAAAAATTGTCCCCCCGATATTGCGAAAGCACCAAAAAAATCAATCAAAAATTGCAGCGAATCCTGGAACGCCACAAAGTGTCTGCAGGGCCCCTCGTCGCTGGAAATGGGGGTAGATTAAGATTTGTTGAAGCGGATTTTTTCGTTTTTAGATTCATTTCTACCTGCCCAGCCACGATCTCCACTTTTCCAGCAACACCATCGCCACGTTCACGAGACGACGCTATAATGACAAGGAGCTGGGCAAGTAGGGATTGTTTGCAAACTTGGATATTTTCGCTTTTTTCTAGACACAACGTGCGCGTACACCGGCACGGCGCCGTGGTGAACTGTGGGACGTGCCTGGTCAACTACCATTTTCTCGACGAGCGACCCGTGCTGTCGACGACGAAAAGCTTATTGACGACGCGGGTACGTTTTTGGGGAATTCCAGCCATATTGCCGACATTCGAATTGCCGACAGCCAAGTTGCCGACAGCCGAATTGCCGACAAGCCAAATTGCCGACAACCAAGTTGCCGACAGCCAAGTTGCCGACAGGCCAAGTTGCCGACAGCCAAGTTGCCGACAGGCCAAATTGCCGACAGCCGAATTGCCGACATATTCGTGAATTTAAGTCCAAGTCTCGGCTTTGGTATATTTGAGTAGCATGACTGTTTAACATGCCAAATTTGGGTAGGGTCTGGCCGCGTGACAAAACCGAACCCGGAACGTTTGCTTGGTGCTAGCGCTTTTGACCACTAGACCAAGAGACAGACAGTGAAGGGGAAGCGGAGAAGGTATATGAAGCTTCCGGGGAAGAGCCCGCAGGCTACCGTCTCGTATGTTAATTGTGCTTAGAATCCACCGGAAATTCTCCCTGATATGAATGTCTACATAAAATTTCCATTCTAGCCCCAAATACTGTCTTTTGTATGATCTGTCGGCAATTTGGCTGTCGGCAATATGGCTGTCGGCAATTTGGCTTGTCGGCAACTTGGCTGTCGGCAATTTGGCTTGTCGGCAACTTGGCTGTCGGCAACTTGGCTTGTCGGCAATCTGGCTGTCGGCAACTTGGCTGTCGGCAATTTGAATGTCGGCAATTTGGCGATTTCCCGTTTTTGGGTAGTGGGTTGTTAGCAGAGGGGGGCTAATCTTGGTTTTTCCGTCTATACCTACCTGTTAAAGTCTTTGATTGGTAGAAAGTTACAAAAATAATTTTAAACCGTTTTGAAAATTCGAAAATTTTGACCTTGGGCCACTTTTCATAACTTTTACCAAAAATCCGAAAATTGTTTCCTTTATAGCGTCTTTTACCTCTAAAAATGGTGTAAATTCCGATTAAATGCTTTATATTGCGTTGTGGGACCGTAGAGGATTACTGGGGAAAAATTGGTTCCCCGCTAACAGACCAGTACCCAATGCTCAATTTTAGGTCTGGTCTGTAGTGAAAAATGATAGCGACAACCAGGACCCGGCCCCCAGCTCCATCCAGCTCGAGATTGGCGAAAAAGTGGCGATTGCCCCCGCGATTACCAACGAGGTATAATTACAAATTTTTGGCGATTTCTGTGCGATTTCTGTTTTAGGTGTTCACGCGCGTCTCCTATGGGCTGAAAGCGTTCATTGATGATGGTCCCGAAGAACCAGGTCAGATTGTTCTGTCCTTTGCTCCATTTAACAACTCTTCAGGGCCCGTCATCGACAAGCCGCCGCTGTACGTCAGACGACAATCGCTGGACATCGAGCAGTGCATAGATGTGACCCTGCGGCGTTTCTTCCACCAGACAAAACTCGTCTATCAGGGATTCAGCGACTATGAGGTAGCCATTCTGCTTGATATGACCCATACTTCCAGCCGGAAATTGTGCAAATCGAGCACGGCATCGCCTACCTGTCAATCTACTGCGTCGCCGAGTTTCAGGTTTTTTTTCAGAACTCCGGATCAACGTCCTCCTTTTAGCAAACGATTGAGCGAAAAGTGGAGAACAAATTCTTCGTCGTCGACGTGAAGCTGAAATGGTTAGAAAGCTGGCGATTCTGCCTGATTTTTTTTGTCGTTTAGGGACCTCTTGAATAGCGTCGTCTACCGAATGGACAACCCGCGACTGCTGCAAAAAGTTTGCCACACGAAGGTAGGACAGTTTTTAGGGGAAATCAATCGCTTCTTCAGGTCTACTCGGCGCACTCGTGGTACCCGCTGACACGATACCCCGTTGAAATGTCCACCGAACTGTGCGCCGTCGACAATTTGCCAATGTACAGCGGTATGGCTCTTTAAATCATTTCCATTAATCCATAAATTTAGGCAAAAACCTGAGCTCGATCGGCTGGAAGCACGGCTCGTTCTTCATCAGCAAGAAGGACGACTCGGACTGACACATTGACCCCGAAGTAATCGCTTGATCTCTACCATATATTCTCCTTTTGCCAACTCACTCTGCTGCCGGGTATTTGTAAGAAGCTACTACACTGGTACTCTATCAAAAATTACTTTCTTGGCGTTGATGTGATACTTGACGCAGCCTGTGAAATGTACTTTACTGGATTTTAACGAGCCTGTCTTTGCTTTTGTGACTAGGACTTGTTGACGAATTTGTATGGCATAAATTGATGAATCTTTCGACTATGAAAAAGGCTACACGACTCGAGGCTACAGCGACCCAAAAATCATTTTTCGACATGGTGTGGTATCTACTCCGATAAAGGAGCAGAGACTGGGATTGTCATGCTGTTGCGAAATGCGGGAATTGAATTGGGGACTGCTTTTTTGGCCTAGGCGTCAAATTTAGCGTGTTTTATAGTGTTTTTAATCTGATATTTGGCGTAGAGTCATTTTTAAATATTGAAAATGTTTGAAATACCTGAAATTTTCTTACGGTTATTTCGCCTGACCGGGGGGAAGACCAACTTTTTTGGATCTAATTTTGCAAATATAAATAGTGGTACTGTTGTAAACGGTTTTTGTTATTTATAAGCCAAAAATATCGATTTTTCCAACAAAATGGCCGATTTTCGGCAAAAAAAATATCGACCGTTTCGAAGCTTTTTACATAGTTTTTCTATCTGTAACATGTTTATTTTTTACTATAGCCACTAGATGTTTCTAGGCCTATACAAAAAGTTTTTGGTTGAGCTTCTTTTAGAAACAGCTAAAAGTCTACCCTTCTATTGTCGCGACATCCCCGGCCACTGGTTACGCGGGGAAATTCTCCCCCAGTCTGCTCCTCCTCATCTCTGAGCTATCGATCAGATTCGGGTGCTCGACCAAAACATTAGTGCAAACCTAATCCCCAAACGGGGGTTTATCCCTTCATTTTTATTGGCTATTAACCTGTTTAGGTCCCTTACTTTATTTAGCGCCCTTTTTCAGGATGTCCCTCGAAATACAGCAAAACGAACGGACCAAGCGATGCTTTGTCGAGCTGGAAAAACGGCTAGACGACCCGGAAAAGCAGCAGATTGTCGCCGGACTGGCGCAGAAGGATGTTTTAACGGTTGGCGATGTGAAGAAAATTCAGGTGAGCTTGGTACTTTAGTTTCAGAATGTTTTTAGGCCCTCATCCCTCCAAATTTCCCGGCATTTTTCATCCTGCTCAACGAATTTCGACGCGTGAGAGAGCTGGATTATCAGGTGAGTGTTTTCTACGTGAATTCCACTCAATTTTGTCTGCTTGTGCAGCTCTTTTGTATCGAAACGGGTTTTTACCTTTGTAGTTTGGTACTTGCGTGTTATCGGTGGGGGCTAGGTATTATGAGGTATCTAGAAATGCCTAGTCACTAATTGGACGTTGTTATATTTGAAAAGTTGAATCCTATGAAAAATGTTGCCCCCACGATAATGCGAAATTACCCGAAGATTAGATCAAAATTAGAATTTAATTTATATAATTAATCATTAGATTCGCAAGAGCATCAAAAAACGTTTGTTTTCAGGCCAGCCCCGCATTCCGCGCCAAAACCGAGCAGCTAAAACGCAAATTTGAAGACTATGCCTATCGAAAGTTGGTGGAAAGCGTCGACCCGGCCCAATCATACGGCGCAACCCCGTTGATGGCCGATTTTGGCTCGGATTTCCGGTCGATGAACCGCCAGCTGGGCACGGTCAGTATTTTTTCGGAATCAAACAAACTTTTGTTTTAGGTAATCAATTTCGCGATCACGGTCATAGGCGGGTTCTTTTTCGGCTTCAGCGGCGTCACCTACGCGTATCCATCTAGAGATTGGGATTTGGCGACGAGGTGTGTTTTATATCAGAAGATTTAGGTTATTTGCTAAAAAGCTGTGGATTTTTACACTTTTCCGGTAGAATCAGATACGCGGGACGTAAAAGTTAGGGTTTTAAGGATATTTGAACAAGATTTAGCTGTTAGTGACAAGTGTTAGCTGCTGTATTTAGTGAAAATCCATTTATGCACCTTACAGATCGCTGGAATTTTTGAAATTTTGATCGGATTCGGAAAATCTAGTCGACAAATACGTGTTTTGGTTTTTGTCTTTTAGAAACGCTCGAATTTTAGTCTAAAATTGGAGTCTTCATAGTGTTTTCAATAAACAAAATTGAAGTTTTCATGCTTAGAGATAGTAAAATACCAACTACAAGGTAAATTTTTTCCTCGTTGTAAATTAGAAAACTGGGATAGCCATATTTGATTGGGCTTGATAATAGGTATATTTCGTCGTCGAGATCAGGGCGTTTTTCAGATTCCTTATCGGCCTCGTGCTGGCGACGATCATCTTCTTTGCCGATCTGTACTTTCTGATCAAGAATATGGACGAGGAGCTGGCGCCGAGGCCGAATGCCGGGAAGCTTCACGAGGTTCCCCTGGATCTGAGGGCCCTCGCCGGAGACAAGGCTGCTACAAAGACCGCGTCAGAACAGCCAAAGGAAAAGGACACTGTAGCGCCGAAAGCAGTGCCGAGGAAAAGCCGAAAAGCGAAGAAGGACGACTAGGAAAATGCCGATTTTCTGTTTTTCTTTTCTTTGGTATTTCCGCGGGTGGAGGGAAGTTTTTGCTTACAATTAGGATCTAATTTTTTTAGTTCTGTTTCCTACGTAAGAAAAGTTTTTTAGATTGCTATTTAGAAAAATCGATTTTTGGAGCCAAAACGAAGAAAGCTTCGAAATTTACAAACTTTTCGGGGAGCTTTCCTGCTTTAGTTCTTTTTTCTTTGTAAGATAGTTTTTTTTTAGATTTCTTTCTAACGATTCCTAGACGTAGCACCTTTATAAGTTGTAAGGAAATCGTTTTTTACGAACAAAATGCCACGTTTTCAAGTTTCTAGCCATTTTTTCGACTTGGGATATCTTGATTTTACTAAAAATATTTTCTATGACGTTACTGCCCCCCCCCCCCGATAATACTCAAGATCCGGATTTCTAAGGCGTTGTGCTTGATCTTCCATGTTGCCCATACCTTTAAACGTCATTTGCTGCTTTTAATAATTTAATTCATGCATCCACTTTATGTGGAATCCATTCCATTCCTTATCCTGTGATATCTTTTCCTGGGCAATTTTTCTCTAGTAAATTACCTGTCTTTTTTTGCGAGCAGGTGCTGTGATTCCCGTCTGAATTTCGTGACTTCCATTTTTCGTGGCCGCTACCCATGCGAGGTTGTATAAAATAATTCGTTTCAGATGCTCATATGTCGTTCGCACCCCTGTCTAGCACATATTTTTCGCCGTTCGGGCAGCTCGGCTGCGGCCGGCATCGTTTATAGGTAAGCGGAACGAATGTCGGCTTCTTTGGCACTATCGGGGGGGGGGAGGTTGTATAGCTCCAGAGATGCCGCGGAACGTTATAGGATTTTTTAGTGTTTTTGGTAAAATATAACTTTGTTCGAACTAGAAACACAATCTAAAAACTTGCTAAATTCGAATTTCTCGTGAAAAATCTACCTTTTTTGGGCGAAAATCTATGCTTTTTGTATCATATTACTTAATAAAATTTGAAATTTGAAAATCTTAAAAAAATGTGCCTCCGCCCGATAGTGCGAAAGGAACGAAAGAATTTAGAAATCCAAAAATCGAGACATGGCCGAAATGCGATAAAGAAGCTCATTCTCACCATTTTCCAGCAAACCGGAGAAGTTCGACGTGGTCGTGGTGGGCGGCGGAATCGTGGGCTGCGCGACGGCGCGTGAGATTCTGCTTGAGCGGCCGAATCTGAAGGTGGCCGTCATTGAGAAGGAGGCCCAGCTTGGTCGGCTACTTTCTTACACGATTACACGTTAACAAGCGACGGGTTTGGCCGTCAATTTGTGTTCCGCCGTGCTCGATAAGCTTTTCGCTGAGGATCGTTTCTAACAACTTTTTCAGCGCCTCATCAAAGTGGGAACAACAGCGGCGTCATCCACGCGGGCATCTACTACACTCCGGGCAGCTTGAAGGCCAGGTTATGCGTAGAAGGTTGGTGGAAAAATGCTTTTTTTCGGCAAATTTTCGAATTTTTCAAATGCTTTTCTGATTTTTTTCAGGTTTTCATACTTAAAATTGAGTTAAAAATACTAAAACAAGATGGCCGGCCGATTGCACGAATTCTAAAATAACCTGAAAACCAACGTTTTTTTCAGGGATGAAGCTGGCCTACGAGTTCTTCGACCGTCGCAAATTCCCCTATAAAAAGACGGGCAAGCTGATCGTGGCCGTCGAGCCGGTGGAAGTGGATCGATTGATGGTTAGTCGCATTTCAGAATTTTCCAAGCCTAAAACGCTTTCTAGCACCTCTACGAGCGCGGCGTGCAGAACGGGGTGCCCGACTTGGAGCTGGTCGACGGCGACCGCATCAAGGAGTTCGAGCCGCATTGCAAGGCAACTTTTCTGGGTTGCAATTGATGGGAATTGGATTTGGATCTGCAGGGGCTGAAGGCAATCTGGTCACCGCACACCGGCATCGTCGATTGGGGCGCCGTCACGCGGGAATATGCCAACGACTTCCGGGAAAAGGGAGGCGAGGTGAGTGATTTTTGGTACAGGGCGCGCTGCAGAATCTAACCAGAATCTAAAATTTCGGTTCTTTAGGATTTCCGGGGGGGGGGGGGAAGACCCAAAATGACCAATTTTCGACTTTTTCAAACTTTTTTCTAACTTTTTTGAAAGGTTTTTCTACTTTAAATATAGTTAAAATTTACTAAAAACAATGTGAAAACACTTTATATTTGATTACTAGGTCAACCGGGAAAACCAGGAAAAATTTGGTTTCCCCGGAAATACTCCCCGGAAATCCTAAAGGACCAAAATTTCTAGTTTTATGACGGAAATTATACAGTTATACACTGCTACCTTCCTAATCGATTAGAATTTTTACACATACCAATGAATGTTTCAAGAAATCAGGTACTTCGGTCGTAATAACTCTCACGGTTTCTCAGTAACTGTGGATGATGATCTATTATTACCTGTTCGAATAAATAGTGTATTGAGACTTTTTTCGTAGTTAGTTTTTGATTGTTAGAAGTTACAAAAATACTTTAAACTCTTTTGAAAATTCGATGATCTTGACCTTTTTGGTCATTTTCACAGATTTTTGAGCGAGAATTCAAAAAATGTTGAGAACCTTTTAGGTTTTTTATAGGTTATTTAGAAACTGTGTGAAATACTATAAAAATGGTTTATATTTTGGCATAGGACCGTCAGGATGACTGATAAAAATTAGTTTCCCCCTGCTAACGATCCAGACCAAGCGGCGAATTGCTATCAAAAACCCACCATTTTTAGGTGCTCCTCCACCACCCACTCCGTGCATTCGGGCAATCCGGCGATCCGGAATATCCGGTACGGATCGTGTCGGACGCGGACAAGGTACGTCCATTATAAAAACAAATTATAACATTCCTTTAGGCCCCACTATTAACGAAATACGTGATCACCTGCGCCGGGCTGCAGTCTGACCGTGTCGCTCAATTATCCGGCTGCTCCAGGGATCCGAAGATTGTCCCATTTAGGTGAGAAGTCGCGCCAAGAAGCCGAAAGGAAATTACAGTCCGGATTCCGGACTCCGGAATTGGATTCGCCGATTTTTTAAAAGCCGAATTTTAGGGGTGAATACTTGCTGCTGAAGCCGGAGAAGCGGCACCTCGTCAAAACGAACATTTACCCGGTAACTACTTAAGAAATGTCTTTTTAAATGTCCAATTTTTACGTTATTTGCTTTTTTCCAGGTTCCCGATCCGAGATTCCCGTTCCTCGGCGTCCACTTTACACCGCGAATGAACGGCGACGTGTGGCTGGGCCCGAATGCGGTACCATTTTTGTGATTTTTTAAATTTAAGTTTATAGGTGCTAGCGTACAAACGTGAGGGCTATTCGTATTTCTCCGTGTCGCCGCGGGACCTGTTCGAGTCGCTGTCTTATAGGTAGCGTTTTTCAAGGAATTTTTATCTTTTTTTTTGCTTAGAAGAAATCGGTGTCGCCGAATTAATCAACAAAAATTGTGGGGAAACTCGCGAAATTTTGAAGCATTTTTCTCGAAAACCCGAGCCAAACATTTTTTGGATGCCTGGAAATGTCCAGTAACTTACTAGGAAGTTTTTAATAGTATTTTTAGTAAAATATAACTTTATTTCAACTAGAGAAAATTCTAAGCTTTAAGAAATCTTCGAAAATCGGAATTTTGGTCAAAAACATCCATACTTTACGGGAAATTCTATATTTTTGACATTTTTTAATCGAAATTTTAAAGTTTTTACCTTAGGAATAGTAATAAAAACAGTCTAGAAACACTTCCACTATTTATATTAAAAAATTGGATCCTAAGAAAACCCCCCCAGCTAATGCGAAAGGACCGAATGTTGATTTGCGGCTGAAAGACGGATTATGAATCAGTTCTGATTTGAAAATTTGGAAAATGGCTTGAAATAATTTTAGTAGCCGATTCTCACATCAATTTTTTTTAGCGGAATGCAAAAGCTGGTCGGCAAGTACTTCAACTACGGCATCAAAGAGTTCTACCGCGGCATTTTCATCCGTGCACAGGTGCCGAACGGAATTTTCCTGTATATGCCGTTTTTAGGTGAAGCAGCTGCAACGTTTCGTGCCCGAGCTCAAATTCTCCGACGTCACACGGTATAGAATTTTTTCTACGGTTTCGCACGTTTTTTTTGCTGGAGGTTAAAAAAATTCCTGCGGCTGTTTACAGCTTAACCTTGACAGCTTTTATATAGTTTAGAGCGGTAGCTATAGGAAAATACCTCTATTTTATAGCGGCCCATCCGGTGTACGCGCCCAGGCAATGGACGCCCAAGGGAATCTCGTCGACGATTTCGTCTTTGATGCAGCGGAAGGAGAGTGAGTCTTTTTGCCGGTTTTCATGGGGCTGTGAAGTGGCAAATTTGTCTACGGAGCTAAAAACTAGTAAAGTTTGTGTTTTTTAGATTTATTATAAGAAACAGTTTTTTTTTGTCAAACTTGACTCAAAGAATCCAAAAAGACGTTGATTTTCGACCAAGATTTCGGGTTTTTGATTTGTTTAAGAATGACTAGATACCTTTTTACATTAAATATCGTACTAATTACCACTATTAAAATACATACTATTACGTTACTAAGCATTTCGGCACTTATACACCCCCCCCCCCGTTAGTGCGAGAGAACCAGGCAAGAAATAACCGTTGTTTTCAGTTCGACGGTCGCATTCTGCACGTCCGCAACGCTCCGAGCCCCGGCGCCACCTCGTCGCTGGCCATCGCGAAGATGATCACCGAAAGAGCGCAGAAGCTGTTCAACTTTTAGCGGGGCTTCGGGGTATCGAATCTCCCTTCTCACTTCCACGTCCCTTGAAAATCTGCTCAGCCGATTTTCTCGCCTTGTAGTCTCCGTAGTGGCATAATTTAGCTTACGCATTTTTGTATATTCTAAAACTACACCTTATTTTTACAAATTTGCTGTGTTTCGTCTAATTATTTTTTTGCCTTACCGCTCCATTCCTGCCCACCGCTGTACCGTACGTGTAGTATTTTGGCGAGTTACTGTGTGATAAATTGAGGATTCCATCTAACGAGCGTCGAGCTGAGATTCTTGCGGATTTGTTGGGCTATCCTTATTTTATTGTTTTTTATTATTTTAAATCGCTTCGCAAAGTCAGAATTCACGCTGGAATGACCAAGGCAAAGTTGTAATTTTTATTCGTATAAAATATCGTTAAAATAAGCGTCATGCTCAGTGGGTCTCTCGATTCGCCTTGATCAGCACCAGCGCCATCGTCATCATGTATGCGCGCGGCCTTGCGATACTTTCGATTCGGGCTTTCCGGAACGCGGCACCGATTGCATCCGTCGGTTGTTCCTAAAATGGATTGATTCAGAGAAAAAAACACTAAAAATAAAGTAAGTTAAAGAACAATACAAAATTAATTAAAGGGGCTCAGAAGTCAAAATTCATGCGTGCGGGGATTGAACCTTCGGGTCAAAAAACGAAAGAGTCACTGCCGAGAAGTGCTAAAAAAGTTATTTGATTGCGAAAAAACGTAAAATGTTTGAGAAAAACCGAATTCTTTTTGGGGCGAAAACGACATTTTGAGTGGGCGGCGATTCCATGTCGTAATGCCTTGTAAGGCACCCAATCTCTCGATCTCGGTGATTCTCTGGTCAATTTTTATAATTTAAACGTCTGGAATGATCAAAATTCGTTGACGATTCCAAAAAATAGTATCAGAATTTTGAAATTCAAGCGTTTCCGCGTCCAAACAGAGGAAAAAGATCGTGCGGCGCGGTCGCGTTGCGGCCGCATCTGGCTATTTGCCAGGAATCACAGCAGGGGGCCGTGGACCAGATTTCGGAGCCCCTTTAACGACTGAAAAACCTACAGCTTGTTGGCAAACGGATCCTCATCCTCATCCGACGTTTCCTCGATGTCGACCTGCGTCTTCTGAGGCCGAATGGCCAATGGCGTGGGCTCCACCTAGGCGTTGAACTTTTTGGCAGATTAAAAACCCCGAAATTTTGAAGCAAAAAAATCTATTTATAGAAATTAAAACCGTGTAAAAGTGCATTTTGTTTCAAATTGAGTTTGAAATTTTTTTGGCAGGATATATACCTATTCCGGCATTTTCTAGCTATTTTATGAATGCCGTTCGAGAGACAATCTAAAGATATACAAAAAGGTTTATTTTGTAAAGTAAAATAGGTAAAATAAGAACTTAATTGGTAAAATAATTAAATAAAAATAGTGGTAATAGGTTAAACGTAATTAAAAATTACTAAAAATCATCGTAAATTAGGCTTTCCGAGCTGTACCTACCGGCGATGCGCGGCTGGCCAACAACTTGTCGGTCAGCTTGCCGGCCCAGTCGAGCGGCAGCGCGACGTTGATCTTGCGCTCGACGGCGATCCGCTTCAGCTCGCCCTGAATGTATTTTGTTATTGCGCCGTAACGTTCAGCCGTGCCATGATGAGTGGGTAGTCGGGCACGTCGGAGTACTGGAGCTTGTCGACGTATTGTATGATGCGCGAGAATTCGGAGGGGAACGCGGCGAAGACGCGGGGAGGGCCTGGAAGATAGCTTTTGGTTCTTTCGCATTATCGGGGGGTGGGGCAAAATTCGTTGTGGTATTAATCTAGAAATACCTAGGAATTTCATACGAAGCATCATCATAATGGTTTAGCAAAATAAAACTATATTTCAGCTACAAAACTATCTAAAAACTTTAAAAATGTATAAAAAAGTCACAATTTTGGTCAAAAACGGCCATTTTTGGCCGAAAATCAATATTTTTGTATTTTGTCAAAAAACCTTGTAAAGTTTCTACGTTTAAAGATAGTAAAAACGGTTTAGACTATTTATATTTAAAAATTCGTTCTCAAAAAAAACTCCCCCCCCAGATAATGCCAAAGAACCAAGCTTTTGCTTTCCTTTTCAAAAGCCTCGATTTTAACAGAAATCTCCCTACAAGTCAGCTGGAAGAACTGGCACTTGAGCTGCTTGACGCGCTGCCGGTCGGTGGTGATGTTGCGCCAGGGGAGCGCCGACAGATCGAACAGCTCGACGGCCATGTAGATCCACGACTCCAGATCGTCCTTCCGCGACTGCTCCATGTTGCTGTGGCAGTTGCGCGACGCGAACCGCACGGTGCCGATGAATTTGCACCAGAATCGGTCTTTTCTAAAAATTTGAGGTTGTATCTTTCGCATTATCGAGGGGGAAATCCCTAAATTTTGCCTGAAGTCCAGAAATTCCTAATGACGTCATAGTTGGAGTTTTTTTTTCTCACGTTTCACCGCTGGGCCGTTGCCGAAATCGTCGGCTAATGCCAAAGTCGAGGATGTAGATGAGGGATTGATAATTGCCGATGCCGCAGGCAAAATTCCCCGGCTTGATGTCACTGGCAACAAGAGGTTGAAGCAGGCGCGCGAAAATAGGAGTTACCGGTGGATGAAGCCGATGTCGTGCAGGTCCCAGATCGACTGCATCGTTTGCATGGTGGCTTGTAGCGCTGTTGAAGGGCTAAAAGGGTATTATAAACGGCGAGAATGACGCTTTAACTATACTTCAAGTAAAAAATTAGCTAAAAAACGTCCGACATTTTCAAAAAATTCGACATTTTGGTCCAAAACAGGTATTTTTGGTCAAAACTCTATGTTTTTGCTTCTTAAAATTCAAATTTGTAAAGTTTATACATTTAGGAGTGATAAAAACAATTTAGAAACACTTCTTATATTCATATTTAAAAAAGTCTATCGTAAAGAAAAATAGAAAAAAGTAAAAAAAATACCTAAAGTTGCCGCCGGTGCATTTGCGCCGTAAGTCGTCCAACGACAGCGCCACGAGGCCCATGATAATGTACTGGAATTGAATATGTGAAAAAATCAGCTAATTAGGCCCACCTTAAATTGTTTAACTTTCCCCTTGTCGATCAGCGGAACGAATCGTAATCTGCGTCCTGGATCTTTCACCTAAACTTTAAAAATTAGTTTCAAAGTTGTAGCACGTACAGCCGAGCACGCAGTCAGCACCTCTAATTCGATGGAAAGGCGCATGAAATCCGGGTTGTCGATGCCGTTCATCTCCGTTTTCATCGCAAATTCCGGAAAATCAAGAGTTCCAAACCTACAAGGCGATTTCTTACCTTGCTCGTCCCTTCCTGCCTCACCTTGTAGACATCGCCGAAACCGCCGGCGCCCAGTAGATGAACAACGCGATATCTAAAAAGGCCTTTAGAGTAGAATTTCCGGTAACGCACCGATTACTGCCGTTGTCGATCAGCGTGTCCTTCTTCAGCTTCATCCGCTCGAACTTATCGCCGCGGGCGACCTTGTCCTTGCGCTGGCGCTCTTCTAAAGAAACAAAAAAATAGGTAAGGGCAGGCTAGCAGCTATTATTTGAAGGCAAAATGACAAGCTAGCAGAGTTTCTTTAAAGCGAGGCTCGGAAAGCTAGCAGAGTTCCCCTGAAAGCGAACATGGCAAGCTAGCAGAGATTCTTTGTAAGCGAAAATGGCAAGCTAGAAGAATTTCTTGAAAAAGGAGGGCAAGCTAGCAGAGATTCCTGAAAATCCCCCACGGGAAGACGGCGGCTGCTCGAGCATCGACGTCGTTGCGAGCCGTTTCGTCCAGATGGCATTGTCTTGCTCTTTTTCTTTCTCCTTCTCTTTTGCTTTCCTGGAATGAGAGAATTAAGGCATGAAAAACCAGCAAATCATCCTGAAGAGCATTAAAAACTTTTTAGATAAATCGATTCTTCGACTAAACATGGGGTCCTTGACCAAATTTCCACTTTTAGAAAGTTTTGAAAGTTTTTTATAGTTTTTAAGTTGAAATATAGTTTTTGGTATTTCTAGACAAAAGAATTTTTGTCCCCCGATAATGCGAAAGAACCTAATAAACTCTCAAAATCAATAAAACGCACTCTCTGCTCGTATCCAACTTCTCCGAGTTGACCTTCGCCGATTTGCGGGGGAAGAATTTCGAAAGCAAAAAGTGCTTCCGGTTCAGCTTTTTGGACGACTAAAAAAATGGACGTCACGTGGAATTCCTTCGAAATTATACCTTTTGTTCGTTACCCGATTTTAACATTATTGTAGCCGAGAAGTACGTAAGTTAGAAGAGTAGAAAAATGGGGGAAATAACTTTGATACTCGCGCCGATTTGAGTATTTCCTGAATGCAAATTTCCGAATTGCAAATATGTCGATCCAACGATATTTTATCGCTTCACGCAATTACTGTAGACAACAAGGAAAAGAGAGATGGATACCGGTAAAATAGGGAGATCACAAAGTGGGTAGATGACCAGTGGACGGGGGGATAACCGTAACGCCTTCGACAAGTTTTTTTTCGTGTTCAGCATCATCGTCATCAGCGCACCAGCTCGTAGTACAACATGTAGGCCTCGGCGCGTTGCACATCGGCGAAAGAGACCCGTTGCACCTAAAATAGAATGAATTCCTAATTTATACATTTTTCCGATTCTATTCCTTCTAAACTAAAATTTGGGAGCTTTCGCATTATCAAGGGGAGGACTTTTGTCTCTCAGGAACTATCTTGCTAGAATAACTAGAAACTGTGATCCACGTTTTACTATTTTTCAAGGTACACAACAACTACACGCAACACAAAATTTTACTAAATACACAAAAAACGATTTTTCGCCGAAATTTCCAATTCCAAGATAATTTTCTGAAAGTTTTTGCGAATTTTTGACTACAAATATAGCCGAATTTTACTAAAAAAACTATTAAAATACTTTTTTATGTTACTAGACATGTCTAACACCATCGAAAAGCCGACCCCCGTTAATCCAAAAGAACCGAAGTCTCTTTAAATTACCTGCTTATCGTTCGCGTAGAACCAGTGGTCCTTGTGCTTCCGGTAGGTGACGTAGTGGCCAAAGTTTGGAGTGCCTCTGAAAAATTGCAAAATAATAAATTCCAAAGCTAAGCGAAAATTACCGATGTTCCGTGACGGCCGTGAGTTGATAGAGTTTTCCGGCGGCTTTTTTGAACGGTTGCGGGGAGCTTCTAAGAAATTCTATGTTTTTTTATCCCACAAAAACTTACACTTTTTCTGACGGCTCTGATGACGTTGAGGCCGCGGTCGATGTCGCAGAGCCCTGTAAGAATTTACAAAATTAAAAAGGTTCTGGACTGTTAGCGGGGGTCTTAGAATCCAATTTTTAAAATATAAAATGGCGGAAAAGTTCCTACTCTTTTTGAATATCCCTAAACGTAAATACTTTACAAAATACAAAAACTATCGATTATCCACGAAAATGGCCGATGTTTGCCCAAAATATCGACTTATTGAAAGTTTTAAGATAGTTTTTTAGAGCCGTTATGAAAATACTACCTATTAAACTACATTGAATTCCTAGATTTGTATAAAAGTTTTGCCCCCCCCGTTAGTGCAAAAGAACCGGATTTACAAAATTAATAATGTCTGATTTTACTAGGATTAAAAAATGATTAATTTAAAAACACCTTTCTAACGTGATCCGGCTGAAAATCTTCGGTCCTCAACGTTGCCCCGAATGCCACGTGCTTGTCCCATTTGCCCAGGCTGCCGTATTCGTAGACGATGCGCTCGATGCGGATCAGCAGCGCGTCAGGGAACTAAAAAATTTGTAAAAATGTTCGCAATGCAAAATAAATTACCAGAGTAATGCCTTGCGACGCGATCAAGCCGTTCGGCTGCTTGCACATGTTACAGGCGGCGCCGTTCCGGAATTCCGGGGCGAAATATTTGCGCAGCATCGCCTCGACGGTGACGAGCTAGGAGTTGGTGTTAAAATTGAAAATTAACTCAATGCTACCTTTCCATCGAAGTACCGCGCTCCTGACACGCAGATCGCGCTGAATTCTTCTTGCGTTTGTTTCTAAATAAATTATTTAGTTATTGAACTTGTCAAAATTCTTTCGACTTCAATAACTTCAATTAACTCAAATTTAATTTATTTAAAGTCAATTACAAAATTAGGTAATTACAAAATTTATTTAAAGTCAATCGCTTTATCGGGGGGGGACTGAACTTTTTTCAAAAGAACCTATAGTTAATTACAATTACGTAGGTAAGACATGACGATACCTAAGCTTCACCTTAAAACTACAATTCCTGCCGATGCACTGCAGCTTGAGGTGCATGATTCCGTAGCAGGGTGGGCTGAGCGGGTCCTTCAGTTTGTGCGCAGTGTCGTCGTTTTCGTGTCTAAAATAGGTATCAAGCTCTCCTTTAAAACCCATATGTTTGACGGAATTTTAGCTTCGCAAAGGCTTGTGTTATTTTTAATTTTTGGTGTCGTTTCCGCTCTTCCGAGCCATTTTACCAGTTTTTTCCGCTCTTTTTACATCAAAATTTGATAAAAATTACGACTTTACAGCTAAAACTGTATGAAAAATCACCGCCAAAGATTAATTATAATATTTTTATTTTTCAGAAGATTTAGATCCCGCGAGTCAAAATAAAACCACTTTTAAGACGCTAAAAACCAACCCAACAAACAACATCTCCGTCGACGTCGGCTTCCTGACGAGCCTTTCAACCTCATCGGTGGCTGGATCGAACTGAGAGCTCCTTTTAGGCGAAAAACTAACAAAAACTCACAACTCGGATGCCCTCATACAAGCTGTGCTCGGAATTTCGAGTCATCTCGTCGTTGAACAAGTGGAGAATAAAGTTGAACAGCTCGTGCACGTCTTGTTGCCCCGCTAAAAGTTGGTTTTCATACGGAAATCCAACCCTAACCCATATCCATCGTATTCGTCAACACTTGCATCGAGTTGATCAACGCGCCAGCGGAGGTGGAAGAGATTTCAGGATCGGTCAAGTCTAAAGCTCAGGTTTTGCGCGAAACATGAAATCTGCTTACATACAAACACCTCGCGCAGATCGTTAAAGAACGTGCGCTTCGACATTTGCTCAAATATCTCCTCTTTCTTCAGCCATTCGAGGAATGAGGGTAAACTGAAATGGGTTTAGTTTCAAAGATTCCTGTACACCTTGCCAATCCCTGCAACAGAGCATTGACGTAGCAGACCTGACCGTTGTTTTCCAGTCCCGGGATGGATGTCGTAAATTTTTCTAAAAGGAGAATCAGAAAAATGCGATTTCTTTACTTTTTCCAGGGGTCGTCGTCAAAAACAGGTACGCGACAGCGACGGCCAGGCTGCCGCCAAAGAGGTAGACGGGCAGTAGCTGCGGGGGTGGTGGTAGCATCGTCTCACAAAGCCAATCTGAAAAAATAATGCAAAAAGTTATTTAAAAACTAATTAAAGTTTATTAAAACGCTGATGAAACTGTAATTTTTTGCTTGGATGACCAATTTCCGAGACGACACTATACTCCAAAGCACCGTGTGCGGGCATGGGTGCCCGGATTTTGGTTGGGTGATTTATTTATTTTAATTTTTTAAAAGCTTTTTATTATAATTTAGAAGCCCGCAAAATATCACGCAATCGGTGGAAATTTGTATAAATACCCGTGATTAAAGAATCTATATGGGGAATTAACAATATACAGAGAAAACCTAAGATAACGGCCTAGGATGTCTTTTTCGGCGTAATACTTTTTTTTGACTTATTTCTTGGGTATTGAGGTAATTTTTCTCCAATTTTTCGATGGAATATGAAAGCGCCTAGTTCAAATCATTGAAACAGATGGATTTTAGGGACTAAACCACTTTTTACCTTATTAGTGAAACGAGTGCCCCTGGTTTTCTTGCCACTTTATTAGGCTATTTTCTGTGTTTGATATTAGCGTTGATGTCTTATTTCTTAATCCACAATTTTCAGGTTCACCTCACGATGGGCAAATTCAAGAAGGCGCTCAAAAACAAGGAGGCCTCCTCCCAGCTTCGCCGGAATCCCTACGATCTGGTGGAGCCGGACCAGAGTCGCGAACCACGGAAACGAAATGGGAAGCATTTGGACGATGAGATGCCGGCTTCACAGGTGCTTTTGGACCGGATTTGAGCTATAAAACCGGGTTTAGCATGTCGAGAACAAGATGGCGGCTCGGGTCTTCAGTCAAGCGCAACGTCAGCTAAAGGAAGAGGAGGGGAAAACGGCCGGCGGTGACGATGTGAAGAGGTAGAAGATCTTCTCATTGTCGATTCCTGCTTTTTTGCAGAGTTTATCAACTCCCCGGAGCTGAGGACCAACTCGACGCCGAGGAATTTGAAGACTTGAACCCGGATGAGTATGATGAGAAGGCAGTGGTAGGTTTGAGTATATTTTTGGCTTATCTCGTTGGATGTTTCAGGAAGTCGACCCGAAAGACGAGGAGGATCTGCGGCGGTTTATGACACAGAATGTCGAGAAGAAGCAAACGTTGTGGGAGATGATCCAAGATCGAATCGGGCAAAAGGAGGTCGATGCCGATGGGGAGCTCGATATGCCGGAGGACATTGAGGTCCGTTTTTCCTATTTTGTAGTTGTTATCATGGGGATCTTTAGACCTTTAGACCGCCTCTAAACATACCAATTTCGCAACAAGCGGCCCAAAAAGAGCCAGAAATGCTCAATAATTTAATTTACTAGACTCGTCAAAAATATTTTTATGACACGGAAATCTCGGAAACCAGGAAATCAGCCAAAAAGAATTGCATTTGGGCCCCCTAACGATCTGGCAAAATTTCCTTTTTCTAGATCCGCTCGCTCGAGCCCGAGGTCGTCGACGTCTACCAACAAGTTGGACAAGTCTTGGCAAAGTATCGCTCCGGCAAGCTGCCCAAGGCCTTCAAGTACATCTGCAGTATGGAGAACTGGGAGCAGCTGTTGTAGTGCGTTTCGTTTCGACTTTCCGATTTATGCGATTTTAGTCTAACCGAGCCGGATAACTGGAGCGCCGCCTCGATCTACCAGGCCACCGTCATTTTCTCGTCAAATCTGAACCCAGCGTCGTGCCAGCGGTATTTCGGAGCCCAGTATTTTTAAGTTGTATTTCCAGTTTTTACCATCACGTGCTCCTCCCCCGACTCCGCGACGACATCGACGAGTACAAGAAGTTGAGCTTCCCGTTGTACCAGGCCCTCGTAAAGTCGCTGTACAAGCCGGGCGCCTTCTTCAAGGGTCTAATTATGCCGCTCTGCGAGGTAAACTTTTTGGTTTCAAAGTTCATCTGCTTTTGCATGTTCGCCTTAGCGGAGAAGGCAACCGATTTTTTGCTTGAGGATTTAATTTTTCTAGTAGAGAGTGAGGAATTATTTCGACACCGCGTTGTACAATTTTAAGGGTAAAAACTGAGCAATTTTTTGTTTAAGGCTCAAAAATTGGATTTTTCGACCAAATTTCAAATTTTCCATTTTTTAAAAATTTGAAATGTTGTCGGATTTTACTAAGAAACGCTTTTGAACCCGATAACCCGTTTTCTCTAGTCCGGAACATGCACTCTTCGAGAGGCCATCATCTTCTGCTCCATCATCCAGAAATTTACGATTCCAATTTTCCATTCGGCCGCTGCCTTGATCATGGTAGGCTTTTTGTGTCATTTCAGACCTTATTTTACAGATCGCCGAAATGGAATATTCCGGCGCAAATTCCCTATTCCTGCGCACCCTCATCGACAAGAAGTACGCCCTCCCGTTGCGGTGTATCAAGGTGCTCGTCGATCATTTTGCCAGGTATTTTGAGGCTCGATGATTTCGATTTTTCCCAGGTTTAAATCTAACACTGAACCCCTTCCCGTCCTTTGGCACCAATCGTTGCTCTCGTTCGTGCAGCGCTACAAGCTCGATTTGACCGAGGCGCAGAAGAAGGATATTTATTCCCTTGTCCAGGTTAGTGGCTTTTGATTTGTACCTAGTACGAGAAAAACCGGTTCTGGTGCGTTAGTGAGGGGTGACCAGGGAAATATTTTTTCGATGATTTCTTTGCTCTGGTATGGTAGATTAAGTTATTTTCATCTGTAATTCAACTCTCGGTATATTTTTTGATTCACTCTTGTAATTGCGTTAACAGAACGTCGAAAAAATGGCAAAAATATCTCGAAAACCCCGGGTCAAGTAGAACATTGCCCCAATTTAATTGGGCTATTTTGAAAATGTGTTTTTGATTTTTGGAAACGCATTTGGAAACTGCAGGAAATTAAGAAAATAAACCCGTTTTCATAAGCTGAGAGAATGTTCAATTGATAACTAAAGCATAAAAATCTGACAATCCGCCGACTGCTAGACAAAGAATCTTTCTGGTGGAAAACCCTGAATTACAGACCATTTCCAGGCCCAATTCCACTACATGATCACGCCGGAGATTCGCCGCGAGCTGCAGCACTCAACGGCTGTCCCGAGAACGGCCGTCGTCGCGGAAGAAGCGTCGAGCGGTGTCCGAGTCGTCGACGCGAAGCCCCGGGGGGAATCGCACGATGGAATTCTAATTTGGTTGTCGCTTTTTCGCTTTCATTGTTTTCTTGTTGATTTTGTCGTTGGTTATAAAGAGTTTTTGGTCGCACCGACTTCTCTTAAACTTTGCTAACCTGTACTTTTTGGAAAATCATAATTTGGAATGGTTGATTTTCCTTATAAAACGAACTCCCGCGCCAGCTTCAAAAAATGGTTTTAGATTGCAACCTCCAGAAATCCTATAGAAATGGCGGCTCTATCCCAGTAACGTGGACCATGTAAGGAATCGTGGACCATAAATAAAATCGTGGACCATAACCGGAATCGTGGACTTTAAAAAAAATCGGGGACCTTAAAAAAAATCGTGGACCGGTAGTCAGAATCGTGGACCCTTGGTGAAAATCGGGGACCATAGATTTGGCCGTGGGGGCAAAAATTTGGCGGCGTTCAAAATCGTGGACCATAGAATTCCGTCCTGAGCTGAGTTATGGTCCACGATTCTGAACATCAGAAAAAGGCTAAATTGTTCGGAAAAACTGTGTTTAGCTTCCACAGAGCGGCCAATGTTTGTTTTTCACACCATTTTTTGCTGCATTTCACATTGTAGCAATGGGAACACAATTCCGATTTTACAGAATGCCGATTTTGCGTCCTTTTGCCGAGTCATTTTTCATTGCATTTTTCTTTCGACGAATCCTAGTTTTTCGTAATCGATTCCGGGGGGTTCTAACGAAGTTTCTAACCTTATTTTCTATACAAAAATCATACCAAATTCCCATAAAAATAATCTCCCCTGGCAGGTAACGAAGACTGAATTTTTAACGACGGCTTCGAGGTTCTTGATTCAGGGTAATTCCCTAGCAAAATCCGGGTTTCGATATTTCAAAAAGTATCGGGGTGTGTCAATATCGAAGGCATAGGTTTTTCAGAAAAAATGGACTACCAAACCCTAGGATTCATCGGGAGGACAAACGTTTAGCGCCCTGCAAACAGACGCAAAATCGGCATTATAAGAATCGACATTCTAAGGATCGGCATTGTGTAAAATCGGCATTCTGAAAATCGGCAGGCTGTAAAATCGGCATTCTGTAAAATCGCCATTGTGTAATCGACATTATGTAGGTAATTCCTCCGCTAAATCTATGGTCGAACCCCCCACCTAGTGATAAGCCCATTGCTACAATGTGAAATGCAGCAAAAAATGGTGTGAAAAACAAACATTGGCCGCTCTGTGGAAGCTAAACACAGTTTTTCCGAACAATTTAGCCTTTTTCTGATGTTCAGAATCGTGGACCATAACTCAGCTCAGGACGGAATTCTATGGTCCCCGATTTTCACCAAGGGTCCACGATTCTGACTACCGGTCCACGATTTTTTTTAAGGTCCCCGATTTTTTTTAAAGTCCACGATTCCGGTTATGGTCCACGATTTTATTTATGGTCCACGATTCCTTACATGGTCCACGTTACTGGGATAGAGCCGAAATGGCTAATTTCCGTTCGTCCGCTGCACCACGATGTACTACACCTGGTTTTAGATTTCATGGATTCAATTTCAGCCGGCAATCCGGGATTTGCGGCCGAATTGGGCGGCTGTTCCGCCCGGCCACGAGGGTGTTACACCCCCATCTATCGCCACGGTGTGCCTCATTTCTGACCGCCACTAGGAGAGGAAGAAGCGACTGGTGAATAAGTGAGTGCGACTCCGCGTTCTGAGTGGCTGGCAATCCGCCACACACCAGTTGCGCCATCCCCTCCCGCAAGGTGGTGCCAATAGTTGTGACGGGCCCTCAGCCGGGGAGGTCGTAAAGCGTTTGGTGGCCATTGGCATACTACTGGGGTGTATCCCCGGGCGTCTTCCGCGTTTTAAGCTGTTTCCGGCAGGGTGTTGGGGTGGAGCTGCTCTTTTTGTAGGGGTTTACAGTAGGCCGCGCGGAGTTGAGCTTAAGTTTCTTACTGTAACCGTTTTTTGTTGACCGTGGGATTTCGATACGAGAGATATAAATGCCTATCTAGAGGTTTTTATTACTTGAAAACAATCCACCCATTTTTTTCCAGCTATCCCCCCTATTTCCCGTGTCTGTTCGCCTAAATGTTTTCGGGCGGTTTGGGGTATGGCTTCTTCTTCTTTTTTTGCGTGCTGTAATTCGCATTCTTTTGTTGGGGAATGCGATGTGAACGGCTGTTAGCCCGCCGCGGTTGGCCACGGTTTAGAGGGGCACAAACAAGAAAAAGAAGAAGAAAAAAAGGTAGACGCCCGACTATAGTCTCAATTTACGGCTGCAGTTGACTCGTACTTATTAAAGGGACTCTCTATTTCTCTCTCTCACTCTCTCTCTCTGTCTCTCTCTCTCTCTCTCTCTATCTCTATCTCTCTCTCTCCCTCTCTCTCTCTTTCTTTCTCGCACTCTATCTCTCTTTCTCTCACTCTCACTCTCTCTCACTCTCTCACCTTCTTTCTCTGCTCTCACACGCGCTCTCATTTTTTCTTACTCATCCGCCTATTTTACCCTTTCCATCTCAAGTTGAGATTCTCAACGCTTTCTCAACGCTCATTATTATAATATTTTTATCGGTTAGTGCCCATTAGTTTGAAACATTCTTTTTCCGAAAAAACTGAAGTTTTGGCAGTTTTTCACGCTCTTATTTCATCCTTGAGCTCAATAAATAATTTAAATAATTTGAGCCTAAAAAGAAAAAGCTACAAGTGCAATGATTTTTCAACATGAAATTAGGAATACCACAATGCTGCAAAGTCGTTTTATTTAATGAATTTTCGAGAAATTCTGCGTGTCAGGACTTTTTATCTTGAAACTTTTTTCGAAGCACCGAAATTCGAAAGATTTTCTCAATTTCCTTTTTGGTTAAGAAATAATATATTGTAACGGCTTGTTATGATAATAAGTAAAACCCATTAATTTCATTATTTTTGCTTTTCGTAATTTTTAAACGTTAAATGGATGTTTACAAAGTTTCATACGGTGCTTCATTGATGATTTCACGACTGCTTCGATTATTGTTACAAAAATTCGGTCCGGAACGACTTTTGCGCTTGAAACATGATTTTAAAAATCGCGCTAATTTCACTAATGAACGAGTGGTTCTACTACGGTTTGAAAATTCTGCCTTTGAAGGCCATTTCTCTTGAAACTTCATTTTCAAATTCGCTACATTTGGATAAAATTTCGATTTTTCTATCGATCTATTACTGTTTGTTAGTGACCTGGCAATTGACTCTACATTGTTTGATAAAATCAGCCTCATAGGACTTTTTCTCTTGGAACATCATTTTCAAAATCACTAAATTTCAATAAAATTGATATAATTACGACTTGATAATGTATGATTATGATGACTTTTTTTGTATGATTTTACTTATTTTTTACTTATGAACTAGTTTTTTTTTAATTTCACGAATCTAGGATCGGAGAATTGATCGGCTTCCGGCAAAAAGAAGAGGTAATTTTTTGAAACTTCTTTTGGCAAGAAAATTAAAGTGAATGCGGTCTGCTGCGGAATGTTTTTGTTCCGATTTCATTTTTGCATTACTAACCCCTCGAGAAGAAGTCATGCTGTGTTGCCGTTTTCAATGTCCTCCCGAAGGTCTCGCTGTAATTCGAAGACAAAACACTTTTTCTTCTCTTGAATTTAATGGAATAATCGATTATATAATCTTGACTCCAGTATTGCTAAAAAAGAAGTAATATTTCTAAAGTTATTTGAATTATTATGGAAGAGCCATCAGTGGAGAGTCGACGATCCAGGTTGGAAATATTTATTTTCCGAAATCAGTCGATTTTAAAGGCGATTTAAAGGAAAAGTATTTCTTTTTGAGACTTCTGGAAAAGATAAAAAGCTTTTTGTTGCAAAATTTTATTTTAAGGTTCTTTTGCCTTATCGGGGGGGGGGGGGAAGGGGGTGGCGGGAACATCCGAATTATTCCCAAAGGTCTCCAAAAATGGTTAATAACGTACCAGTAAGTATTTTAATACTGTTTTTGCTGAATATTAAGTATATTCCAAGTAAAAACTATCCAAAAACCGCTTAAAAAATTTTAAAATTCGCAATTTTGGTCGAAATCGGGATTTTTGCCATAAAATCGATCTTATTGGCGTTTTCTAATAAATACCAGATGGTTACAGTCGCTTCGCGACTGCAACCATCTGGCCTTCGGGCTACCCTACATGTCTCACTCCACCACATCCTTTGCCACCTCCAACAATACCCCCCCCCAGAGCCGAAATCCCCTTCAAAAACTACCTAAATACCTTCCTGGTGGCTGCAGATAACCCCCATGGCTGAAATCCCCTTCAAAAACTACTTAGATTCCATTCCGATACTTTAAATGATTTAAATAATAAATTAACATAATTAAAAAGTATTAAAAGTATTAAAGTCCCCGTCAAAAACTACCTAAATACCTTCCCGATGGCTTCAGATACTTTAAATAATTTAAATAATCAATTAACATAATTAAAAGTATTAAAAAGTATATTAAAAAGTATTAAAGTAAAGAAAGCGATCTGGGCGCACGAAGGGGCCTGGGGAAGAGGGGCGAAGGGAAAGGGGGGCGTGGCCTCCCCGGAGAGGGGCCCCCACCCCTTTTACTAAGGAAAAACTTTCAAAGTTAATTTTAATAATTTAAACAAAAACTTTTTCATAATTTTTTATCAGTTTGGGGGTTTCTGACGGCGCTCTATCCGAATCCGAAGAGAGCTAAGCTCTAGCTCTTTTCCCCTTCGAGTTGAATTCGGCTTCGGACAGACGGACAGACAGACAGACGCGTCAAGAAAATTATTATAGTTGATTTGTAACATTTTCCTTTTAAGAACATTGAAAACAGTTTAGATATTCTTTCTTTGTTAAAAATAGGAAAATTGATCCCCCCCCCCGATAATGCGAAAGCGCCGGAGGCATGACTTCGTATGACTTTAAGAATATTTTTTGGCTATTCAGAACGTAAATTATTTTAGCTTTTACATCTAACTGATTTTACACAATAGTGAATTTGGATCAATAAATTAGTTTATTTAAATCAAGCTTTGCCTCTAAATAATAATTTTTTTACCCTGAACTGCTCGAACTTGAAGCCACCTGGTGCTCGAGCACTCGCCGGAGACGCAGAGACGGGTTGATGAGCTGGCGACGATCACGTTGGAGACGACGCAGACCAAGGCTGAAGTCAAGGCCAGGGTTGCGGACGTCACGTCGAATTCAAAGCCCGGCTCGCCGAGGCCTGGTATAAAAAATGTTTCTGAGAAAATTAAAATTAAATCAAAATGAAAAATGAAGCAATTAAAAATAATTAATTTTATTGAAACAAAATAAATCTCAAAAACGGCAATTCCTTTTCTTTTTAAATTATATTTTCATTGCTAAAACCATCATTTAATCATTTTAGGCAATGAAACATGAAAACAGAAGGCAAAGACGAAAAAGTGAAAAAGATTGCCGGTGCGGGGAGTCGAACCCTCGACCTGTTTCTTGGAAATGGCTGTTTTAGCCACCCGGGCATCGTAATAAATTTGTAATAGAAATTAAATTTTTATAAGACTTAAAGGGATGCCGACGGCATAGTCAATCGATTACGCGCTGGAAAGAAAATGTCTCTGCGCCTCTCCCCAGGGCGCGCTCTCTACCCTGTTGGCTACTTGCCAATTTGTTGATGGGGGGATCGACACATGCCGTCGGCAGCCCTTTAAGCTTATTTTATACTATTAATTTTATACCTATTAACAACCGGAATAGAAAAAAAGGTGTTTCCAAAAATTTTAGTTTATTAGCCACAAATTTATTTTAGTTTATAGTTATTCAGTTTCGGAGAATTAATTAATTCATATTAATTTTTAGCCTTTTTGTTAAATAAAAGAGGCTGCTTTTAATGGTATTTTTATATATCATATTCAAAGTTAACTATACTATTTAAAGTATCTTATTTTAGTTTTTGTTATTTCAATAGTTTTTTATTCGCTTAAGCAGTCCAAATCCCGGAGGGTGACTCTTTCAACTTGCAATCCGCGCATTTGGCCTCGATTTTGGGAGAGGAGGCTGAAAAGGTTTAGTAAAAAGACGGGAGCATTTAATACGAAAAATCAGGAGGAAAATCCGCGGAAAAACGAGCTGAAGCTCGAGGCGAAACCCCAGGAGAGTCGGAGTCCGTTTGCCGATGTCACTCACCCAGGTACTAATATTTTTTTCATGTGCTTCGCGTTTCTTCCGTTATAGCGGTTGATTGAAAAGCTTAATCATATGATCCCGTCGTGTTTCTAAAATTAATTAAAAGTTTCCCTTATTTTTTATTTTTAAAGGGGTTGTTCATATGTTTCACGTTTTTCCGGTTCCAACGTGGAATTCTTGAACCTAATACGGCCCGCCATTGGGAACCGAAATTTCATACTATTGAAATTGAATTTAATGATATTCCATAATGAATTTTGAATTTAATTAATATCAATTTTTACGTAATTTTCATTATTATTATTATTATTAAATTATTAGTGCCATAATAATAATGAAAATTGCGTAAAAATATACGGAAAACCCCAAAAATGCCAGGCGAAAATGCCGAAATATTGAAATGTTGGCATTACGAATTTCGACATTATGAATTTCGACGTTATGACAGAAAATATCAATTATAATTTAAATATAGAATTAAATAGACGGAAAGGCACGCTTTGCGTATTGTGAGCGCGGCAAAAATTCTTAGGAATTCATTAGTTCACCTTTCAACTAAATTTTTTGTTTGATTGATTCGGCCTACAATAATGTGTTTCTTCTATTTTTGGTTATGACTGATAATTTTGGGTGTTAATGAAATCACTCTTCGGTTTATTACCCAAAATAATTACAGGCACATGGAAGGCGGGCGCGTTTCTTGTCACATAATTTAAAGGAATTCATTGGCCCTATTTTTCGACGCTGCTGTGGGTTATATGGGTCGGTAAAAATGTTAATGCAGTTAGCTTTATAAGAGGAGTAGAGGAGTAGTTTATAGTAGAGTTTCCTTGGATTAGGAAAATATTATTACCGGACATTCCACGTGTTTCACGTTTTTCAGTTATTAAATTCGATTCTATGCCTGCATTTTGCGCTCATTGGGAATGGGAAAAATAACTAATGGGACGCGGCATGGAAATCCCCATGAAAAGCCACCTTTCACCGCCAAATTTTAATTTCAATTTGTTTGAAAATCATGCTACACGAAATTCCATAAATTGCGTGTTTCATATTTTTTTAACTTTAGCAGGGAATCTTGGATATTAATCCATCCAACGTGGGTTTTTCAAAAAAAAATGAATACTAGGCCGGGTGTCGATACCGATTTTGATGCCTAATCTTTGACTTTTGATGATCAGCCAAATCCCTTTAGATCGATATTTTACTGGCTAATTTAAATTTCAAATCCTTTTTAATTTTCAAACAAACTTGGGTGGAGCAAATTAGAAATCTCCACCTTTGTGATTATTTTATATCACGTCTTTTTGGGCTGCGATTAAAACGCATAGTGTATTTTCTGATTATCTATAAAATGTTCTGTTTAAAAACCAGCTTTTTGAATCCATTTGCAACGATATTATCTTTTTTTTTGCTATAACATTATTATATTGCATTATTATCGGTTGCCATTAAAACTCGTAGTATATTTTTGATGCTCTGTCAAATCAGATGACAAATCCTCTCGAAAAAATCCCGAAAAAACGAAATTTTTCTGACGGCGGGTAAAGTAAACCGTTGCCTACAAATGTTTCACTTTTTTGGGTTACGGAACGTAATTTAGCGGGTTAATTTTGTGTTTATATGTAGCGCAAATTTTTTTCTAAAACTTTATAAACCCGAAATTAGACGATGAAATGCCCGAGCCGTCGTCAATTCCGCAATCCCCAAAAATCGTCGAGCCGCAATTCTCGCTGGAGATTCTGCCGAGCCATAAAAATTCGGTGCGCGAGGATCCGGAATTGTTGCGGAATGTGGATGAGGTGTGTGTGCAGGAATTGGTTTGTAGCCCTTCTCTGTTCCCTTTCCTTTCGTACTTTGTAGTCTGTAGCTGCAGTTTTTGCTTGTTACTTCGTAGCCTTCTTTTGCAGACCTTGTAGTCTGTAGCCTGTTCTTTTCGCCTGCTTCCTTCTTCTTTGATAGTTTGTAGTCCGTAGCCTTTCGTTTTTGCTGTGGAGTTGAGAGTTTGTAGCTTGCAGTGTGTCGCCTGGATCAAATTTTTTACGTTGTTTTGCATCTCCTGGCGTGTAGTTTGTAGTTTGTAGCCTGTCGCTTTTGTAGTTTTTTGTATTCGGCGCCTAAACGCGTGGCATGCTAATTTGACAGCTTTTAAAGATTAAAGGACTAGTGAAGGCACTGGAAGCCGTTTTCAAAGGGACCGGGAGGTTCTGGCGTTAGTGGGGGGGTGATAGCCTCCTACCCCGCCCCCACGTTAACGAACAAGTACTTTCCTTTAGCTTGCCAGTCCCTTTGATCGGCAGTGGCCTCTTGTCACAATTCAAAAAGGGGCATGGCCTGAACTCTGCCTTCGACGGCCCTTTAATCCATTTTTCCAGCTTCGAATGTCCCTGATTGAACGGCTCCGGCTGCGTGTCGGCATTGGAAATGAACTGTATAGGGCCACACTGGCCGAGCTGTTCGCCACCGGATTCCTCGTGGTCGGTTTTTAAAGGGGCCGGCAAGTCTGAAAAAAACAAAAACAACTTTTTATTTGATGTCGTAATCAGTTTAATCGGGAGTGTTTTCCTCAAAATTTGTTGCTTTGAAAAATAAGTATCTTTGAAACATTTAAAAAAGCTTAAAAACCTACTACTTGAAGATAACATGACAATAGTAGTTTCCAATCAATTTTAGACCAATTTAGAGCTGAAACATATTTTTTATAATAGGTATAAAGAATAAAGTGACGGTTTTCTAGGGTTTTAAATAGTTTGTGCAAAGTGACGCGCGCTTAAATAAAAACGTAGCAAAAACTATTACTACACCGTCTTCAGTTGCCTTTTTAAATGAATATTAAAGCGTTGAAAACGGGGTATTTAAAAATGTTCGCCAAATTCAATGTCGTAATCGGCTAGCCCGGATTTCCCTTTGCAAAACTAGACGTTTTAAATTGCCAAAAGTAGCAGGATACTGAAAAAAATGGGTTTTATCCATAGAAGACTTATGTGATGCCTCGTTCCTTTTAATGTGCGCTATATTTTGAACAAAAAGTTATGAAAAAGCTTGAAAATTTCGAAATTTTGGTTCTTTGGTCAATTCTAATTTTTAATCATTTTTTAATTAAAATTTGCAGCAAAAAATTCTGTAGGACTCCAGATAACCACCCCCAGCCGGCCCCCAACTTTTGTATCTGCGCTCCCTGTTCATCTACAGATGTGTAAGGAATACCAAAATGTTCGTCTTGCTCGGGCGAACATTTTGGTATTCCTTACACACCTGTAGATGAACAGGGAGCCGAGACACAAAAGTGCGGTGCCGGCTGAAGGGGGTATCTGGAGTTGAGCCAAAATTTGTAACTTTAAAACTATTTTTATTTCAAAACGATGACGACATAATATGACTTATTTGCTGTCGTTCTTTCTTTACTTTTATGTTCTTCTTCAGTTTGCCGGCACTTGCGTGAATGCGCAGCACGTACTGTCGAGTGGACGATACAATGCGTGGATTGGGGTATGCGTCGGCTGGGGACTCGCCCTCGCTTTTGCCGTCCAAATGGCTTACAGGGTATCTGGTGAGTATTTTAAATAAATTTTTTATTTTATTTTTTATTTTTTATTTTACATACAAAATTATATTTTAAATATATCAGGTTGGAAAGAAAGTAATGGCACAAAATCTTTAAACCGCTTTAAAAACCCGTAGGAACGACCGATTCGCAAGTTTGATATATGGTTTGGTAGATCTTCGGATGCTCTATCACCGGCCAACCCTCAAAGCACCCAAAAACTAATGTACGCGAAAATACAGGCCTCAGAAGTTTCACGGAAAATTAGGTGAAAGCTTCTAAGCAAGATATCTCTACATAGAGGCATTTGCATACGATACCTTTAACACCAATCGATAGCTCTCGAGGAGTAGATATCGATAGATGTTGAGATCATCAAAATCGGACACTGGATGACCGAAATATGGCCCCTAGAATTTTGGTCCACCTGTTAGAACTTTTCTCGAAATCCCATACATTTTGGCCTGCGCGAGCCAAAAACTGCTGCGTTTGCTTCAGCTCCCGAACCAAAATCCAGAAAATGCATTGATTTTGGAAGGACCATATCTCGGCCATCCAGTGTCCGATTTTGATGATCTCAACATCTATCGATATCTACTCCTCGAGGGCTATCGATTGGCGTTAAAGATATTGTACGCAAATGTCTGTATGCAGAGATACGACGCTTAGAAGCTTTCACCTAATTTTCTGTGAAACTTCTGAGGCTTGTATTTTCGCGTACATTAGTTTTTGGGTGCTTTGAGGGTTGGCTCGTGATAGAGCATCCGAAGATCTACCAAACCATATATCAAACCTGCAAATCGGTCGTTCCTACGGGTTTTTACAGCGGTTTAAAGATTTTGTGCCATTACTTTCTTTCCAACCTGATATTATCCCAGTATAAAAATAGTATATTCCAGTTCCGTTCCATTTAAAACTAATCCTCTTACTCTACATCCAAATACTCACGCGTCCTGAAATTATCATGACCAATTACACCCCCATCATGCAATTTCCTTGAAACATAATTTCGCAATAGTTTTGACTTGGTTGAACAAGGATCTTTTGCATTATCGGGGGAGGGGGGGGTAGAACTTTTTGCATAATTTCAGGAATGCTACTAACTTAATGGTATTTTATAGCGTTTCAATCTACAAAACGATAAAAATAAATCGAAAATCGGCGATTTTTGGTCCAAGGATAAATTTTTCGTATTTTTTAATGGAAATTCGTACAGTTTTTATTTTTATTTTTCTAAAATTAGGTAGGTTGTTTTATTTATTTTTCTAAAACTTTAAAAGCTGTTTCAAAAAATTGGAATTTCGGTAAAAACCGGTGCTTTTAGGTGGAAAAATCTAAATTTTTGATATTTTGAAATAAAATTTGTCAAGTTTTTACGTTTAGGAATAATAAAAACAGTGTAGAAACACTTCCTGTATTTATATTCGAAAAAAATGGATCCCTAGAGAAATTCCTTCCCCCGCGATAATGCAAAAGAACCCATATTCACATTCAGGCGCCCACCTCAACCCGGCCGTCTCGTTTTTCCAGCTCACCCAGGTGGGTTTATTTTATTTGTTTTTGTTCTCGAACAATAACGCCGATTAACGCGGCTTTTTTCCCCGAAATACCTACAATATAGAAACATCATTTTCTAGGGAAAAATCTCGCCCCTGCGCTTCATCCTATTTGTCATCGCCCAGAATGTCGGCGCCTTTTTCGGGGCCGTGCTCACGTTTTTGGTGTATTACGGTAAGTGGCGATAGATTACGGCACGGGCAGCTAGCAGAGATCATTTAGGGCCTTAAAATTACGCAAAATCGGTTTATCCCTATAAAATTGTTGAAAAGCAATGTTTTAAAATTTCGCTGGGATTGGGCTGTTCGGGAAAAAGTAATTTGTACGCGGATTTCGGATCAATAATTTTTATGTGTCGGCAAGATAGTAGAGATTATTGGGGAACTCTGTATACAAATTTATAAAAAGCAACTAGGACGGCTGGCAGAGACTCTTTGGGATAGTCAGTGCGCAGTTCTTTCGCATTATCGGGGGAGCCGAATTTTCCTGCTAATCCAGAAACGTCTAATAACTTTATCGTAAGCATTTTAAACGTGTTTTTAGTAAAATCGAGAAAACCATAAAACTTAGACAAATTAAGTCGAAATTTAGATAGAGATCCAGATTTTTGTGTGTTCTTATAAAACGATAAAAACAAATTTCTGAAATACAAGCTAGCAGGGGTGAAAAACACTAGTTCTGGTCGCGAGCTAGCCGAGATTTCTGGAGAAACCCTAAAATTTTCGTTTTTCAGACAAAATCAACAGCTACGACCGAGGGCGTCGCTTCGTCACCGGCGCAAACCGGACGGCCAACATCTTTGGAACGTTCCCCGAGCGCCATCTCTCCGTGTTGGGCGGGCTTTTTGATCAGGTCCGATTTTTATCTTATATTTTTCGCTGGATTTTTGGCATTCTTAATTGAAAAAGGGGACGCTTATTTGCCATAAACTCGATTTAACCGATTTAGACTCTATCCAAGCTGTTTTTTTTCAAATGGTTTTCAAAAAGCTGTCGTTGCGCTGTCAGGATAGTCGTGAAATTCCTAAAAATTGCGTTTTTTTTGTAAAAAACTGACGAAAAAAACATCAGAAAAGCTCCCCTTTTGCCAAGTAAATTCCAGTAAATTTTCGGGATTTTGACAATCGATAGATGCCTAAATCATAAAATCTTCTGCGGCTGGCTAGAAGCGGAGGAAACCGCGTAACGCGCATGCATCGCGATCATTCGGTTTTCCTGCGAATTCAACCTAAAATGACTTTTGAAGCGAAACTTGTGACCTTTCAGGTGGTCGGCACGGCGGTGCTGTGCATGCTGATCGCGTGCGTCGTCGACCGTCGCAATCGCATCCCGCCATTCATGCAACCGGCCTTCATTGGGACGATCCTGATCTTGATCGGCATGACGCTGGGTAAAAAAGCTAGAGAAACGGAAAATAACCTGAGAAACGATTGCAGGAATGAACGCCGGGTACGCCATCAACCCGGCTCGCGATTTCGGGCCCAGGCTTTTCACGCTGATCGCCGGATATGGATGGGGAGTGTTCAGGTGTGAAAATGGGCTCTAAAATAGTTAGAAAAAAATTAACAACTCCTCAAATTTGGCTTAATTCGCTGCTAAATTGTAAATTAAACCTTAAAAGCGTTTGCCGCTTGCAAAGGTCTCTATTTCATGCGGAAAACTTACAAAACCGAGGAGCGGAAATGAACGCTATAAGTAGAAGAACCTCCATTTTGCAGCTACAATCGCTACAAATGGTTCTGGATCCCGTGGGTGGGCCCCATGATCGGGGCGGTGATCGGCGCCTGGCTCTACGAGTTCTTCATCGGCTTTCACATCCCCGATGACCCGGACACGTCGTATATCCACAGGTTTGGAGCGAGAGGAAAACTTTTTCATTTAGTTTCTAACGCCTAAATGTGTCTAAACAAAAAAAAAGAGCAAGAGGTTTTGCAAGCCTTATAGAGCTCGAAAAACGACGTAAAAGCGGCACAATATTCAGAATCGTCGACGACCGCAACCCAGAAGGGAATCTCCGCGAAATCCACCTCATCGAGACGAGGCCGTAAGTTTGGATAATCCGACCTAGAGAATTAAAAAGCATTATTAGTAAAAAAAACTAAATTGCAGGGCCAGCGAGCGCCACGATCCACCACCCCCGCAGCAGATCGCTGCCCAGTCGCAGAAGCCGACATCCTATCGGAACCTCTGAACTCGGCGCTCGCCCCTCACATCACAAATCGCATAGCTTCATCTACTACGATCTTTCGCATAACCCGGCCCGAGTATGAGCTCTCGCACTCTTTTGTCATCCTCTCGTCAGATTCTACATGGTCCCTTGGAGGAGCCACGTTTCCGCTTGTAGATTTTCTATTGATTTCCAAAAAGCTGTATTAACTGTACCGCAGATCTTGCCATGCCTTTTTCGATAACACCATCGACACCTCGAATAAAAATGGATTTATTTTCTCCGAGAACAATGGCATATGTTTAAGGTACTTACACATAAAATCGAAAGCTACAGTTATACACCTAATCGAGACGGTAGTAAACGGCAATTTGCGGGGTTAATAGGTCCACACGTCGGCGTGAGGGTTCGTCGCGAGGATTTGCTGAAAAGAAAAGCATTAGCGTCGCCATTGAATAAAAAATTTTGAGGAAATTTTTTGAGCTATTTGTGCCAGGTGGCCACAAGGGCGCTAAAAAAGCTTGCCGGATCGGTCTGCATCAAAAAAAGACAGTTTTCTGGGCTAGTTTTTTTACACCAATCCGAATTTAGCATTTTAGACTACAAGAACTTCGCTTTAGACTACAAATTACAAAAATTCGACGATGGAAATTTTTTCCGCGTATCGTAACGACCTGAGGCCTTTGGTAGTTTCTACTCTAAAGTTAGGTTCTTGTCGCGCAAAATCATTTTATAGTTTAAAAACGTCAAAGTCGAATTCAACGTACAATACTAGCAAAGAAACCCTGTTTGTAGGTACCGCCGAGCGGGCATTTTTTAGCAACCTTAGGGCCATCCAACAACTCCAAAATTCTCTCCAACCTTGCGCCGCTCTTCAAACATTTTGCTGTGACCCTTCATCATCGAGGCGCGGTGAAGACAGACCTGGTCGTAGCAGGAGCCTGAAAAATTTTTATTAGCCTCAAATAGACCTCGGTTCTGGGGCTATCGACACGAATAAAATTCTTACCGAGGTACCAAGCGCCGGCGAGTCCCGCTAGCAGCACGCGCTTGTCCCAGAGCGATCGGCGCACCCAGTAGCTCACGGTGAAAGTACCCATCTGGAAGATGGAATTATGGTCTCGACAATGCCTCAGCGGACAAAGTGAGAAAAAGCCACGACATCGATATAGAGCCGTCACAACGGCAAAGTCACGGAACCAGAAATTATGCAGAAAAACTTTATCGACATGACCCGAATTGTGAGCACTACAATAAATACAGCCTAATTTAGAAGAATGGCGAGAATCATGCTTGTGTCCGGCCGAGGAGGGCTTTGTCGAGGTTCGATTGCCTGAAAAAGAGGGTTGAACGAAGCATTTTGGAGCGCTAAATCGCAGATTTTCCCGATTTGTGCTGAGAATTTGTCCAGTGCCTCTCTGTGGCAAGCAGGAATGCAAAAAAGGAAAAGAGCGAGCGACCCGTGACGTACGTTTTGCGTAATTAACACACAAAGCCTAAATTCGAAAGCTATGTAAAGACACTCACTTTCCATTCAACTTCCACTCCCTCGTGTGGTTCCAGTCGAAGAAGATGAACGTCGCCGTCAGCGCCGGCCACAGGTAGATCGAGATTCGTTTCCTCAGCAAGTAGCCGGTGGTCAGTGCTGCCATCTGGAATTGAATAAAATTTCAGGGAAAAACAGCGGAGAAAGTATAAAACAACTGGGTGAAAGCCTCATCATTGTGAATTTTTACGAGTAGAAAAAGTTATCCATCCAGTAAGTGTTGAATAAGATAATAATAAATGTAAAATGAAAATCTATGGGATTTGAAAAGTTCAAAAATCTAATTTGTCATTATGATGAGCCTTCACAAAGATGGACGTTCGGAGCGGGACAGCACGTGTATAAAAAGATGCTATATATGATTTGACACAAATGAGAAAGTAATAAATGTGAAAAGAAGAATTTATTTAGTTTTTAGACTTTTTACAACGAATGTTGGGCCTTTTGTGCGAATTTTCGCATCGAATGGGCTACGCGCCGCTGCTATGCATACGGGATTTGTGAGAGACCATGGCAACGGCGTTCGACGGCTTTTCACCTGCCGCTTTGAAAAAATAAAAACTAAAACTAAGTTTTGTCACCAAAATTGTTTGCTGAAGTTTTATTTTTTTCACAATATCAGTAGGTAGAACGAGACGGTTTCTTCAGAACTTAGGCTTCGTTGAATAGAGCAGTAAATAAGGCGCCGTCAATAACAAAGTCTGGCTTGTTTTATGATACTTTCTAATTTTCTGGAAACTTAAAGACCATAAATAACTTTTCTTTTCATTTCTTTCATTTTCCCGCCTCGATTCTGCGTAATAATGAGCAATTTCGGCCTAATTATCTCTTTTTCAGCATGACGACAAAGGAAAAGGAGCTCGACACAACCGGCCTACTCCCCCCGTTCCAAGGCGAAAAGAAGGTGGAAATCATCGAGACGCCGGACACGACGATGGTGACCATCATCTTGCACGAGGAGGACCACACGATGGGCAACTCGTTGAAGCACATCCTCTGCAGCATGCCCGACGTCGAATTTTGCGGCTACAACGTGCCCCACCCGCTGGAGGACAAGATTCTGCTGCGCGTGCAGACGAAGAACGGCGTGCCGGCGAGACGGATCCTCGTCGACGCGTTTAACCATTTGGAGACCATCTTCACGCAGATTGGGAAAATGTTCGAGACTGCCTACGCGAAGAAATAAGTCTAGTATTCCACGTTGATTTTCCAATTTTGTTGTAGATTACATTCTTTGATTTTCTATTATTGAGTCTAGTTTACCCGTCCCAATTGCCGTTCTTTTCCATCGAATTTCCTTCTTGATAATTGACTAATTTTTACAGAATTTTCCTCTATTTTGAGCCTTCATGTTCCTGTTTTAGCTTTTGTTTGTTCGAATTATCCTCGTTTTCCATTGCCCCCACCTCCCCGCTTGATACGGGTCTTTTCGTTTTCGCCTGCTTGTTGATTTGTCTGTTGTTCGCTAATAAACAAACCTATTTCAGGTGCGCCTACGATGGCGTTCACATTTGCGGCCTTCTGCTATTTGATCGCGCTGATCGCCGTCGCCTTCTGTATCTTCTTCGCCATCTACACGGTATTTTCATATTCTTAGCATTTTTACGATGCGTTTAGGTGATCTGTATCGATGAGCTGAAAACCGACTACAAGAACCCTATCGAACAATGCCGGAATTTGAACCAGGTTTGTTTTTTGGAGCAAGATTTGAAAAACTTTTGTAGCTGGTCTTGCCGGAGTACATCATCCACGCCGTGTTCACCTTCTTGTTCCTCTGCTCCTGGCAGCCGTTCTCGCTTCTCATCAACACCCCGCTCGTTGCCTTTCACGCTATGAGGTATAGTGAAGAGGCATTTTACTTATTGGGCGGATTTCACTATGCCGAATTTTCACGTTGCTGATTTTCATTGTTTTTAAGGTGTACTGGCGCAGTCATCGTGTAGAGAATATTTATGGTGACGGAAATCAGCGTAGTGAAAATTCGAGATAGTAAAAAAATTCTGTGTAATGAAATTTCGCGAAAAAATGGAACCTGACAAGATTTTGTTCTTTAGCTACGTTCGACGACCGGTGATGACGGGCCCCGGCATCTACGACCCGACGCGCATCCTCAACCGTGCCGAGCTCTCCCACCACATGCGCGTGTCATGGATCAAGCTGGCTTTCTACCTCCTCTCCTCTACCACTATCTCTACGCGTGAGTTTTTTTATCCGACGCCTCGTTATGGATCTTTAGCAATACCGGGGGGGGGGGCCATGTGTAAAGGATCAACGTTAACGTCTGAAACGTTAAAATAGTGCAATTTTATGTCGAAAAACACGCAAATTTTGCCAGAAGAAGGAAAGCAAGTATTTCTAAATTGTGTTCGCCATCCAAAAACGTAGAAATACTACAAATTTATATAGAAAAAAACACAAAAACGAATTTTTTATCCATATCCTCAGTTTTTGAAAAGTGTTCGCGTTTTTCCGCTCCAAGTTCACTTAAACTTCACGAAAATACCTGCTATTACGTTACTGGGCATAGCTGGCGTTCTAGCCGAAAACATTCGGGGTTTCTTGAAGAAAGTACTGTGTTTCAGAGAATTCTGGCGATTCCGGGGTTAGATTCGGGACCTTAGTATCAGACTTTTCCTGACGGTATGTTCATTTTCAGGATGATCTACACACTCGTCACCACCTCCTGAATCTCTACCGACTTGCACCACTACCGACTCGCCATCCGCCACGTACCATATTCGACGGCCCTTTTTTTGTGATACGAGTAAACAACGTACTTATCCAGTTGACCGTTTTGTTCTTTACATGGCAGGCGTACCATTTTAGCTAAATAGCCTTAGATTACAATCGAGCGTGGTTCTGGCTCGTTAGCGGGGGGGTGATTTTCCCATTTCTTTATTTTCACGCCCCCGCCAGTGAACTAGCTCCAGGTTCGGTAAAAAATGAACGCCGACGCGCCCAGATAATGCTCAAATTCTTTATATTTGAGACGTGTTGCTGATCAGCTTTTTGCTGGCCCGTGCTTTCACACCTCCGGGCCCTCGGCTATCTGCCTGCCTGGAAGAACATGGAAAAGCGGCTTGCCCCCCGCCGCCCCGTTGATAAGGAAAGCTTTAGGGACACGTCTGTTACTTTTTGGCATACGTCTGTTATTCTTGTACTTCGTGAGGAGGGGCTTGGATTTGAAACTTCTAAAATTGGAGCTCTCCTAAATGCCGCGGACCTACTCGATACGGACAACCGGGCGAACCGTTTACGATGAGCTGCAAGCGGCGATTTATCCGATCTATAAAAAGGCTGGGTTGATGGGGGTGCTGTTTTTGGCAGGTTGGTGCTGGCAGCATTTTGATGCATATTGATAGAAAATTATAAAAATGAAGCACGCACAAGGTGGGGAATGGAGAGGGGTTATTTTGGCGATGGCTATTTGTTTAGAGGCGATGTAATTAAATATAAAGAATTTCTATAGCATTTCGCAATGTTTTTAATATAAAAACGTTTTAAAAATTTATAAAAGGTTAGAAAACGTTGACTTCTTTGCAAAAATCACAGAAACATTACCAAAGCTGCTAAAGATTTTGATTCATTGCTATGCAGCCAGAGGCTCACTTAAAACCATTTGCGTTGTTTCCGGGAGCCGAAATGTTTCAGCTAGGTGGGGATCGAACCCGCGTTTGAACGGAATAATTCAGTGTTGTTATCGTCATGCTGTCATGAGATAAAATTGTAAAATCTTCTAGCTTTTTTTGGCTAAGACTCAGAGAGAATACGCGTGAATAAAATGGATTTTTTGTATGTCCGGCCGGGGATCCAGATTTTGTGCTTTGGAAACCAATGTTTTTATTTATTTCAATTTATAAACAGTTTTTAGTATTTCAGAGCATAAGGATTTTACAAGTTTGTGTTAAGAGTGCAAAAATTTAGTTTTTTTCGACCAAAGAAGCATTGTTTTGAACAGTTTTAGCCTTTGCTAAATAAAGAGAGCGCTAAAAATACTTTTAGGATCTGTATTGAGAGTCGTTTTTTCATCGACCATCGATTTTTTGAGAGTTTAATGTTTCGTGTTCAACTAGCGTTCCTGTTTGTAGGATTTAAATAATCGGTACTCCGCTTGTTTGCTTGCTCCGCTTGTTCTGCGTTTCAAGTTGATACAGTTATTTCTGCGCATATATTGAGAATTGGGCAATTTTACTTCCTTTTTATCGGGCTCACTACGCATAATTTTGGTATTAGGATCCCTAATGGTTTCTGAAAGCTTTCCCTACTATTGTATTACAAGAAAAATAAATGAAAACTCAGGATTTAGTGTTAATCGTGGGTGTGCACTGTTGGCTGGCCATTGCCATCGTGCACCGCTTCGCGACGGCCATTTTCCTGCTCGTGTGTGTTTGTCTATTTTGGGTGGGGCTTCTCGCCCATTTCTACGGGCATAAGCTGCCTGAGGATCCGTATAGGTAGGTTTTTCAAAACAAGATTTAAACGGATTTTATATGCTTTAAACTAGCAGGTTCTAACAGCATTATGATATTTAAATGGTTTATTTAGGTAGTTTAAGTAAATTCAGATAGAAAATGCTCTTTTAAATTAAACGTTTAGATTTGGTAAGTTTGCAACTAGTCAAATGTCTATTTTTACTCACCAACTTTTCTTGAAGGATTGAATGCAATAGCCGAAAACTGAAGCGTGAAAATGACGAAACAAACGTTTTTTTAGTTCTAAAAGTTTTGGTGCTCTTTTTGGGCTTTGTAGTAAGACAAACTTCTGATAAAAATCGATCATTTGGTTTCAAGGAATTAGATCAGTTGTCCGAATTAACGAATTAGCAGCGCAAAAAAACACAATATTTCAAAAACATTTTTTTGGCGTGAAAAAGCACAAGGTGTCAAATTTTTTTCTAATAAATACAGAAAAAGTGTTTCTAAACTGTTTTTTACTATTTCTAAGCGTCAAAAATGTACAGATTTTAATGAGAAAATAGAAAAAAATATAGAAGTTCGGACAAAATTTCCAGCTTTTGCGTTTTTAAATAGTTGTCCCAATTGAAATATAATAAAAAAATTACCTAAAAATACTATTGAAACACTTGATTTTACGTTCATATGATTTTCTGGACTTGTAGGGGAAAAAATTACCTGACAAATTCCCGAATCTACAACGACAAATTGGACATATTAGCCCAGGCAAGGACCTAACAGATTTTGAAACTCAATTTTTTTTTGGAAAAAATTCCTTTAGCAAAGTGGAAGCTCAACTTTCAAAGTACAAATGGCTACCGTATATCGCCGCGTTGCTAGCGCTCGCGGCAGTTACGGCATTTGTATTGACGCAGGTGGGCGTAATTTTCTGTAAGAATAAAATTATTATTATTAATCAATTAACTAAATCCAATTTTAGTCAATCCACTCTCGGCCTCGGCTGCAATCATTCGGGTCGTTGATTTTGATCCTAATAGTTTCGATCTTGTTCTCCGACAACCCGGGCCGGGTGGGTTCGTTGAGATTGTTTTTATGTCTAGAAAAATTCATCCAAATTCCCAAATATTCTTTGCCAGTTGCCTCCTTTTTGCTTCCCCGTTTAAACCCCCTCCGCCCCGCTAATAGCCCAGCACCGAATCTTCAAGCTAACCGAATAAAAAGCTTCGGGCCTTCACCAATTGCGTTTTTTCGGAAGAGCTCATGTCACAAAATTGTGAAACATAGATTTTTGAAATTCCCGCATGCAGAAAAATGCTGCGAAATTCCTAAATATTCTCTGCCAGTTGCCTTCTATTAGCTGCCCCGTTTAAAAAATTCGTTCCCCCCGCTAAAAGTCAAGCACCGAAATTTTGAGGTATAAATTTATTAAATTTTAACTAAATTAAATTCAGTTATTATTAAATTTTTAATTTTAAATCAAATTTTTTTCTTTTCGAACCCTGAATTCCAGATAAAATGGCGTCCCGTAGTTTGTGGTATCGTGCTACAGTACTTGGTGGCGTTGGCGATTTTGAAGTGGGAGGCCGGCAGAGGTAGGGTTACTAAAACAAATTAAAATTTAATTAAACCTTAAAAATGAATAAAAAAATATGTTACGATTCTCACCAAAAGCTCGATTGACACACAACGCCTGTTGTTATTAAAGATCTCATCGGAAGACGATTTGTGCCTCTTCGTGAAACACGGAATTTTAAAGATTTATTTTTCTAGTGCTCACTCGTAAATTCGAGCCGTAAGAAAAAACGTAAAATATATAATTTTTAAAACACAGGTTTTTAGAAGCATTCCGCTTCGTCATCGATCAAATCGTCTACTTTTTGGGATACACGAGCGCCGGGACGAATTTCGTGTTTGGCTACATCCCGGTGCCGCCGAATATTTGCGGAATGGATGGGCCATTTTCGTTTACGGTATTTTTTTTATTAATATTTATTAGGTATCATTTTATTAAAAAACGGATAGACAAGGTTAATCCAATCCAAATAATTTCATACAATCAATGGCAAGCAGCGAAAAATTAGTGAAAATTCGGAACCCGGCCTTCCTTGATTTTTTAAAACTTAAATTTTGTATGGATTGCTAAAACGGAAATAATGTCGTTATTTTTATTCCGCCTAATATTCTATTTTTAAAAATTGGAAGATATCATTATATAAGTAATAATCTCTCAAGCTATTTTGCTAAATTGACTTCGATATTTTAAATACAACCAGGGTTGAAAAGCCGCTTCGCGACTTTTCAACCCTGGACCCGTCTTGGACCCCATGCTATTCCGCCCTTTGCGTAATTGTCCTTCATTCAGAAGGCAAAAAAAAATGAAAAACAACCCCGTCTGCCTCTTTATATAGACGACCGCCCACTTCCGGTCTATGCTAATTATTCCTAACAAAGAGGTTTTTACAAAAACCTAAATTTAATAGCGAAAATGGCTAATTTTTGAAAATCTGATATGTGTGCAGTCATCCCTAGACCATTACGCACCTAATGAAGTATCATACTTAGTCTAATACCCGTCCCTTCTTGAGATATCCTCTGGACAGACAGACGGAAGTGGATGCAAAGTGGCACACACACATAGACACACAGACACTTTTTTTTATATATACAGGGTGTCCCAAAAAAAATCGACCCCCCTCTAGCGGACCGCAGAAAGCTCGGATCGGAATGATTTTCACACCATTCGAAAGCCCTTCAAACGGTGAGAAAACAAGCGCCTTTGGTTTTCCTAAAAATTTTAGCCTTCGCTCGATATTCAATGATTTCTGTAAAAAGCGTAAAACCAGCATCGTCCTGTTTGCTTTAGCAAGCAATTCACATGCCGATTTTGCATAAAATCTGCAGTTTTCATCGATTTTGGCTCTAAATTTAATGTATTAAAATTCCCATATTGAAAAACGAAAAGTGCTTGTTTTCTGCCTTTTCGAGTGCTTTCGATAGATACCTAAATCGTCAAAATCGGACATGACTGCGGCCCGCTAGAGGGGGGTCGATTTTTTTTGGGACACCCTGTAGTAGGATTACATATTAAATACAATTACAGATAGCCTAAAATTGACGAGAAATCAAAAAATTGAAAAAAGGTGAAAAATAACTCCGGGATATATACAGCTGAATTACAGTAGAAGCCGGATTAATCTTAACGAGCTTTTCTAGACATTACTTTTTTATGAAACGTTAAAGTTTTGCTTGCAGATGGGGGCGGTTCAGGTCATTAACAAACGATGGAGCCACGATAGTGATATGAAAAAATGAAACACTTTTTTGCAACTTTTTTTAATACATTTCCAGTCACTGCCAATTCTCATCTTCTTCTCGGCCATCATCTCGGCGGCTTACTATTTGGGATTTGTGCAATGGACGACCAGGTTGGCCAACAAGTTGAAGTTGTAATTTTAGCTAGTTGTAGGTTGTAGTCGGGAATAGATTCATTAAAAATGAATATAAATACCGTGGTTCTATGGTTTTTTATCTTAAAAATACACCTAAAACTGATACGAAAGTGCCGTGAAAATATTGTGTTTTAGCAAACAATTAATTCGGGTTGGATTTTTCTGGTGCAATTTGCATAAAGTAGGTAGTGTGAATTCATGAGTTTTAGGCACTTGGAAAGTCTAGTATTTGGTGGGTTTTTCGATCCCGAAAATAAGCTTAAAATTCCTTTCGCTTTTTGGTATCTAAAATTTATGTAAATGCTATATATTTGTTTATATTTTGTTATAGAGCCGTATGGAATTGCTGGGAAAAATTGTCCCCACCCCCCGCTAACAGTCCAGCACCGGGTTTTTGATGTTTTGCAAAAACAGCTTAAAAACTTACAAAAGATTGTATAACTGGAAATGGCGGTTTTGACACAGTAAGCTAAACTGCAAACTACAGATTTTAAAGCTTAAAATAGCGACTACAAGCTTCAACTTTTGAGAATGATGGCCGTTCTGCTGCAATGGACGATGGGGACGACGAGCGCTGAATCGTTGAATGCAATGGGAAGTGTTCTGATTGGTCCAGTACGTTTTTGAGGGTGTGCGAGCAGCTAGCATAGGGTTTTTAGGAATTTACTTTTTACTTTCGTCCTTTCTTGATATCATTAAATTTTCCAAAAAAAATCTGTGTTTCAATATTTTCTTGGAGTCAATCGGTTCGGTAAAGGCTAATTTGCGACGGGATGCTGTCGGTGACTTGGTGAGCTTGAAAAGTGTTTGGTTTTCGGTTAAATCAGCCCTTTCGGAAAAGGCTAATGTAGCTTCTGCGTGTATTATTCCGTTTAGCTTGTAAATTCGGTACCGGACTGTTCGCGGGGGAAGCAATTAGCCGCAAATACCGAGGATTTTTTAGGAATTTCGGCTGATCTCGCTGAATATAAAAAATTTTGTATAATAAAACTTATCTATGTTTCAAAATTTCTTAAAATTCGCTCTTTCCGGAAAGTCCAATTCCGTCTTTATTTTCGACTTTTTTGATAACATAGAATTTTCAAAAAATTTCTATTTTGATAACAAAAGAACGAGCCCATTCGGAGAGGTACACATTAATGCCAAAATCCATTAGAAGATTGTTGCAAATCTGCTTTGAGAACATAAAATTCGATTTCGCTTTCGCTCTCTCTGTCCAGCTCTCTCTCTCTCTCTCTCTCTCTCTCTCTCTCTCTCATTCTTTCTCTCTCTCTCTCGCGCGTGTTCTCTGTTTTTAGCGCTCTCTATCTCTCGCTTTCCCCTCTCGCTCTCTCTATCTCCCTCACTCTCTCACTTTCAATCTCTTCTCCCTCTCCCTCTCTCGCCCTCTATGTCTCTTTCTTTGGCTCGCTCTCTCTCGCTCTCTCTCACGCTCTCTCTATCTCTCCCTCACTCTCTCTCTCTTTCTCTCTCTCTCTCTCTCTCTCTCTCAATTAACCGAAGAATCCAAAGAGATGTCGACGAAATTATTGCATAAAGGTACAACATTTCGTCTGTGTTTTCCACTAAAACATTAAATTTTTTTGCCAGACAGACGGCGCTCTTCTGATGCAATTCGCCCTGCCGTCGATGACGTACAGCGAAATCGTGGCCGCACTGGCGGTTGGTCAGTGTTTTGGACTTTTTATTCTTAGTTTTATTTGATTGAACTTGGCCAAGTGAAGGTCAATTAAAGAAACATCCAACTCCCAGCATTTGATGAAAAAGCAAAAAGCATCGTCGCGGCCGGGGGTCGAACCCCGACCTAGTGAGCGGCAAGCGAATCCACGCTTTAGGAAACAGCCCAGCGATACCGATTTCATCAAATTGAGAGGTTTCTTTAAATTTTTCATCGGATGTGAACTCCAGCTAATAATCGTCGTAAATATTTTAAACTATTGGGTTTCTGAGAAAACATATTTTTTTTTCATTTGTCGAGCATGGACAAACCGGATTTTCAGGAACCTAACCTACCTATCATTTTTCGAATTGACTCGAAATTGAAATGTCGTCTTCTAACAACGTCGACTCATATTTTGTGAAGATTAAATGGATTCCCGATTTTTGTGATCTTTTTACGTTTCGCAATTTATTATAAATAAATAACTGATTAAAAATAGATGAAATATGATATGGAAATTCTACAAATATTTTTCAGGTTATTCAATGATCGATGGGTCGCTTTTTGCGTTGTATATCGCATTCGGGGCCTGCCCGACACTTCTCCTCAGCGCCAATGTGATGAGCGCTCCCGCAGTGTTAGTTAGTTTAATCAACATTCAAGGAAACTAACTAAAAACGAACGTTTCCATGTGTTGTACTTACACAATGAAACATAGATTTTTCCTTGGTAAAATCAATACATGAAAATCCACATGTCTGCAAGTAGCCTAAAAAAATGTTGCTTCAACATTTTGAGGGCATCTGGCCGACATTTAGAGCTTAGTCTCGATCAATTTGGTGCCTCAAAGGATTAAAAGGCCGTTTGCCAGAGAGCCGAACTAGGCTTGTCACAGTTTTTTTCGACCCCGATTTTTTGATGCCATATGAAAGAGCATGGTCGAATTAGTAGGGCTGCATAGTTTTGAATGTTTAAAAAGTTCATTTTTGGGGTTTAAATGGACGTTAAAGTTCACTACCTCTAAAAACTAACTCGAAAACTACTTTACCAAATTCGCTGAAAATTTGTGAAAATACCTAATTTGGGGCGGGGATCATTTTTCTAATACATTTCAAATCATGAAAATGGCCGGAACATCAAAATCTCGCGTACTCAAATGAGTTTTTCAAGAATTACTATTTAATAGGAAGTCGTCGCCACTCTAGAAATACGTTTAAAAGATGCACAATTAAATTTTACATCGAATGATGTGTTTTCCAACATGGCGACAGATTCCTATTAAATCGAAAAACGACTTTCAAAGGCACCAAAAAGAAATAATTTGCGTATTTCTAAACAGAAAGACAGTGTTTCGTAACTAGAAACCAAAACAAAGCTATTGCAAAAAAGAGCAAAAAGAAATTCGGTTTCTAAAAGGGGGCTGGGATTGAACTCGGGTCGTTCGCCTGGGGAGGTGGCGGCGCCCACTAGTGCCTGTCCCCAGTGCCCCCAGGCGGACCATCACGGGTTCGATTCCTCGCCGAGCCCAATTTCGCGTAGAAACGATATTTATTTTTGCTCTTTTTTTGTATCAGGCTCGACTTCGCATCAATATTCGATTGCATGCCTCCGGTTGTGACAAAACAAAGCTATCTATGTTTTTGAGCTGTTTTTGCTAATTTTAGAAATGTCATTTTTTCGATTTAATAGGAAGCTGTCGCCAAGTTAAAAAACACATCTTTCGATGTAAAATTTAATTGCGCATCTTTTAAGTGTGTTTCTAGAGTGGCGACGACTTCCTACTAAATAGTAATTCTTGAAAAACTCATTTGAGTACGTGAGATTCCGTTGTTCCGGCCATTTTCATGCTTTGAAATGTATTAGAAAAATGATCACCGCCCTAAATTAGGTATTGTCACAAATTTGCAGCAAATATGGTAAAGTAGTTTTCGAGATAGTTTTTGGAGGTAGTCAACTTTAACGTCCATTTAAACCCCAAAAATGAACTTTTTAAACATTCAAAACTATGCAGCCCTACTAATTCGACCATGCTCTTTCATATGGCATCAAAAAAACGGGGTCAAAAAAACTGTGACAAGCCATATTGGGGACTGTTCGGGTGAATCGCGGATGGCCTTTTAATTTCTCTAAGTATAACAATTTATTTTAATCAGATCCTTAATTTTTACGTTAAGAAGAGAAAAATTAAATAAGGATTTTAAACGATCTTTTTTTAATAAAAAAGTAATTCGACCGAGTAGTAGTTTCAACCCATGACAAAATCTTAAAAAGTAAGAATTCGATTTCCATTATGCTAAAAGGTATTAAAAATCCAAAGTTTTAAACGACCGAAGTACGTTTTTAGCCTTTTTTTTCCAAAAGTAGCAAAAGCTAGGTGAAATTTAATAAAATTGCGGTTTTTGGTAAAAATTTGGTAAAAAACATGTTCCGTAAACTATCAAAAAGCTCGAAAATCCCTGACAATAATTATGAAGGTACAATTTGCAGTCTAACAATTTCGAAGTTGATCTGCCCGGAGGTGCAGAAGAGCCGGCAGAAGGATATGAACACCTTTTCTTTCCCGCCTACGTGAGGTGAAATATTAATAATTTTGATTTGTTAATTAAACTAGGTTTAATTTAGACAATAATAATTTGTAAATCACTGAAAATTAATTATAGTATGAAAATGATTACTGCATAACTATCGATTTATGTTGTCGAAATTTCATAATGTCGAGATTTCATGATGCTGAAAATCATAACGGCCAAAATTTAGACCGTCGACGTCGAAAAAACGTCGAAATTTCAAAATGTCCAACTGATAACAGCGAAAATTTGTAACGTGGGAATTTCAAAATGTCGAAATTCATAATGTCGAGCTTTTATAAAAGCCGGATTTTCTGCGCAAAATATCGGCATTTTCCGCCTATGAAAAATAATGAAATTACGAATTTTGGACCGATAAAATTTTGGAAACTAGGAATCACCGTGATTCCCACTTCCGAAAAAACTGTGAATTTTTTTTCAAATCAAAAAATCTATTTCCAAAATACCCTATCGGTTAAAAAGTCAAATAAATCAACTAAAAATTACATACAAATCGTAGTGGAATTAGGTGGAAGAGTGTAATAAAACGAAACAAAGACATGAGTACTTTTGTGATTGTAATTACAATAATTTTTATTTTTCTTTAAAGACCATAGAGTCGAACACATTTTTTTTAAAAGTTAGAAGCAAAAAATATTTTCTTTTTTCTTATTAGTAGTTCAAATTTTGACGATTCATTAGTCTATTAAAGATTTAATTTAAGGGAAGCCGAATCGCTGCTCGACTCAATTTGCAAGGGTGCCGTCTCGGCGATGAGCGTCATCTTCGCCATCATCGCCAATTTGATTGTCTTCTTGGCGCTGATTGCATTTTTGGATAGGTGAGTCGGCCTCCTAATTCACCCATATCAGATCATTTCTGAAACATTTTTTGACGATCAAAATTAATGACTAAAGACGCTTGCGTTCCTTACGCTCTGTTTTGTCAGTATAACAATGCGTTTTCAGGACAATTGGCTATGTTTGTTCGGCTGTTGGATACGATGACGTCACGTTTAACGTAGGTCAAAACCGGTTTTGGGACACTTGATGTTTCACAAAAAAAAAACACGTGTAAGAAGGTTCGATATATGAATTCCTGTTCTTTGATTAGTTGCACTCGGAAATTCATAAATTAAAGATGTTCAGAAATTAGAAATGGCTAACGAATCGATGTTCATGAAACGCCTAGTACTTGTGGTAAAAATTAAATAGTTTTAATGAAATTTAAATAGGTTCTCCCCTATTAACGAGGGGGGGGGGTGGGTGGCAAAGGCCAAATTTTTTCTTTGTAGCTAATTTTTGTAATTTAAATTGAGGAATGGTTTCTAAGTTGTTAGTTACAATTCCTAAATCTAAAACTATGCAAATCCTTATTCTAAAAAATGCAAAATGTCAATTCCTAATGACCAAATTTCCAAATAAAAATAGCAATTCTTAGCCAATTTTCTGCATTACAGGGTGGCCCGAAAGTACGTTGACCGGGTTTTTTCGGATTTTCTAAAAAAACTATAAGTACTGGCAGGGTCATCTTGACATAGGATATTTCTGATACAATTACTTCCAACATGGTATTATCACTTTTCCTATTGACTGACTTAAATTCGGAAAAACTGGCCGAGAAGATTGCTGAAAATGAGGTGCCGGCACGCGGGTACTCGGCGTGGCATTTGCCCCATAACTCAGCGAAGACTTAACCGAGGGTGTTCAAATTTGGATGAGAACTAGCCAAGACCTAGGCCTTCAAGACCTATCACACCAAAAAATTTAGCCGGCTTAGGTTCTGCCTACAGAAGGGCGACTATGAGCGATCAAAAAAACGCCTGTTTCAAAACCTTAATAGCGGCTCCAGATACTTGCGCTTGTGCGAGGGCCCTGAGCCTTCACCGGAAGGTCGTGCTTTACCAAAATGCTAGGCACACTTCCTAAATGACTCAGAAAGCCAGAAAATGTCTTTTTATCCAAAGGGGATTAATTTTAGATTTTACCATTTTCAGGAATTTTCGCCATGCGCTGTGCAATTAAGGTCCTAACGGAAAATTGGGGTTGTGTTGCCTTCCACGCGCCTGCCCAAATTTAGAAAAATTACATAAAGAATACAATTCATAGCCTTCTTTTGCCTGCAACTTCGAGCGCAAGTGTCTGGAGCCGCTATTAAGGTTTCGAAACATGTGTTTTTTGATCGCTCATAGTCGCCCTTCTGTAGGCAGAACCTGAGCTGACTGAATTTTTTTGTGTGGTAGGTCTTCAAGACATAGGTCTTGGCTAGTTCCCATCCAAATTTGAACACCCTCAGTTAAGACTTCGCTGAGTTATGGGGCAAACACGACGCCGAGTACCCGCGTGCCGGCACCTCATTTTCAGCAATCTTCTCGGCCAGTTTTTCCGAATTTAAGTCAGTCAATAGTAAAAGTGTTAATACCATGTTGAAGGTAATTGTATAGGAAATAAAATATGTCAATATGACCCTGCCAGTACTTATAGTTTTTTAGAAAATCCGAAAAAACCCGGTCAACGTACTTTCGGGCCACCCTGTATATTCATAGTTAAATGTTACTAAAACCGCATTAAAATACTAACTACTACCATACTAGCCTCCCCCCGATAACGCGAAGGCTCCGAACATAAAAAAATCGTAAAGATGAGGTCAATCAATTTAATTCAACAATTAAAACAGATAAATATTAATGAAAAGCGTATTAATATGAAACGAATATTTTGAAAGCAATTTTGAAAAATAACGTGTTAAGGCATGTTACATATATCAAAATTTGGCGTGAATTGGTTAATCGATCCTCCCAGATATTTTTTTGCAGAAAGGTCTCGGCTGGGCCTTCTTCCCCCTTGCCTATATTATGGGGGTTTCCGATGCACCCGACTGGGAGACGCAAAAGGACGAGATTTTAAAGGTATCCAAATTTTATTATTACTGAACGCTTATTAATTTTGTTTTTAAATAAGTTTATATTTACTCATATTTTTGAGAATGTCAGTATTTTCCAGACATCGAATATTCGGATACGATAATTAAAGAATATGAATTGCTTAATTCTATGCTTTGACGTTAAGGGTGTTAGCCAGCTTTACACAATCTTGAAAAGACTTCTATCGTAAATTTGCATTGAAATGGTCTCAAATTTTTGGATTATGGTTCTGGAAAAATTACCTAAATCAGCAGAGACCCGACGAAGAAATTGGTTGAAACATTTTTTCGTGCTTTGAACAAAGTCTCGATTCATTATAATTTTTTATTTCCGAGAACTCGACTAATTTATTTGTATAGAAGATCTTAGCTTAATCCTGAAAATACCTTTTAGATAAAGCATAAAGCAACCCTGATGCTTCGCGATTATTTGAATTTTTTCATTTTGTTTGGTAGCATCGCATAAGGTATCAGGCCCTTTAATAAGCACTGCTTAAATAAGCCCTTTTGCATATCTAAAAATCTTAAAAGCGTTTTCACAAATATCTGAAACCATTTATTTTTACATAAAACATGTTTCGTTGTTTTTATTGGAGTGAGAAAAATTCCGAGAATTAATCGATGTATAACCACACAGCAAGAATTTTAGCAAAAAAATAAATAAATTGCGAATTAAAACTTAAATAACTAAAAACTCAGCATTATCTTTAATTAATGGAAAAGAAGAGTTTTAGGTCGCGCAGCTGATCGGGACGAAGACGGCGCTGAACGAGTTCATCGCCTACCAGCAGATGCAGCAGATGCTCGTCAATAAGGAGATTGGGGTATGGATTTCGATTTATCCAAATTTCAATAAAGTAAAACGTTTAATTAGATTTAATAGTAAATTTGAGACACCTATTTTTATTTCTAGCGCCAAGAATATTTAGCGTTAGGGTGATTGCGTAATTTGACGAAAAATGGCATTTCACCTGCTTTTGGATTTACGTAAAAAATCATTTGCGAAGAGTGGTCGACACAATACCAAATGTATTTTTAATTTCCGTTGCTAATTTTTAGAAACATTTTTTCTAAAATATTTTAGAAATAAAGCGAGACCTCAAAATAAATTTACTACCGATTTTGTTTTTATTTTCGAGTACCAATTTTCCGAAACATTTTCTAAAAGAATTTGCCGAATTTTTAGCAACGCATAATTTGCTATACAATAAGTAAGAATTCTGTTTCTCGTCTAATAATGCAATCGTTTAATTGAAACATTTAAAGGGACGCGCGCAGCTGATGGCCATCTACTGTCTATGCGGCTACTCGAACCCGTCACAAATCGGCTCGCAACTTGGGATTTACGGCGCAATGTGCCCGCAGAGGAAGAAGGTATGCAAATTCGCTTAAAATTATATGAATTATTTATATTTTATGATATATATTTTATGAAAATAAACAAAAATCCTTGATGTTTCAAGAGCACACGCTAGTAAAAACGGTCGGTTTGGCATAATGACAGTTCGGATTACGCCCGCTTTTTATGTTTAGCGCGGAATTCTTCGTCATTCGATGTTCCAAAAATTATTGAAAGGGAAAATTTTATCTGTATAGGTTATTGTGATGAAATTAAATAAATGTTCTAGAAATATCAAAATTCAAGAGTTGTTTCGGAATCTTAATCCATATTTTTAAAAAAAGACGATAAACGCAAAAAAAACACCAAAAATTCTTCTTATTATGAGAAAAATACATGTTTCAAAAGAATAAGCTAACGAAACGGGAAAATCCAGTATGATTGCCATATATAATTGTTTGCGTTTATTTTTAGCCGTAATTTTGCGCCGAATTTGAAAACATTTTAGCATGAAAAAGAATTATTTTTAAATAGATCGATGTTTCAAAAAACCAAAAACCCAAAAGGCTTCAGCGAGCCTAATTATGCATCGCGCAGTCAAAAAATTAAATGTTCCAAAACATTTCAAAACCGAAATTTTTTGAGTATCTGATTACTTAAGATGAGGTAGTTTAAAATATCCAACAAATATATATTATACAAAACAAGGAAAGCATAAGCGTAAACGACAAACTGCAGGATTTTGTGACGGCCGCGGCGAAGGGACTTCTCATCGGCTCGCTCACGTGTTTTATGACGGCCTGCGTGGCGGGTGGGTTGTATTTTCTGATTTTTATTCCTTGTTTTTTTATCAAATTCGTATTACTTTTACTATGGGATAATTTTACAAAGGATCCGAAAGTTCACAGAAAACAGAAATAAGTTTTCAAAAAAGCCTCCATCAGAATAATGCCCCCGATTATCGTTATCAATATAGTTTAGAGATACCTTAACAAATGCAACATTGTATTTCTAAATAGCTAAAAATATCATAGATGACATAAATAGCTTTGGAAAATGGTGGAAGTACAGAATCAAGTCAACTGACACGTTTCCCGAGACGGGTTTTTGGAAAAGCATAAAACATTTTTCTGCCGATTTTTTGTTTTTTTTATTGATTTAGCCGGTATGATATAGAATTGCTTGATTCCTTAAGTACCATTGATTATATTTATATAGAATTGCAAGGTATTGGCATATTAGTGAACCATTTTTTTTTGACTATCGCTTGTTGAAATTTTTTTGCCAAAAATCAATAGATAAGGGTGGTACAATTCATCGACGAATCAAATATTCGATCATTAGGTTAAAAAAACAGCTTAAAAACAGTGTTAAAAAATGAGCAATTTTAGGGTCGATCGTGTCAACAGATATGGGATGTCTGCCCACCACAAATCCGCTGTGTTTCGATGTGTCTAATGGGACGAATCCACGATGGGTGTCCGCCCAATGAATTGTATTGGTAATTTTAATAAAATATAAGTATTATTAACACCGGAGCTATATAAATAATAATAAACCGGCAAAGCGACCCTCCAAAGATTTTGCCAAAGAGCTAGACGCAATCAATTAATTTCAGTAAGATCAAGATAGTAAGGATCTTGAAACATATATTTCGAAGCTCGAATCCAGGTAACTTTGGCCTTTTTATTATTGCGCTCGTCCATTTTTCATAAATCAAAAACTCTGCGACTCGAAATAACCCATCAAGTCAAAGAAATTTTCTGTAATTTTAATCATTTATTTGGGCGCTTTATCCATATTCAACTGGAAGCGAATTAACCGAGTTAAAAAACCATCAAGTGCTCGCTTTTTTGAAACATTTCTGTCGAACCTTGCGGACATTTTGGCAGTTTTTTCCCCTCTCCTTGATTGCTTTTTTGATCTTAACATTTTAAAATGCTTGAAAACGCTGGAAAATTTGATGGAATGATGGGATCATATGGCCTAGCCTTACCATTTTTTGTAAAACATTTTTTCGGCAAACGCTTTCAGAAGGTACTTGATTCACCAGGACTTAATACCTGCGAACGCATAAAGCTGGATCGTACTTTTTCTCAAAACATACTTTTTCCGTAATTTGCTGCTTTCCAAAATACGTTTTCGGCTGTACCTGAAATTACATAAAAATTTTAATAAACGAATAAATTTATTAAAACGGCATGAATTGCGAAATTGGCCTGATAATTGGGCTCGGTGGATTTGGAGGGAATGGAATGGGATTGGCAGCCATTGGGCAATTTATAGGTAGTGTCGGGTTGGCGGGTGTGTCGTAGCCGCCCTAAAAACAGTATATTTTTTAATGGATTTGCCTTTAATGGACCCTTAAACGATCGGGAAGTCTTAACTATGGAATTTTTGGCTATCAATACGCGCGCCTCAATTACCCTAAACCCACTACGCAATGAAACGTCAGCAAGCCCATGGCGTGTCGCGCGCAGCAAGATGAAAAAAAAATCTATTTCTGGTTTTTAAAATATGCTTTAATACTCATTCGAGTAAATAGTTAATTTATTTTTTTCAATGCAGACCAAATTAAAAATACTTTTGTAGCTTTGGTCGAATTTGCTGTCCTGAATTCAAAAAGAGATTGCGCTCCGTAAATAACCGCGCCGTAAATTAAAGATATTTTGGATTTCAAAAATATTCACATTTTTCTCAATTAAAATTTATGCTGTATATTTTGAAAATTCTAGCACATTTTTAAAAATATGTATGCATTCGCTTGAATTCGGTAAACACGCCACTAAAGTTACTCCAAAAGATTGTGTTCACCAATTCTCCCGAAACACACATTTTTAAAACCAAATTCAGTTATTATAAGCGATATACTCTATTAGATAGATAATACCATAAATATATTTTTTTATTAGATAATTTCATGAAATTCAATGAATCATACCTGTGATAATCGGCTAATAATACTCGGGTAGAGGGCCCTCGTCCTGGCAAGCACCATTACATTCCCGCATTTCGGAAACGTGTCTACCTTAATTAAATGTGTAAAATTAACCTTTTTCTTATTCAATAATTAAAGCAGTCGAAGCTGGAATTTATCTTGTAATTTTTGTTGTTACTGCATCTTGTCTTTAACAACTCGATTACAATCCTACTCCTTCCACACTGTCATCGTATTCGGAAATTCTATCACTTCCTTACCTGAAACTTGTTTTTCAAGAAAGCACCACGATGATTTTTGCGGTAAAAAGTCTTCAAATCGCAATCGAGATTAGCTACCGTAATCTGCCCCTATTTAATTACTAGTTTAATCCTAGTGTTACTGCCCTTATTAAGGTATTTACTGATAAAGCGCGCTCTAAACGGGTAAGAGTCTAGAGACCCCCCCCCCCCAAGCCGGCACCAACTTTTATATCTCGGCCCGCTTTTGTGCTCGCGAGCTCTAAAGTATACCAAATTGTTCGCCGTAGGCTAATTAGTAAGACTACATTGCAGTTCCAAAAAATAGCGAAAAATAAAAATAAGAAAGGTAGAAAAGTTGAAAAGTCGGCTGGGGGGGGTTTCCTAGACTTGTGCCCTCTAAACGCTCATTTTATCAAAGGCGATCGTGGTCTTATTATAATGCCTTGAAACCGGCCGAAGGATACTTTTGACGAAGCATTTTGTCGCTTCGGCGCTTAGTATTGGATAGAAAAATTCGCTTTTAAGCCAGCATGCAAAAATGAATGCTCTAACCTATCGTATTTTGCCCGTAATAAATATTTCTGATTGGCACGCCCTTAACGCTCAAATCTAACACATTCTGGCACCGGTTCGATATTGAAATATTAATATTACAGCAAGTTATTTCCAAACTAGTTTCTTCTAAAACATATTTTTGAAAACGCGTTTTTAAAGATTCGCTTTCCTTCAAATGTCGTTAAACCCGCTACCTGTCCGAGAATGACGACGTCACGATTGGAAGGCTCGGCCACTTGCGATGCGAAAATCACCGAAACTAAAGAAGTAATTTTTTCAAAAAATAATATGTTGCAAAGACTTTTCAAATAATGAAATATAAAACATTGTGATTAAGACAGATCATACGATTTAGGAATTAAAACGTTGAAAGTGGAAAAATGGGCTACATAAAACGAGTCGATCACGGCAGAACTAAATATGTCGCACGGGCCCGGCAAATTTTTAGAAGTCTCACGAAACATAATTTTACGCCAGAAATACCTTTTCAGAAAGAAAGATCTTTTACTTTAAATCCGTCCTAACCAAATATGTATATAAATTAGTTAAGTTCAATTTTAATTAAAAGTTTAAGTTGTAAAAATACTACTTAGAAAAAAAACTTCGAAAAAGCTGCCTTTTTAAATCTAAATTGTTTTAGCCGAATATGTACACAATTGGCCAATTAAATTAAATTTAAAAATACCAAAATTTAAATTTTCGTGTGCTCACATTGTGCATCTACCGTAGGCGCGAATTGCCAGCGGATCGTTTGGTCGGGTTCGACTCCGATCTGGCCGATTATCGACTTGGGCACGCCGTCCACCTGGTAGGCCAGCTCGAAGGCGCCCGCGTTGGACACTAAAAACGATTATAGCCTGCAGGTTGTGCAGCTTTTTCCTCCAAAAGGACATGCGACCATTAGCAAAAATTTTATTTACTTCGTCAAAAGCTTTTATGAAACATTAAATTTTCCTGGAAAATGCAGAAATTTTGTCGAAAAACACAGACCCGGACTATTCGCATGCAACATTTTCTTGTTGAAAAGCTTTTCTCAAACACTAAATTTTTCCTGGAAAAACTCACTGAGGACCGTCGCACACTGGATATCGGCCTCGGGGCGAAACAATGTGCCGAGTGTTTTTCGCATCGGCACCGCCTGGCCGATCATCAATCGGTTGATTGCCTGGAAAATTGATTTGGTTTTTAATTTAATTTAATTTTAATGGCAGATTTTTTAGTGGGGATTCCAGTAGGCAATTTAATATTTTGAATGAGGATCTCGGAGGCCCATTGTTGCAGGACAAACATTCCTTTTTTCCTTTTTTTAAATTAATCCGAACGCCTCGGGAGATTAGCCGGATTGAAATGGAGATTTTGGAGTGGCCGGAAACCAGGAAAATCCGGAAATAGAACAAAAAACATAAAATTGCGCCCAGAAATCTGTGTTTTGGTGTTTTAAAAGGACTCAGGGATACGGTAAACCGGGTGACAGATTTTGTAAATCCTTTTTCGCTTTTAGGGATCAAAAGGGTACTGCAAACGTACTGTAAATCGTACTGTAGCTTCAGAATCTTAGTTGATGGATTACGGTATCTGAGTACGGTAGGATACGGTATCATTGGGCACAGATTGGCCACCCGCCTAAACCAAACATATCGGGCTAGATGGAAAATTTATTTACCTAAATAACAAGGTCTAACACGGTTAAATACCTTAAACTTTCAGGTTCAGTTGAATAATTTAAATTTATACACGAAAAATTACCTAAACCTGGCTTAATACCTTTAAATTTTAATTTTGATGGGCTTAGGGCTCGGTTCGGTAAGAGTTTACTTTACTACCCCCTCCCCCCCCAGCCGAAGGGTCTAAAAGTTGTCGGTATTTTCGCTTATTTTGTCGGGATTTTTGCAACGCCATTCGATAGAGCGTCGAAAAATATACTAAAAGTTTTAATCTGAGCCTACAATAATGTAAAATAAAAAAGTTATAGCCAAAAATTTCCGGCTCTGGGGGGGGGGGGGAGGGGGTAAAGTAAACCGTAGCCCTCGGTTCAATGCCGTAGGCGAGATTTTTAAGGGCCCAGTTACGGTACTACCTAGACAAACGGAATTAAAAATGGAAAAATGAAAGATTGCTTGTAATAGACCCCGGTATAATAAAGAAAGATGAGCAAGTCCAATTCGGAAACATTATTTTGTTTTGGATTTATGTTTCGTGAAACATGCTGTTGAAAAACACAAAAATTTCCGAAACCTTAGATATATACCACAATTTCGGCAAAGCTATGCGGCAAAGCTTTCAAATACCATTACTTCTATGAATATTTCTCGGATACAACTTAACATAAAATCATAGTAGCCCTGTTACACCTTTTTGTTAGATTGAACCCACAATTAAAAGTGAAGATAGCCAATTTGGCCATCCTGGAGATAGATTACATTCGAAGATAACTAATTACCGTCACCAAGCAGCGTTTCTGAAGGTTTTGAGGCGTTTTAAGGTTTACCTCCAGTTTTCCTTTACAAAAAATATGCGGCATCAATGCAATGTATTCTCATCGTAAAATTAAAGTACCACTTACATCATTAACATCCTGGAAAAGTGTTTGCAGGAGTTGACGACTCGCAAAAATCAACGCCCACGAGCCGGAGAGGTCCGCGAATTGGGGGGATGGGCAGGTGTTGAGAAACTGAAAATTTTTTTGCAAGAAGTCGCTGCTGCGGAATTATTCAAAAGTTAGCGCGCTACCGTAATGTTTCCACGAAACAGATTTTTTAGAATTTTTCTAAATTCAGGCTTCCCTAAAATATCTGAAAGCTTTTAATTTTGAAAATTCCTCAATTGGTAGAAAAACCTATATTTTTGCGTTTTCTATAATAAAAAAACTCTGAAGCTTTTGCGTGATACTAATGCTAAAAAAGAAATCGGTGCTAATGCACTTGGAGTTCGGATTTTGACTACAAGACGCTCCAAATGCCGTTTTTTTGAACTCGAAGCCTCTGGAAAAGCTAAGCTAAGCATACGCCTAGGCTTAGCTTCATACCAACGAAGCCTAAGCTTAGCTGAAGCCAAGCTAAACTTAGCTTTAGTCTAGGCCCTAAATGACCTCATTTTGACCTCGTAAGTCAATTTAAAGCTCAATATAAGCTTAGCTTAGGCTTAAGCTTAAGCCTAAGCCGAAGACAAGCATAGTTAAAGCTAAGTTAAGCCTATGCTTAAGCCGAAAAACAAGTAGCTTAGCGGAGCGCCTCGTAGCCCCTCCCTACCAATTTCGGACTGCCCCCTAACTGCATTAGCACGAAGAAATCATCATCCAAATTTTAGATACGAAATTACGAAAAAACTAGCAACCTCAGAGAGTGATCCGATGGCGCCGGCCGTCTTCGGGTCCAAATTGTACAACGAATTTCCCGGGTAGCCTCCATTGTTGATCGACGGTAGTGGGACTTGTGAGATGAACTGGAGGTAATAAAATCGTAAAAATTGAGATTTAGAAAAATTAATTTGAAGGAAGATTGAAGCCAGGAAGTTTTATTCCGAAGACTTGAATAACAAAAAGGAAGAGAAAAGGCCAAGGAATTTTAAAAACTAATGTATCATTTTTATGTAACCGTCAAGGCGGGGCGATTGTGGTAATCGTTTGTAATCTTTGAATACATTAAGATGCCGTTTTAGAGAGTAAAGCGATAAAACCTGAGCCATAAAAAGACTAAAAAAAACAAGGCGACCATAACGTGTTAAACTATACTTTGTAAGCTAATAATGCTTTTGAACTCTGAAAAAATGTTTCATAAAGTCCACAGTACTTTGCCTCGCAATTCATCATAATGTCGAATTTCCGATCGGCGTAAACATATGAAAGCAATTCTTTTTTATGCACATCACTATCCAAAATAGCCGCAATTCAGCTTATTAACTTGAAAACATGCCTTTTCGCCGAATTGGCGGGCCTGCAGGGCGAGTCCGCGGATGAACTGCTCGATCGGGTCGCCGGCGGAATATTTCGGAATTAGTGTGGCAAATATCAGCACGAATAGATTATTGGTAGCGAATATCATGATCTTCGCAGCATTACTGGCATCAAGAGGCTTAATTTTAATTATCTTAATTTTTATTTTTCTGGAATTCTGTCGAGAATTAGAACGTCGGAATGTCGTCATTTTGTCAAAATTTAATTGATTGACATTTTAGATTGTCGAATTTTGTCAAAATGATATTTTACTCGAGAATTACTTTTTCAGAATTTTACTTTGTCGAAATCTCACCTTGTCCAGTTTTAATGAGAGAAAAACTTCTCCAAAATTTTTCGGCAACGCAATGTTTGTATACCCTTCTAAAATGGAATTAAGGTATATCCCAGGCAAATTTTACATATATTATGGGTTATTTTCACGTTGATGGAGCTTAACTTTGTCGAAACATCATTTTGCAGAAACACATTATGTCGAAATTTTAATGCTTTTTGCCTCGATTATCCATCTCCAGCACTTTGCAAATTGAAATTTCGGCACATGAACATTTCCATAAAACGACATTTCGAGAAAATTTTTTTCGACGAACCAATTTTATACCGATACTAAAATGAATTAAGGTATATTAGCCGAGAAAAAAGATGTTTCTGATAATCATTTTTACCTTTGCTTAGTCATTTGGGCAATAATACTACGATGGGTTCTGGACGCTAAAATTGAACCATTCAGTTGCAAAAAGCCTACGACAGGTGCTGAACCGTTAGCGGGGGGGACTAATTTTCCCAGAAATCCCGTATGGACCTATAACAAAATGCTGCCGTATAGCACATTTTTATAGCATTTTACACGGTATTCAGATATAAAAAGCTCATCAAAAATTGCGACAACTTTTCGAAATTGTTAGTATTGTTAGAAAGTTATTATTATTAGTCAAAAATGTATAAAAATGACCAGAAAACGGCACAACTTTCGAATTTTCAACGATGTTTCAAATATTCTTTGAAAATTTTTAGCAATCAAAAACTACTAACAACATTATAAAAATAAACTATTGGTTATTAACAGGTATCGGCTGGGAAACAAAAATTGTCCCCCCTGCCAACAACACAGTGTCAAGGTCTACTCAAACCCAAAAAAATGTATGATTCATCGCGGGATAGTAGTGGCTAGCCCATCCACTGGCATTTTAGCCCCCAAAATCGGGCATTGTGTATATTGGACGTCGAGAGGAGCCGAGCGGAAACCGGTCGGATCGTGGGGTAGTAGGGCCGGCGAATGGCAGTAATCTACAGGGCCGAAAAGCGGGAAAAGGCACTAAATAGACTCGAACAAAAGGTCAACATTCGAATGCGGTTTAATTTCTAAAGGGACTGGCAAGGAATGCCTATGGATTTCTTACTTTTCCATTAGCGGGGGGGGGGGGCGGATTTGTTTGGGTCCAATTGTTCTAATATAAAAAGAGGAAGAGTTTTAGAAATTTTTCGACGAAAAACCCCGATTTTCGTAATATTTTCTTTTCTTTTTTTTTACATAACGTAGCTGTTTCCAGAATAAATCTATTTAGTTCATTTGCGTAATTTAGGGAGAATCTGCCAGCTTTTTTTAGTATAATTCCCTGGCCAAAAAATAAGATGTTTCATTTTCAAAATGAGAGTGCGCAACGCAGGCCATCTTAATTTTTTTTTCGCCGCCGCTTGCTCTGCAATTCATATACGAAATTTGTGCCATTTTCTTCTTTCTACCTTTTGATAGTTGTCCTTTTTATAAATAACTCAATGTTTCCAGAAAAATACCGACAACATTTGCATTTACTTGCTACAAAAATCCATTTCACGTCAAAAATGGCTCAAACGTTTCGACGGAAGGTTATTATTCTGACGAGCTTGATCCCCTTTCTCTAAATCGGCTATTTAGGATTCTTACGATTTATTTTTCATGAAATTCCCGATTTGTTTTTGTAACTATGATTTTACAAGGTTTACAAAAATTCATCTATAAAATGCCATTTACCTTTGAAAAAATATGTTTCACGTAATACATAGTCCAAAACTGGTTTGGTGGGGGCGCGGATTGGACTTTATTATAGCTTTAATATCCTGCATTTCCACGTAAAGTCAAAAAACATACCATTCCAAAAATCGATTTATTATACTAGAAAGCACAAATGACGACTCTCTCCACAAATCATGTCTGTCTTCAATGCACATTGCAAAATAATGTGGGATTGACAGTGCGAATAAAAGAGTTTCACGAATTTTTAAAAAGCAAGAAAATTTCAGTGGGTCAATGAGATTATACCATCTATTCACTTCGTTTTCGTTTTCAAAAATCCAAAAAATTACGGGTTCGATAAGTTCAATTCCGCGCGTTAATGGGAGGGCGAAAACCTAGCCGTTTTCTAATTCGGAATCACGAAGAAAATATGGATACAAAATTCAAATTAAGTCCGGCATTGATAAAAAACCACACACCAAAAACACACACCAAGAAAACGCCTAATTACCGCGCGAAAAATCGGGGGCGTTTGGAACCGTTGGAATTGGGGGTTTCCTAATTAGGGGGATTTTATCAATTTTTGAAACATTCGAACGGTGCCGCAATTAATTTTAATTCAAACATTAAAAGGAGTAAAAAGCAATTGGGTGGAATTTCGAAAGATCCTATTTACAAGTCGACGCGCCGGATCACAGAATGGACGGAAAGGGGCGAGAGAAATTAGAATAATTCGAAAAATGAAGGGCATCTGGGAAAATTGCTCATTTCGTGGTGGGACTAGGGATTTTCGTATTTAATTAAAAATGGGATTTAATTTAATTTATAATTGGGAAATTGGGGGGTATTTTTGGGGGACTGGGAAAGAGCATTTCGGAGAAGTAGTAGGGAATCGATTATACTAATTTGAATATGCTAAATATGTAGTGATTTTTGTACTGAAAATGTCACCAATTTTTAGAAAATATTTTGGAGAAAGTGTGTTCAAAAAACTTTAGAAACTTCCTTCCTTCTTTTTTTTCCTTCGATTGCTTCAAGCAAAAAATTTTTACTTTTTAAAATTTGTTGAAACACGCTTTCGAATTTGAAAATCACAACATTTGAAAGAACGGTGTCGGGGTGAATAAAGCTGCCGCCCGCTAGATCTGGGGCCTTTTGAAAGTGGGCGGGGCTTAGTGGTGGGATACGGTGAATATGCTAATATTTTCGACAAAAATATTAGTTTCAGAAATTCTGGGTGTCAGGAGGCTTGTGTAACGTTCAATTTCTGCGTTTTCGTTGTCGTCTTCCTCTTTACTGCGTGTCGGTCTCGGTGGGCGTGGCCGAGTCGTAGACCGTGTCGTTGTCGCGTACCTCAAATTAAGCTCATTTAAATTTAATCATTTTTTATTTTCTTTTTGTGTTTTCTGAATTTGAAGCCGAAACTCTAATGTGAAAATTTGAGCACAGCCCTTCTGATTTTTTCACAAAACATTTTTTCGCAAAATTTCCGAAATTTCCAAAAATACCTCGGTCTGAAGCCGACATGGCCGATCCAGCGTCCCGGCCCCGCAATCGCAGAAGAACCTGCAAAACGGCAAGTAAATAGGATTTTAATACGCCTGACTTAATTACCTAAATATTGAAACTTTGCGTTTTTATGGAAGAAAAATTAAATTTCCCGGTTTTAAAAAGACACACCTTTGAAGGTGTTAGTTATTTCATTATAATTACAGAATGTAAAGCTAAACAAATCAAAAAAGTATTTTTGATAGATACGCTTGCCCCTGCATCATTATTTTGTTTCTGTCCTGCTGAAAATTTGAAACATGCAATAGGCTTGCAAAATTTGGCTCTATTCAAAGAAATTGTATTAAATGTCGTTTTAAATCCAGAATTGTGTCCAGAATTTTAAGAGAGAGTTAATTGGAAATTACTATTTCTAATGATATCCGCTTAAAACGTTATTAACGCAACGTTCTTCGAGGACTCAGATAAGGAATTATATTGTTTTTGCTACTCCTCGCTGACTGATCACTTGATGCATACATTACTCAAAAAAATTTACTTTTACCGTAACGTAAATACTACGTACGCACTTTAACATAAATTTTTTACCGAAATTCGCCAAGCAATGGTAACAAAAATAAAGCCTATTATTGCCATACGGCCCTTCAGAATCGAATAAAAAAACTGTTACATCAATTTTTCACCCAACTTACCGGTCATGGCGCACGAATTCAACTTGATGGCCCTTGTGGCAGCTCTTGATGCAATTGATGCAAATTGCGTTTCGCTCGGTGGTGTTGCACGAGTTGCACCTGGAAGTCGTGAAATTTACAGTATTGTGGACGAGATAAAGAGAATTATAATTTCTTATTAGTCTATAAAATTTTTATGCAGGTTTAAGGTGTATGTTTCGCTTTGAAATGTTGGTTGGCTAAGTCTTGAAAGGTAGTGGTCGGAAAAATATAGTGCCCAAATCGGACAATTTGAAAATATAGTTCCGTAGTTTATTAGGAGGTCGATTATGTAATATTGCGCTAAGGAATTCCTTTTCCCAGATAGTTCAAAGGGATGCCGACGGTGTAGTCAATCGGTTACGTACTGGAAAGAAAATGTCTTTGCGCCTCTCCCCAGGGCGCGCTCTCTGCCCTGTTGGCTAATTGCCAATTTGTTGATTGGGGGGGGGGGGGGGGGGGGATCGACACGTGCCGTCGGCAGCCCTTTAATTTAATTAATTTAATTAGATAAGCTAAAACTTGAATTACAAAACTAATAAAAAATTAACGGTTCTAAGTACTACATAAAATGCTACTCAATGATTATGAATTAAAAAGTTGTGTTTCTTGGAAATAGCACAGGACTTTCAGTAAGCGTCAGAAAACCTAGCCATACTTTTATAACAAAAAATTGTTTCGAAAATGTGGATAGCATATGATGTTCCGGCAGGTTTAATATCATTAGCTTTTTTGCGGTTATAAACAACACAAAATATGACTAAAACTTACCGATAAAAGTCATGCATGGGGAACGAGGTGCAGCTAGAGATTTTGAAGAGGCACTGCCCGCGGTTGACTGCCTTTTCCACCGCGTTCTGGAATCACGCATGAAAT